AGGCTCGATCTTGAGGATATGGCGTATAACCTCGGCCTCGATCCGAAACCCTGGCCGCGTCTATGCTGTTGGGAGGAGGATACTGCCAACCTCTTTGAATCGTTAGCCACGGCCTTGTGCAGGGCTCAGTTGAAGAAGCTGGATGAACTAGATCTCTCATTTCCTCTGGCTTACGACTTTGGCTGCTTCCTTGAAGATGTCGACACAGATGGTTATTCAACAAAAGCTCTATTTAAGACGCTCAAGTACCTGAGAATTCATTCGAGCCGAGCTACCGACGATGGCGAGGGCATAGAGTTTCGCTATCGAACGCCAAATGAAGAGTTTGACAAGTACATTCGACAACTACTGCACCTCGCGCCAAATGTCCACTCCTTAGCTCTCAAAGGCTCCGACGTTCTGGTCCTCAACGAGTCTGCTTTCCCTCCTCTACGGCTCCAGTCCTTGAGCCTGCAGAGTCTGTCAGCAACCAGCGGCGCCTTGGCTCCACTCGTCCGACAGTCACCAGCACTCGAACGAGTCCTCATGACAGGCGTCTATCTCGAATCTGGCACATGGCAGGAGATTCTTGTGCCACTCGCCCAGTCTCAAATCATGTTCTTCTACATTGAGATGTGCGGCTACGACATGGACGGTGCAAGCGCGCATTTCCGCCCCCCTGATTTTGCAAATCACCCTGACGCTGCTTATATCGAGACTACCGAGGCTGGTGACCTCGATGCTTGTGAGGCTGTGTTTGAGCGAGTGCGCGAGAATAAGAAGCAGAAATATGGATGTGACTACAACGAAGTTGCGGATATAACACTCAAGGAAGACCAGAGAGATCTGATCGAGTTCAAGACAAAGGTCTTGTACCAGTATTTCAAGAGGCAGTCCAATATTGACGAGGCAGCTGATGCGGAGGCGAGTGGGGACCCAGAGAGTCTGACTGACGGCGACTCGGAGGATTCTGACTTTGTGTGATGTGCGCTGAGTTGTTACGCATGCTGTCATGTACCATCATCATTGCGCTATTGTTTTGGAAAAGTATGTTGAGTAAAGTGCTATTTGGCGAATAATTTCACGACGAGATACTTTAATACACCACCTTGACGCTCGGAGACACTACTACGACGCATTCAAATCTATACTCGAGTCAAGCGCCCGAGGCGGCATAAGGGAGACTCATGGACGGCAGCGAATAATGCTGCTAAAATGTCTCTTCAATAAAACTGCTTCATCTATACCCGCAACATCGCCCAGGAAACCATAGCCGGCAATTCAGACTGTATTAGATCAAGCTTTTCTTTCATCAGGAAATCTGAACTTGAGTTTGGAGACTTGTCGAACCTGGGTTGATCTTGGAGCCAGCCCTACAACGCTGATCAATAAGAATAATTGGTACCCCAAGTTAACATTAGCGATGGCTATACTATCTGGGTCTGATTACTGCTCTCAAAGAAGCCAAGTTTAAATATTCTTAATCCTCGACTTCCACACAACGATCTCTACGTCAAGACCGTGTCCTGCTATCGTGGGACGCCATAGCGACGCTGGTTGCGGCAAGACGCATGGCAATAAACTGAACTACGAGAGTGTTGGATATAATTCTAGAGGCGGGAGGAGACATTAACCATTCCATTATTAGCGACCTCAAGAGCTTTGGGGCTGATCGTTTCACAACAAATCATTGTCCTGCCGACTGCCTTGTAACGCCTTTGTTGGCATACCTCCTCACCATCGACATTAGCGCTGGTGCAAAAGGTATTGAAATGACTCCCAGTCAAGGAGCGAAGTATATTTTGGGCCAGAGCGCTAAGATTGAGCAACCGACGTTCATTAGTGTTTGCGTCCGACGACGGCAATACCCAGCACTTCTCGAGCTACTCTGGGAAACATGGGGCGGGCTAGGCATACGCTGTGATCAAACTTGTCATTGAACATGGTGTAGTTGAAGGAGAGGTGGCCAAGTTACTTCTCCTGAGCGACATTCAGCCTGGCCCCTCGCCCAGTACCAAGGCAGCTCCTTTTTCTTCTAAAGACTATCAACTAGTTGACAGGAGATAGGGGGTAGTCCTAGACCTCACGCTTCAAGACCAAAACTTCGAGAATGGGCTCTCTTGCGAGGTGGATGACCTTTTCTTCTAGTTCATCATAACCCTAAGTATAGCGAGCACGGTGCGGCTACCAGTGGGTCCTATAGAATCCCAAAGTGACTTGAAACTTGAGCCCAGGTTACCAGGAGTGACCCCATTTCCAGCGGTCGACAAGTACGTCTCCTCTCGCTCTCTAAGAGGGAAGTTGAAGGAGGGGTAACCAGGGCACCTGACCTTCTGCGGAACTTGACAAATAAGTAGCGGTGGATGAGGGGATGCATAGGTCTAGAGCACCATCACGATAGGGCTGTAAAAAAGCTGAAGCTACGTGACCCTTTCCGTGGTCAACTTGGACATGATTTCATTCATAGCCCTCACATTGTCAATAACCATCTCTCTTTAATCTTTGCCTCCTTGAGCTATGTTTCAGCCCGTTACCTACATGACCACCACATCGCTCTCAGCCACCATGATGTATTTGGTCACTTTCCTTGATGCCTTTGTCACAGTCCTCGCTTCGGACTTCTCGGCCAGCCTTGTCAAGCCACGGGATAACAGAGCCGACCTCGACCAACGCCGATAATAGCTCCTAGACTAAGAAGGACCTGCTCATCCCCATTACCAAGCCTACAAATTTCAACGTCTACTCCACGAGTTACGGAGAAGTCTTCCTCAGGGTGTGGTGGTAGACAGAGGAAGAAAGTTCCATTCAATATCATCCTAATCAAGTCACTGCCCAAACCATGACTGGTGGCAGAGTGCTTCGAGCCACACCCTCGGTAGTGATTATCCCTGCATCAGCGAGAGTATGTGGGTGGAACTCCGAAGCCGCGCCATTGCGGAGTATACGACGGACTCAGAGAGCATCAAGCGCTGTGAAAATGCAACCAATATGGCGTCCCTCAAAGTCCTAGTAACAGCAATGGGCTTCACGCGGACATGCTATTCCGCGACATGAAGCCCCTTTTTTCGTGCATTCGGACGGATGAAGATCCCATGGTTGCATCTAGTGGTAGGTTGATGCAGATGTTCAGAGACTTCAGTTGACAGGGGATCTTAACGAATACACGTGGTCAGCATAGCCAGCGAGAATATAGTGTTATTTACCTGTTTCGGTAGTGAATCAATCGAACTGTCAGTCATTCTAGCTCTTCCATGTCATTCAGCTGACACCCGTCTAACGAGTCTCATGTCTAATCAGAGTTTGTTAATTCACTGTCATGGAAGCATCTCTGGGGTATAAAAGGCCTGCCTGTCCCCTCTTTCGCAAAGATCTTCCCTCTTACTACAGCGATCACATCTATCAATGATTGCACAAAGCTCGACTTTCACCACAGAAATCGCCTTTTAGAACAAATACAAAAACATAATATTCGAAAAGCTTGCGGCCTCAGGACAAGATGTGCCGCATTACCCGGATTACCTACGTCTGTGAACGGTGCGGAGTGCCGGTTGGATCGGATTACGTGATCCAAAAATGCTCTCGGGCACGCAGACCACGTGCTCGGCGCTGCCCATCAGCTCGATGTATCGAAGATGCGGCTGATGTTGTCGTGTCATGGGAGTACTGTTACGCGTGCTCCAGACAATAGAACGGAGGCTGAGGGCCTGAAAGTCCGGAAGGGGGTTCTGAGGCCAAGTTGAGTGTGCAGGGCCTGGTACAGATCTTTCCAAGCAGGACGGTTTCTGGAATTCTCACGGTAGTTAATAGAGCTATCATCTGACATCTCACCCTCCGATGTTTTATATTTCCCTATGATGCTACCATCTCTGTGTTGACAATGAGTTCTTTATTATATTAGAAGCCCAGCCCTTGATGGTTGAGCACTGAGCTAGCAGCTCGTTAGTTTGCATACAGACAACATGTGCCAGGTCTTTCTGGTCCCGTCAATCACCTCACAGGCACAACGGGCAAGATGACATCAGGGCACATACAAATCCTGATCACTTTCTAAATGATCAAAAATAGTCCCAGTCCAGGGGGATTTCAGTTGTAATCCTGATCCTAAGTAGTGAAAGCGTTATTCCGATTGGTGCACATTCGATTTTAAATCAAGCATATTACTCCTTTGATCGCGTGTCACCTTGTCAATTTGAGAACACTACTCGGATCTGGGCCAATCAGCATTTATCACGAAATTGGCTGCTAGTATCCCGAGAGATCAGCATCATTTCAGGATCGCCATGGCATTGATGAAATGATCCGCATTAGGCGGCCATTAATTGCTCATGCTGAAGCGGAAACTAAATCCCGTAGTTGGCAATGAAACAGCAAGTCAAGCTGGAAACAGCCCCTGGCCAGGAAGAAGCTTGCAGAAATCGTGAACCAAATGGCAATTTTGGACGTCGACGGTTGACACAATAGCAAAGACCACTGCGCAGGATGCTCCATGGTTGTTTCATCTAAAGCTAACCAAAGGGCCTTGCTAAGTTCATGGCTCAATTCCTTCGTTGCCTCAGTTCTCCGACAGGTGGCACAATCCACGATGGCGCATTTCTAAATGCCTACGACCTATTGCCAATTACCACGGCATGTGGGGAAACAAACATGATTAATACCACCTTCTTATGTAGGTTTAATCGAGATCTGTGCCTCCGCCGAGACTCGACCGACAATCCTTCTTCATCATTAGAAATGCACAAACTTGAGATCGACAGAAATGGCCGGGCTCATGTCGACGATCAACTTAAGCAAAGGATCCTGAAAGGATGAAGGATTCGAGAAAAGCAGGGCAGTTCTGAACTTCACCCACAGTAACCATGACCAGGCGCCTCGGCAAGGCTTGGGATGAGGGATGAGTAGACAGAATCATGTATAAAAGGACCACCGAGTGTCTTGACTGACTACTATTCATCATTACTCCTCACACTCCTCCTAAGGCGACCAACCCAACTCAACAAACATCACATTCATCCTCCGCCGCAATGAAGTTCCAGGCTATCATCTTCCTTGCCGCCGCCCCTTTCATGGCTGCTGCCGCGCCTACCAAAGGTATTAAAAATGCACATGTACTTTTAGACCATGCCTAACTCTAGCAGACGCCTCTCCTCATCTCGAAAAGCGCTGTGCCGTCTTTCAGGAAGAAGAGAAGGTCTGGCACGAGTCTGGCCAGAGCCGCCGCCGTATTAAGTTCTGGAACGACGGCCAGACTGATATCAATCTGATGTGCATCATCTGGGTGAGAGGTAAGTACAATGCCGATTTCGGAGCCAGACAAGCACTGACATCCTGTCAAGAAGCAAACAAGTCGAGGGGCATCTTGAACAACCCCCAGCGATGGATCAGGGATGATGGTACCGGCCGGGTTGACATCAGCACCGCTCTTGGACCACTGGGTGATACCGCGTTCAGAGACGCTTATAACCGTCAATTTAAGCTTTGGCGTCGTGAGTCAGGTTGTTAGATAGGTGGTTATCGACTTTGGAATGGCTGTATTAAGCGCAACTGCACTGGGTGTATCAACTTCGGCTCACTGAATAGCTCATTGATTATGTCACTTTGTTGCTAGATAGAGACAATTACCATTGATAAACCCCCCCCCACGATATCCCATCAAACTCGACATTTCGTTGATACTCGTCTGGATACCATGATTTGAGTGTCAGCTGGAAATGTTATGGACTTAGAGTCACGGGCGTTGCGGGTTCGTCTAGTAGTAAGGAATGAAATGCCGGATTGATGACTCTTTTTTGGAAAACTGAATCAACTCTATACTTAGAACTAAGTCGACATCATCAAATATATAATAATAATAATAAGAATTAATCTTCTCTACATAGATCGGTCACAGTGGAGCAAAAACCCTTTTCTCAAAACGCCGTGCGCTCAAGCAAGTCACCACGGCAAGGACGAGAATGAAAGCTACAGTATGCAACCTTAATCGTTGAGCATCGAGGACGGAGGAGAGGTCATTTATAGAGCCAAGGTCAACGCTCCCACTTCCTTTGAGTTTTTTTGTTTGAGTGAGTCTGGCGGCAAAAACATTGCCGTTCTGTTTAATGAATCAATTAAATCAGCAGAGGGTAGCCAAAATCATGTGACACGATTGCATGTGCTACGGGCCTCGTGCTTGTTGGGGTCATGCTACGGCTTGGGAAAGCTCAGCATGATTAGTTTACAAGCATCCTAACTAGGCCGAGATTCCGCGGCGACTATAGCGAAGACCTACTTACTGTTGAGGATTCAATGGCCATGCCAGTTTTCGCCGGCGTTGGTGGACTTGGGAATGGGTGTGAGTGTTGAGTCTATTGACGACAGTACCAGCATTCTTATAGTCAGCTCAAGGAGATTTCACGGCTTGGAAGCGGCGACTCACATCACAAATCCACTAGCTTCAAGTTTGTCTGAAAGAAGAAATTAAATCAGGCAACTCGCAGAGCAACACCCACTAGCTAAGTCCCCGTGAGACTGACTCAACAGTCATAGCTACAAGCTTTCCGAGCTCGGCTAACCACTTGGGAGAAACGGCGAGCAAGGATATTCGTACGATAGGATCAATTCAGAAGCCAATGCCCCAAATTCGCCGCTAAAAGTACTCTTTTTAAGCGGGCTGTCTTCTATAATCTAAAGTCTCGCCTGATGAGAGCAGCTTTTACATCCACGGCGGATCACGGTGCCCTCGCTTATTGGCGAACTATTTTCCCGTCTAGGTGTGAAAGCTTTCCCTATCTTTTCATTGTGATCACATCAATTATCACAATTACAATATCTGCTTAACATTCAGGCACAGGTCCAAGTCATGCACGGCGACTTTTTACCACGAGTACTCCATAGGCGGCGATCTTAGTATGAATGATACCTATATCCAGGCACCAGCGGATGCTTCTGACTTTCAAGTGTCGTGTTGATGTTATCCTTACTGCCATTGTGTTCACCTAATCAAGGCATAAAGTGTTACTACCTCAGCCTCTAATGCTAATGCCCGTAATATCCATGCGAGGTCGTCCTCAGGCTCTCGGTTATGAGTCTTTATTTCATTCGTCAAATCGTCGCCTAGAACCTGTGATGTTGTGCAGGTAATGATAAAAGGGGGTAGGCAATCTAGACTCACGAGTAACCCTCAGACTTTTTACTGGAAATGGGAAACGGCAAGTAGGAAGAAAGTCTACATGGTTTTGGAAGACCTGGCCCAGCCAGCCAATAGGTTTTCGCAGTTGGGACAATACCTTGTTTTTGACGCATGGGACAAGAGGCATGACAGAGCCTCATACTTGCACGGCTTGCCCTAAAGTTATTATCCTGTTTTCTTTTCAGAATCTTGCGCACGACGTTAAACATCGACCACGTTGGGGACATGAGAGCAAATCATCTCAAGGTTGAAGCAGTCACGGGCCACGTGAGAATCCTATCAATCGACGCAGTAAACGACTCATTGATCTATGAAGGACCTAACAATGTCAGACGACAGTGATCCTCCCTACAAGGATGCCTCATTTGTGGACTATCAATTCGAGTCATCTCTGGCAATGAACATTCTTTTCATGGTACCCTTCATAATCATGACAATCCTTCATTCGTCACCACTGTTGCAGAACCTTCTCAAGATGAATCCCCGCCGCGCTCATGACAAGTCTTGCTTTCGCCGTATCGACTGCAAGAGGCGCCATATCAAGGCATGTATGCTTCATCCCTGGCCCAAGTCGTTTAGCAACACTCACATACTGTGCCGTTTAGTTCAATGAATCCAGGCCGAGCTGCCTCAATTACTCTCAAATCAATAGGATTTGCTCCTTCATATCCGACTCAACTCAATTCACTTCTTCCCTCAAAAGTCAGACACACCTTTGCCGGTGCCACGGCTGCCAGCAAGTTGTCGCTTCTACATTGGATCATCGGGAATCATCTGCTCTCTGATGCCTCTCCAAGGGCCCGGCCAATACTCTGAGTGCATTTATTCATTCCGTCCAGATATAACCTTGTTGTCGATCTTGTTACTGTGCCTGTCCGCTTTACAGCTTGGACTACGCTCTACTTGAAACCCTGAAGCTTGGAGCCAGGCAAGTTGATACAGCTACAGATATGCGATTTTAAAATAACGGACGGTTATTAGCATATGCAGGGTAAGTAAGTACATTGTGAAGTTCATAATTCCTTCAATCATGTGAAGATACCATTCTATTCAAGCCTGCGGCCACTTCACAAACACAGAATTTGACCCTGACCCTGACCCTTACCCTTCCCTAGCCACTCAGAGTAGTTCGTCGCATCTAGCTGCTCTTTCAGAAGCTATCGCTCTAAAACTGAATAGTCTGCTGGAATGTTCTACCGGAGTTTACTGAAGGTTGAAGCGAATATTAAAGTTCGCTTGCTTGACCCAGGTGCTTTCACCGACTGATGTTTCTTCTCTCTTAAACAAGCCGATTCGGGGAAATAAGCATTCCACCTCGGGGCCGAATCCCTCCGAGTGGGACCTCGCTTGACTTCGGGGCTCAGCTCGCACCGATTCCGCGTATTGCGTCGGGTTGAAGTGCTGCCACTGTGTGTAAACTAGTATTGTTGGTCTATCTAGTTTATCAGGACAAGGGGGCATAGCTCAACTGCCCCCATGACTTAAAAGCTTCCGGGTGCTATTGCATGTTCTCCCTCAAACACTCCTCCTGCAGTTCAGCCGACACCCCGTCTCAGCGTCATCTATCGAATAATGCCGGAAACGATTCTCATTATTGGTGCAGGCTATGCAGGCATCGGCCTTGCCCACAAGCTGCTCAAGGACACGAGACCCAAAGTACCGGGCCTCAAAGTCGTCCTGGTCTCACCAAGCACGCATCATCTCTGGAACATCGCCGTCGTACGAGGCATTGTGCCAGGTCAATTGGCTGATGACAAACTGTTCCAATCAATTGAACCTGGATTCAAAAAGTACCCTGCTGACAGCTTTGAATTCGTCCTGGGCACTGCTACACACGTAATCCCGGACAAGAGCATCGTGCGAGTCCAAACCTCTCAAGAAGCTCTTCAACTTGAGTACACACATCTTGTCGTGGCGACCGGGTCCTCCTACCCAAGTCGTGTTCCATTTACATCCATTGGAACCTATCAAGAGACACTCGATGCCTTACACGACTGGCAGAGGAAAGTGGAAACGGCTGGCACAATTGTCATCGCCGGCGCTGGACCGACGGGGATTGAAACAGCGGCTGAATTGGCCTGCATATATGGTCAAACGAAAAACATCATCGTCATCGTCCCAGGCAGTGACCCTCTCCCTGGATTTTTTCCCGAGGTCGGGAAGACGGCGGCAAGCGAGCTCGAGAAGTTGAACGTCAAAATCCGACGACAGATCCGCGTTACCAACGTTGAGCAAACCGGTAGTCAGCTCACAATTTCCTTGTCCGACGGAAGCGTTCTCCAAGCTGACGTCTATCTTCCCTTGTTCGGAATGAAAACGAACAGCGGCTTCTTGCCAACTACACTCTTGGACGATAAGGGGAATCTTAAACTCGACAGCAGTCTACGTGTCACGGGCTTCGAAAACATATGGGCGGCAGGAGATATCGGCAATCTTGAACCCAAACAACTCATTTATGCCGAAAGACAGGCACTACACCTGGCCATGAACCTTGATGCTGTGCTCACCGGCACCAAGAAAGGTGTATCAGACCTGAAACCAACTGTGATGCCGCAATTGTTTGTCACACTCGGACAGAAGAAAGGCACCGGCCAGTATAATCGATTCCGTGTACCGGGATTTATCGTGAGCACAGTGAAAGGGAAAACACTGTTCACCGAGAAGGCACCGGGGCTGGTTTCAGGAGAAAACATTGTTCGGTCATCTATTTGAGGTTGATCAGGTGACGGAAGAGGCATGCCTTGTTGGGATAATTATGAGTTAGCTGACCGTAGGATCATTTAGCAGTGTTACTATTTAGAATCTTCATTTATGCGTATCATCGTGTTCTTTGGTTAATGCAATATCTACTTCGACGTGACGGCACGGTGAGGTAGAACGAAGAGAAGTGGCCAGCTATTTTGGAGCACCAAGAGGGATCTGCCGTGGTGGAGAGAATCAGGGATCAGCTCCTAGAGGTTATTGCGCGTATTCCACCAGGTGGTACGCCCACAATCCAGAGGGTTCTGCTATAGTCTACCGTCAGCTAGCTAATACCACTATAATGGCCATCTTTAAACTGTAGTACCCTCCCTCTGTCTTTCGAAACATTGGTGCTTGATGAAAACTTGCAAACCGTCTTCCATGGGCAATGTCAGGTGCGTCGGACTTGTCTTTGCCCCTTCAAAGGCCTGTTCGAAAGTAAACGACCGTGTCAAGGCCACGATTACTTGAACTGCTATCAGCTCGGCCATCTTCTTGCCCAAACATAGTCTCGCACCCCCTTGGAAAACAGGAAAGTCGCCAGTACTACTTTGTTTGATTCTCCCGCCTTCTAACCATCGATCAGGCCTAAATATATGCGCATCCTCACCCCATGTCTTGACTGAACGGTTCATTGCCCACGTACACCAAAGGACGACAGAATCCTTTGGAATGAATGTACCATCAGGGAGGGTAGTATAATTTTGTGCCTGCTTCATGTCGAATGGAATGGGTGGGTAAAGTCTTAAAGACTCGTAGAAAACGGCGAGGATAAAGTGAGTCGTCTCTGAACTGAGATTCTGTTGTATCCTCGGACTCTGGCAGCTACTGTCTTGCGTACTCCAGCTTTCAGTGCTGTTAACAAGGCGAGAGATCTTCTCCGCCACTCCTTGGTGCAGTATGAGAAGATAAAATGTCCATGTCAAGGCTTGGGCGGTGGTGTCTTTTCCCGCGGAGAGATAGTTGAGGGCCGAATCAGCTACAAGTTCTTGCCTACCGAGAGAATCAAACAAGGCGTCAATCAAGCTGGGTGCCGCGTTGCGCTCCTCAAGATCTCTCTCGTCATATTTGCCATTTCGCCGGGCAACAGCTTGAGCCACCAACTCTTGGCCATATCGTTTGATCACCCGTACAGACTCGGTGAGTTTCCCGCCGGTAATCAGCTCGGTCAATCTCCACAAAGGGTTCTGAAAACGCTTTGCAATCTCAAATGAAGCATGGTCAAACGCCTTTGTAAACTTGTCGTGTGCATGCATCTCGACCCCGTAGGCTAGCCTGCCTATGAGCTGAGTAGTAAGCTCGTGGAGCACGGCCTCGAGGTCGACAGCTGTCCCGATATTTGCATGCTGATCCAGTTGACTCATAGCCTGCTGTAAAGCTCTCGGAAGCTCAATTTCTTTAAGGGTTCTCATCGTTGCTCCATTGAAGAAATGTGTCCCCGCTGCGCGTTGCCGTCTCCAGAGGTCTCCATCAACGTTGACGATGCCATAGCCGAAAAGGTCCTGAAGTCGACTGCGAAAGAATTGACCTTTTTTGAACAATTCCTCATGCTTGAAAATGAAATCCAAGTTTACCGGGTTCGCTATAATCACACCCGGTGGAAGAATTGGGATCACAATGCCCAGAGTTTCTTGGCCATATTTTTGGATACACCTGGTAATTGTGTCAGAAGTATGAACTAAGAAACGGAAACTAGAGTGCTAATACTCAGTGAACCAACCAAACAGCTTCTGCCGTGGGCGGAGAAAAACCAATCCATTGCCTAGGAGTGGCAATGCTCCGGGAGATCGTCTGTTGGCAGTCGATGTAAACATCAGGAGCACTCATATTCTGAAGCGGCGAAAACAAACCTGATAGGAACACCGTGTCTTTTGATACGTGACGGCTTGAAACGTTCGGTCATGAAAACCCAAAGTGGGAGCACAAGTACAAGGAGGAGCATGTATAAGGCCAACATCGTCAAGTGATTAGTGGATGGCGAGCTCTTGTGTCGTTCTGTTCTAATCAACCATTAGTCTCTAGCAAGCAAGCTTACCTAGTCCTGTCTGTAATATCTAATAAATCTGCCGCCCGTAAAGGCATTAATAGAAATGGCACACTATGTACTAATACCCCCTGTCAAATTGTGTTCAACTACAGCAGCGACTGCTGCATTTCAGTCATGGTCCGATGAAGTCAAATAATTGCACCGATCGGTCAAACTCTTCGTCCGATGATAACTGGTGTCTTTGATATTCTCGGTGCGCGTACTCGCACCGAGATTATAGAGACTAACAGGGGTCACCAGCACAGCCCACCCGGCGGCCGAACCCAGTCAAACCTTGCCCATGAAGGTGACGCAAAACGAAAAGATTGAGATGGTCGTTTACGTATGCCCTGCACTGAATATCCGAGGTTCCTTGCTCGGGAACATTTGATTGCAATGCTGAAAATAAGGCCGGTGAACAAGAGACCAAGTTACAGGGCTTTGGAGTCAGTCGCACCCTGCACACCAACAGCTCCCATTTGCTTATCACGTCTTCCTCACGGTGTCGCTTGTGTCTCGTATGTTTTCATAAAGCTTGAAGCTCACTTGCAGGGCGTGATTAGCGTATTGCAGTTCTATGCAAAGGGCGGTAGCAGCACCCCATCTTGGTATCATGTTAATCTAGACCCAATACCCGTGATGAATGTGCTATCCCCTGCATACGATTCTCTTGCGTCAGCCGGTGGCTGTGAACGAAGTGATTATTCTTGCTAAGAAACGAAGCCTTTTGGTAGCTCAAGTCAGGCCAGTCATACCAAATGTTAAAGTCTTGACAAATGGAAGTGGCCCTATGGACCCTTAATGGAGCAGTCTTTGTAAGTAGGCTGGAGAACGCATACTTCTATAGACAGCATGCTTGATCACGGCCGAGTAATTAGTAAGTAGACGAAGTGAGAGGTGGTGTCTCGTATGCCATCAGTTCTAAAGGATGCACAGCAACTATCATGGTGACCATGGTGTGTCCCTCCCATGATAGGGCTTTTGGATCTCATCTAGAAGCTGATCATCGATTTTCCAAACCCCCTTGGTCTGGGCATCCGCAAGATTCCACTCCAAACCCTTGGTCAAACGATGAAAGACCTGATGAGAGTCTCCACGGAGGCTCCTAAAAAATAACGGAATCCAATTCTCACCCCGAGCCGCTTCTTCTTTACGCATATGTCTTTGCGCTTCCTCCAGAACATGCTTGGCAGTGGCAGCTGCTCGAATGTTTCCATGTTTCAGGTTCTCGATGACATCTCTCCACGCCCGACGAGACTCCCAAGGATCTTGGTCCTCTATTGGCTCAATTTGCATGGCAGTTGGCTCATTCTCTGGGGCGTCCACTGTGTAAGTCTTTAGCACTTGACCAGTTCGCCCATCTTTTGTCACCCATCCTTCACTCCAAACTCCTGATAGGGCATAGATGCGTCTTGTTGGATCACTTTTGTGATATATAAAGGCCTCAAAATTGTTTTTCTTTCCACGCACCAGGCCAGCCCCTGAGAACTTAATCTCGGATACATATCCACTGCTCGAGACAATGCGATAGCGACCAACAATCTCGGGGTAGAAGCAGGCTGATAGTAACCCTCGAACTTGGACATCCGGCAGCGGTAGGATATAATCCTCACTAAACCGAGAAACGTGTAATATGGTATGCCCAATCTGTCGAATGTTTACCGTCCCATTAAAGGTCATCTCGACTCGGGCATATCCATCAGCTCGGATACCATGGTCTTTGTCTACTATGTGTATGGCGGTAATCGGAGGATGATGACTGACTTGCTCTGACACTAGTCGAGTTGTGCAGTTGCCGTCAGTCCACGAAGAAAGGAAAAGTTCACCCAAGAAAGCGTTGAGAGGTTTCTTGATGCTGACGCCAGGAGATCCGGCGATATACAGTTGGGTTCGTAGGCCGACAAGGAATAACTGTAGCACCAATAGGCTTCGGATCTCAGGATTCGGCTCGAAGGACGGGGCGCAGAACACTTTGGGTCTCTCAGCCCAACATCGAGGGTTCTCAACGACGGAGGCGGGGGCGAGGAAGAAAGGCGGAGCAGTGATGTTGGCAAGATCTCCCTTGACTGTCGAGAGAAACTAGAAGTGAAAACTGTCAGCAAATATCGCCAGTAGCGCTGAAGTTCATCTTCTTCAGCCATGGAAATCTCGCGAAGCAAGGTAACATAGACCAGTACCTTGACAAGTTCAGAAAAGATAGAGTGGTTTGAGTTGACTTCCTTTTGGGCTGACTTTTCCGTGCCATTCTGATTTCCTTGAAGTGATGACATTGTTTTGGATTCGAAGTATTGGTGGAGTCTAGAAGGATTCGCTGGCGGAAGCGAACGAAGATGCTGATCAACGTGCCCGAAGCACACGAATCTTTTGGACTTTTCCAACGGGCAGGTGACCCTTCTCTATACTATGTAACCTCGTCGCCTGTCGACCGTCGAGCCCGGGAGACAGTAACCCCCGAGCCGACGGCATGAGTTTAGCCCGGGGTGAGACACTCGGCTGATAGGTGATTAGTCCCCCGGTTCACCCGACTAGATAAGGTTTTACCTCTGCAGATCCTGGTTAGTGCTTGAGCTAACGACGCCAAAATATCGTTTACGGGGATGTGGGCAATCAGGCCATGGACCTCATAGCCCCGCAGAGATGCCCAACGTCGACCCTTGCAATTCCTTTCCTTACTTCTGCCCACCTACCTACCTATCCGATGTTCAACAGTACTGGCCGGACAGTAGTGACTGGCAGCCACATAGCGTCGGATAACATACCCCGGTTGTCGAGAAATGGCTGTTTGACCTGCAAGCGACGCAAAGTCAAGGTATCATCTCACCCTCCCTCGGCCTGTTGATTGCCATCACACAGTGACCAGAGACGTCCCTAACACTATCAGTGTGACGAGAGCCGCCCATCATGCCTCAACTGTCTAAAACGCAACCGGATTTGCAGCTTTTCTCCCCAAGATGACCACACTGAGAGTAGCCCCGCCACTGCAAATCACCCATCCACATCTGCGAGCCCCATCCTAGAGGCAGAACAATCGAGGCAGGCCAATGAGATATTGGCAACGAATTCAATTCACAGGCTGAGGACCCCTCAAAGCCCAAACGCACTGAGCGTGCCCCACGGATGTGACCTTTGGAATTACGACATGGAACTCATCCATCATTACACAACGATAACAGCTGCCACCCTCTCAATCCGAAAGGATATGGTACACTTATGGCAAGTCACGGTTCCACGCGAGGGTTACCGCAGTCCCTTTGTCCTCCACGGCATTCTAGCGATGAGCGCCGTCCATCAGGCGTACCTACAGCCAGCGAACCAAAAGATGTACCTCCAGCTACATAGCTATCATTCCGCCTTGGGCTCTGAACAGTTTCGTGCCACATTAGAAGATACTCAGCATGAGAACTGGATGGGGCTATTTAGTTTCGCTGCTCTCATCACTCTCCATGCCTTCACGCTTCCACTACGACTCAATGGTCAGAAGTTGCCTGACCCCTTACTTAACCTCTTCGAAGTTGCGACCCTTCTTCGGGGGATGGAGACGATGCTGTCCCCTATGCTGCCTCTATTATCCCAGTCAGAGTTCGCCCCGTTTATCTACGGCGTACGGCTCGCCGATACTGATGACGTATCTGCCAGGCAAGTGTTAACATGATCAACACCAGTTTATCGATTGAACTGACACCGGCTCCCACTTAGCCATTGTTCCCTTGATAACAGCTACCTTCCCTCAGACACCTTGGCTGCGTTAGAAAGCCTTCGCCACTTCCTTAGTGGTCAAGTATCCCAGAGCTCTCTCCCGTTATACCAAAGCGCTGTAGATCACATGGATCACCTGGCGAGGTTAATAGCACTTGCAGGGTTGAACGCGGAAGCCGGGACAGTCCTAGGATGGCTCTTCAGCCTGCCTGAGAGTCTACTACCTGATATCAAAGAAAGAAGGCCTGAAGCTCTTATCCTAGTCGCTTACTTTTCCGTCTTCTTACTCAGTCTAGAAAAGAATTTTTGGTATTCTCAGGGGTGGGCAAAGCAGGTGTTTGAGCAAATCTTGGCGCTGCTCATTGATCGGCCTCGATTTCTCGAAGCATTACGTTGGCCGCGGAGAGTTTTCTCGGGTATCCCTTAAATAGCGGACAATTAGAATTACGGATGGTCTACTTCAATCAGAAAGGGGTTCTGATACAGCGACAATAACTTGATGGAATAGTTGATCCTCCCATTTCTTTTCCTTCCCCTCAGAAATAGCTACAATATTTGGTAGTTACTCGTGTCCGTGCCATCTAGTCTCTGCTCCTGTCCAAAGCATTAAGGATGCCCTTTCACCTTTCATGAGAGCTCAACACTTTCTTGACTACAACTCGGTGGTTTTAAACTTGATGATGTATAGCCTGGGTAGGTCCTAAGCCTGTCTTCGAGTCAGGGGTCACCAATCTTTGCCCCGGGGCGGTTTCAAGGCAGATGTGTTCGATCTTGTGGCTCAGTTAACCTATCAAGGGCCGGGCTTTCCTTCATCCGAAGTCCACAATCTTTCCAATCCTCTAACCTCATGTACACCTAAGAGGGCAAGGCGAAACACTCCGGAAAAGAGAGGAAACGGTAAATTGCAGAAATAGCTGGAAGAGGCTAGTATACGATGACCCAATGCAACCAAGCATGGTGGTCTGTCAGCTCTGTTTCCCGTGCAGCGCTATCAGATGCTGTCTTCCAGATGCCAGGCTTTACCGAGGCAAGTAGTATTGCTCTGACGCTGATAGAGTATCATCGTGACAACTGTAGATAACCCCAACTAGCCCGGTTTCACTCAATGCAACCAAGGCTCAGCAACCAAGCTTTTTCCGATTAACACTACTCAGCTTCGGTAATCTTGCAAGTAGAGAGACAAAAACAGGTTCATACTTACCGCCATCATCCAAGTGGGAGGTAGCATACATATCAAGCGGCCAGGTGGGAGAAGGGAAGACAGGAACGAATAACTGGAGTCACGTATCCAAGAGAGAGATCGAGAAGGCAAGTGATATCAACGCCTTAGCCACTAATTACGTAGGTAATTGGCAGGGAGCCCTAATAAGAAACTATACTAGCGAGCAGTCAAAACAACCCCCATCCAGTCCTTGGACGTGCCAGTCCAGTTCCAGACTCATGCATCATCCCGCGCTCCCTGACTTCTCCTACTCGTACTCTGTCTCAAGCAAGCCAGTCACCCATATCATCGGCGTTGGTAAAGTGGTCGCCATTTGAATGGAGGCCGCGTGACCTGTTCGTTATGTGGATCTCTGGCCGTCTTTGCCCTCATTGACGTGTTAATGGCAAAGCAAACAACAAGGTCAAAGTAGTAGGTATTCATAGCCAATATAATATCCTCTTTACCTTGCATCGTCAGGAGCTCCGGTCAAGGTCGCGAAGAATCTTCAGAGGTAAACCACTCCTTCCCCCAGTCAAACTCTCTTACGTGACCATTCACCTATCGAACGGCAACCGAGAGACTGGTTGGTGACTGCACGAGTTGAAAGGTCTCATGGCCTAACATCTCACCACACCGTGGCGAGTTGGCGCTACCAGAGGACTTGTGAAGACACACTAATTGTATAAGGTCGGTTTTGAGCGACCAACGTAATAGCGTACAACTCATCGCAGAATCGTCCAACGGCAACTGTAACAAAGACGGACGTTGGAAAGATCGGTTCCTCACCTGGAGGGCTCTAGCGGACTACAGAGGCAAAATACTCAGAGTCCATGGGGCTCGGCTGGCTGCCTTGGTGAGCGAACCATGAATATTTAACCGGCCCTCCACACCCAAACAGAGAACGAATCGTCGGCCATCAGGAGGGTCAACTGAAAGGGCGAATCTGAGGTTGCAGAAGATAAAAGCCGTATAGAGTCGTGGGAAGTGTAAGGGCCGGGCTGCAACTATAATAAAGAACAGATGTTCAACACATCATAACATCATGACCCGATGCTAACACAGTGGCGAAGAAGGGGAGACAAGGTGGTATACATGGATCAGAGTGCTGGAGAGAGACTCATGAGTCGGGGCTGATGTCGTCGATACGCCCTGGAAGACAATCATAATTGTAATTGAACTCATGAATACCAATACCAACGTTGCGATATATACTTAGAAACCACTTGAACTGCCGATACAAACATAGAAAGGTATTGAAGCGAGCCGTATTGCAATGGGGCATCAATAGTCTGTCCCAAATCTCAATGTATGGAATCACCGCAACTATTAAAGCTGGGACTTGACTTTATGCATGACTATTTGACTTCGTGGCTTCTTTCGCCATGGGATGAATCCACTGTGCTCTTCTGGAAAGGGAACGGCATCCAAGATTGGCCCATTTGCGACTAGGGGCACCGTTCTCATGTCGGCAATCCTTGCTGCCTTTAATGCGGGTTGAGAAGGGCCTGTGGATAGATCAAGGCTGAAGCGAGAGATATCCATCCACAGCCTTGCTGCAGGCTCCCGGGTACCTTGATATGCCATAAAAGCCTGACGCAAGTGTTTCTCGGAGGGATTCGGGCTAGAGAGTAGTACCCTTTTGAGGACGTTGACCAAGGTGATGGCGTCCTCGATGCCGCAGCATGCGCCTGCTCCTCTAACGGGATTAATCTGTCAGATGTCAGCATATTCTGATCCCCAGAATCACTCAGTGGGGGTACCTTGTGTGCTGCATCTCCAACCAAAACCATCCTGCCCCAATGCCACCATCGGAGTACACCTTCATCAAAGTTTGCGCTCCCACCAGCCGATTTACTATTCCACAAATCACCAAACGTGACGCCGTTGGCCACGGGAACCTGCAGCCAGGGCTTGGCAGCATCTTCTGCGTTATTCCGTCCAAAATGTGTGCGCTCCCTCGACACTGGTATGCGGCCATAAGCAATGAGTTGTGCCTCTGTCTCTGACGTGAAAACTTGGACGTGAGTACCCCGCTGGTAAACGTTGATATTACTTCCAGGAGTGAGTCCTTCGATGCAAGCTGTTCTGCCGAATACGCCTGCGTATGGTGCTTCGAAAGGGTTCGAGCTCTGGTCGAAAAGTCCTTCTGGGGCTTTGTCCATCATTTGACCTCTGACGGTGCTCCAGATACCATCAGCTCCAATGACCATGGACCCGTTTTCCGAGCTCCCATCCTCGAATTCGACTGTGACGCCACCTTCGTAGGATACGATGTTGATAAGTCTCTTGTTTGTCTTGACATGTTGTTTCCAGTTGCCAAGTGCTTCCACCAATGTTTTGGCAAAGCTGCCTCGATTGAATAGCATCATTGGATATCCATACCTAACAACATTCAGTATGCCCTACTGTAGCTACTTTGAAAGGGAATTCGACTCACAGCATGACTAGCTCCTCGAAGCCCTGGCCGTGACGGAGGACCTCACCTTGACCTGAGAAGTGCATAGAATGAAGCATGGGTTGACCAACCGCCTCCACAGCATCTAGAAGGCCCAGCTGATGGAATATTCGCAGTATGTGAGGCCATAGAAACAGACCATAAGCTGGCTCTGGAGGGACCTGAGCTCGCTGCTCAACGATCATGTAGTCGATGTTGGAGACTTGTAACGCATGTGCGAGCACTAAACCCACAGGCCCAGCGCCAACGATGATAGCCTTGAAAGTGCTCATGTCGCCATGCATGCGTATAGCGGCGTTTGAAAGATGAGAAATTCACTGTAGGCAGAAGATTGGAAAGCATTTGAGTCGAGCTTCCGTCAAAGTGATGGGCGTCAGCCGCCGCGTCAGCAAATCAATTAGGTTGGCTCCCACCTACTACATCCAGATTAGTGCTTACGAGATTGAAACCGGCAATATTGAGCGAGCTTGCTGCATTTTCCCGTGTGTTATTTCTGTTGGGTTGCTCAAAGTCTACCCCCCCGGCTTCTTCGAGCCCTTGACCAAGCTGCACTTTCCCGTCATCTATTTTAATATTAGGAACGGCCTTTATTCTTAACTATTATAAATGAAAGCTAAAAAAATATCTACTATTAGTAATCACTAAGTATTAAAAAGACTTTTTAGTTTACAAAATCAAGTATATAAAAAGAAAAGAACTTCTACCTATTAAAATATATAAATAATATTTCTATATGCTCTTGCTTTTTCTATATAATACCTCTATTTATTTATCTAATAAAAATATACAAGTATTGGGATAATAGTTAATATTAAGATTTAAGGGCTTAAGGGCTCGACCATGCCATAGTTCGTGTTGAGTTTAACCAAGCAATTAATCCACACCCCAAAACCTGTCAAAAAGTAAGACTATGGATCGACTGACTGTTCAAGCGCTTTGGGACACTTGAACAAATATAATTCGACGTGCAAAGATGAATAAGAGGTGTGGAAGCAGCATCGCATAAATATGAAACATTTGTGGTCGTTGAGAGATTGCTTCGGGGTGTCTTCCTTCTACAACTAGGAAGACTCTCGAGTGATCTAGCCGTCAGAAAGCGAGGGCTCGGATCGTGACATGCCCTGAGGTGTAGCATGTTAAGGGCACACGCAATTGACATTTCGGGTTGCCGAAACGTGCAAAATAAATGTGTTTTCTGAGTTTGTCTTCGATGTATTACGCAAAGCCTCATCGATGCTTGTGTTCCGTTACCAACTAGGTGTGTAATGGGCAGGCATTGACGCATCATGTCTTAAGACTTGAGTCGTTATTTGGCATCCAGACTGTTTGGCTGGGCTCTTCTGGAAGTCCGCGTGCCGGGGGTCCCGATTGTCCTGGATCGAAGAAGTTCAAGTTACCACAGCACATCACGCCAAGGGAGCGAGAAAAGAATAAGATGCACGAGTGGAACAATGAGCCGACAAAGCTCTCCGGCCGGCCGGGTTGAGCCAATTAGATAGCCAAGCTACGCGATAGACTACTGTTAGGTCTCTTTCGGGTGTCAGCAGGTTGCATTAGTGGCAGCAGCCGGACAAGGCCTCCCCTGTTCTATATATTCTGGCCAGGTGTTTAAAAAGCCATCCACCAACATTGGGCCTTCAGACGAAGATGACCCAAATACCATGTTTGTCGATATGTATCGCTTGCTTTTCTCTTTACTTCCCATCGCTGCCCTCCTTTTCTGGCAGGCATTCCCTAGCCCTCAGGCGTCGCTTCTTCGCCAAGTCTATCAATTTCCTCATGGCACCTGGGTCGAGAACATTGCTGTCCGACCAAATGGAAATCTCTTGGTCACACTGGTGAACCAACCCGAGTTGTGGGAAATCGTGTCGCCCCATCAGCCCGAAAGCACCCGAGCACATCTCATCTACCGTTTCGACGACGCTGGAATGGCAACAGGAATTACTGAGATCTCTCCCGATGTTTATGTGGCCCTGACACCTAACCGTGTCTGGGAGGTCGACTTGACCAAAGCAGTTACCCGCACTAGGCTGATTTCCAACATTGACAAGGCCGGATCCCTAAACGGAATGACGCTGCTAAATCAACAAGAGGGGATAGTTGCCATTGCCGATTGCCAGCTGGGCGTTGTGTGGCGCCTCAACACCAAGGATGGAAGCCATGCAGTCATGCTGCAAGATGAATCAATGGCTGCCAATGATGAGCTCGGCCCCTTGCTTGGCATTAATGGCTTGAGGAAGCATCAGGACTTTATTTATTACGTCAACACCCCTCGGGGACTATATGGCCGTGTGCGTGTAGACGCGACCAGTGGTCACGCCTTGGGTCCCTATGAGATCATTAGCAAGGGAGTCATGGCAGATGATTTCGCTATTAGCCCTTACGGCGTTGCGTATCTGGCAGGAGTTTCGGAGAATGGCATCTTTCGGGCTTTTCTAAATGGGACGCAAGAGATGGTTGCAGGGGGTCTCGGCCGCACCGCGGTGATAAGGCCTACGTCGGCTGCTTTCGGACGAAAGGGAGATTTGAATATTTTATACATCACCACTGGAGGAAACACGAGTGATCTGACTACGTACGACGGAAAGGGGGAAATTCTGGCCTTGACATTCAATCCATTAGAATAAGTGTGAGATATGTATATGATAGACACAGTTCTATTAACCATCTCACCTTCAACAAGCAAGTACTAGGCGTCGGTCCCAAATCCCCAAAACTATCCCGCCAGCATGCAACTCAGCCTTGCGGGGTGGGTTCTTGTAGAGCACCATCCCTGAATTAACTTCTTCCCCTGTCCTCGCTTGTGCGATAGTCACTGCTCTTTGCCACGGCATCGTAGAAAGGCAGATGACTCTGTACAAGGAGTGTGTAATAGTGAGTCGCGTCGAGAATGTGAATAGGGGTTAACGGCGAGAACACAGTCCACCAGGGGACCGAAAACTCAGCCTCGTAAACAAAATTGACTACATCTCTATCTGGCTTTGGGAGCGTCTTGATTCGTTTGCCTTGTTCCAAGCCAGGGAAACTGGAGCTAGTCTCGAGGATAAGAATGGCTTTATCCAAACAGACTTGTATAAGAGTCTTGCCTGCTCTCAAAACACTCGGCAAAAACTCTGCAGAGGTGTTTCAAGTTCCCGAGACTCTTATGTCTTTCTATCAGAATAAGAACAATGCCGTTTCCAAGTTAAACGCTAAGAAGCCCTTAGATAACACTTATAATAAAGTTAACAACATGTTTAATGCGACTAAATATATTCATTAGAGAACCGAAGTATTTATCTAGCCCCTATAGCCCGCAAAGATGGTTAGTTGTTATTATTTCTTTATGTTCTTTGCGGCTAGGTGTATCTGGGTTGATAAAAAAACCAGGATGGTTAGATGAGGAGTTCCACAAGCTGCCATGTAGAGCAGATAGAGCAACGACCACTCAGAGCAAAGAAGTACCTTCTATCTATCCGCACGCGAGGTGACACTGCAGGGTCCAGAAACTCTCCCCGAGCCAAAGGTAGGTGTGCACCCTAGTAGAAGCACTTGCTCAGCGTGTCTGGTTTCATGTTGCGCGTGCCGTCTACCTCTTCGCTGTCGCCTTGTGTCCATCTCCTGGGTCAGTTAAGCCATCAAGGGCCGGACTTCAACCATATTGAAGAACGCATTATCAACACATCATAGCATTATATCCCAATTAGCACAGTGGCCTCTTATTAGTCTTTCCTCCTGCCTGCAATAGAAGGTGAGTATAGGGATCGAGACGACAAGTAGCAGTATACAATGCCTGCAGAGCACCCCGAGAGCAGAGTGATGACCTTAATGATGTGGTCCAGTAGTCACATGTAGTCTGTCTCTATGCAAATGGCAAAGGGTTAAGTGAAAACCCCTCCGAATAAGAGCCTAAAATAACGGAGCCTGTAATGAAACTGCCGCAGACTGTTGTCTTTCTTTTCCTTGGGGAGGTAAAGCTTTTGAGGGTCTAGACAGCCAGCCGTCAAGATACAAACAGGACTTAGTTCACGAAGTTTGGATGGGTCATAGCTAAAGACCAGCCTATTAGACATATTCCTTAGGCTACCCAACTCGCGTCCTTGAGACATATGAGGGCAATGCAAATTCCGCTTCATGCGCGTATTAACCTATGCCAATGAGCAAAACCAGGGCCATTTCACCTATGATTAAGTTTATATGGCTTCCATCGGTAAAAGGGTGTATCGTCCTTTTCTACCAAAGAGTTTGCAGAGTCGTCTGTCGTCTGAGAAACAGGGTGGCAATATTCCAGCTGGGATCCCTCCAGCCATCCTCGCTCGCAGCTGGAAGAGTCGAGACCAGTGGTTTCGCCAGAGTGCAGGAAATTTAACCAATTGAAATGAAATACGTTGCAAGGGTGTAATAATCGACTTGTCTGGAACAAAGGTAACGATACAATAGTGTCGAAATAAGCGAGAGTATTAACGATTTCGGTGAAGAGCTGAGCCGCCACTTGCGGTGCGGGGTCTCGTTACTTACCAAAAGCCCCAGAATACAAATATGGCCATTGCTCCGGAGCAACAAGTCAAATGCGGATCAAAAGCTGCCTACAGGCTTTCACTAGCAACCATTTAAGTTCAAGGATGAGATATTTATTCACTCTCGTGTCGCTGTTGGCTTGTGCCTTGGCATCACCCACTCCCTCCCATGCGCTCTCCATCTTTGACGACGATACCATCCCTGTCGTGGACCAGCCTGATCTCGAGCACTTCAACGTCACCAGGCTCTCCGGCCACTACATAGATACCAAGGCATCAAGCATCGAGAAGCGGGCACTCAAACTCGACTACGTCTTGTACGATGTCGCGTTCGACGGCCGCAACGAGGGCAACTTGGTCCCATTTCGTGTCACCGGGCAACTCCTTGTCATTAAGCGCATTCCGGTTGTCAACAGTCCAAATGGCGCAAACCCCGTTGATGTTGTCATCAAGATCGGTAACCCGGCTGGCAATCCCGTCGCGGGAAGCATTCACTACGTGACCAACCGTTACCTTAATCCCTTTCTTGGCGGCATTCGAGACGGTTCACGGACCGATTTCGCGCGTGTTTCGGTCAAGTCGGACACGATCAAGGTCTCCGCAGACACGGCCTTTTCGCTCATCAACGCGCTGTCCGTGTTCAATGCCAGGAGCGGTTTCTTCGCTGATGTATATAATGCGTATAGCGGTGGTTTTACGCTGACGGTCAAGAATGGCAAGATGACAGGGAGGGTTGGCTTTGTGGGGAAGCAAGTTATTTCTGGCGCATCGCCGCTGTACCGGGCGAGGATTGGGGGAAAGGCTAAGCAGAAGGGTAGGATTACGCTTTAGGAGAGATAAGGATCGGCCACAATAACAAATTCAATAAGGCGCAACAGTCTAATAGCACATTAGTGAGTTAATATATACGATTCAGGATGGATAATGTCTCGGCGAGTCCATAGGTACTCAACTACGATAGATATCCAGTGTATGAAAAAGCCATGGCTTAATACTGTCAAATCTATGGGTACCACGTCCAGAATTCTGCTTTACTCCATCTTGATGATCGGGAAGGGAACAACCGTCTGTAAAAGCTGCTTCCAACGCTGTCCGCTATACGGATAAATGACGTCGTGACAGCCAGGTCTTGACCTTTTGCGGGACGAGCATGCCAACGTCGCGCGAGTGGGAGGAGCCGTCGGGCTTCTTCAGGTAGAGGGCGAGCTCCAGTTTCGGGCAGCCGGTAGTTGCAAAGTATGCCGGCTGTGACTTTTCACGGATCATGTGCTGGGAGGCTGTCTTCTTGCAGCCGTTGCAGAGGGTGAAATTTTTGGTAGGGTTCTTGAAGTTGAGCAATGGCTTGCCGCACGCCGTCTGTTTCTCGTGAGTCAACATGTTCCACATACACAACCTGAGAGGGGATTCGCACATACGTTGGCGTCGTTAGTGATCCCCATGGCGGTGAATCTACGATCTTGTCGAACGGATCCGAATGAGTGACCAGTGCCTGAGACTCAAGCTGGTGTGATGGCCCAGGTGTGATGTTGAAGGGAGGAGGAAGTGGCTGTCCTGTTGACCTACTTGGTGAAAGGGGAGAGCATGGTCACGTGTTCATTGATTCCTTTGTCGGCAGAATCTCTGCCTTCAGCCAGAGGCTGAGCTGGCAAACGGAGGGATCTTGCATGGTTTGTGTCTCCATACGGTGCTCAAAGCAGTATCAAAGACACGTGGGTTGCCTAGTGGCATCACCCGCTCGGGAATGGACTTTCTTTTATACATGGCGTAGGCATAGGGCAACTTGCAGTAGACAAAGAATCCGCTTGGCAGTTCGGGAGGAAGAGGATTAACAATGAATACTGCCAGGCACTAGGCATAAAGGACTCCAGGACAAAACATCAGGCAACACCATTTCAAGATAAAGATACAAATGGCTGGTGAGGCTTTTGAGAGGGTTTGAAAGAGCTCGCTTCAAACTTGACTGACATATTTATCACCCATCATCTCACTTTCTCATTCTCACCCTTCTACTCAACCCTCTCTTCCTCAAGAAACCCTCACCACCGGCCGCTTTTAGTATCTCCCGTGCTACCGTTTTCGTTATGGCAGACCAGTTCGACGACACGCTGATCCAGCGGCTCAGCAAGATGCCTCCAGGTACCCGCACCAAGGAGCAAGACGCGTATCTCAACGATTATTGCAAGGCTGCCAGCATCACCAGCGACACTACCGGCACTAACGCGTCCAAAAACTCGACCATCAGCCTCCGTGCCAGCTCTATTAACTTGTCAGCCCTAAGCAGCAACGCCCGCATCGCCCTTGAGCGTAGCATGGAAGGTGTCGAGGATCGCTGGAACCGATGTAAGTTGCGCGCTGCGGATCTAGCCCGGTCGTACGTCTCCTGACTATCCAATCATCAAGCATCCACGGTAGCCTCCAAGCCGAAGACAGTGTCTTCGTACTCCATTGCCATCCCGCCAACCCCCCGCCTCCAGCCGCGCCTCCACCGTCGTCCGAAACCGACCCAACGCGACCGCCCCGAGCGAAGCCACCTCCCGAACAACCGTTAGGGCTTCTGGGGAGCCCCCGAGTCCCAATGCATGCATGCCTCTCGATGAGATTGCGCGCCTGGGAACTGGGACCGCGAAGGAGACAGACCGAGAGTTCCGAGAGCTGATTGACGAGATGGTGGCGGCGCAGAAGACCCTGAGTGAGAACGACACTAAGCAACGTTACTTTTTTTTCAGCCAGCAGAAGAAGAACAAAGACTCGGGTAGCAAGTAATTGAGATGCTTGATATGTATGGTCTTTGGAGTTGGGGAGAGCCAGAGCATCGTGGCCTTGCGTGATAGACGATAGATCTAGGTCACATGTGACTCTTGAAGAATCATCCGCGAGTAGTAGGAAGGGTAGTAGACATGTACTAGTTTTTAGAATTTGGATGAGAGTATCGGGATGGGAGTGGTAGGGTCAGGTTAGGTTGGGGGGTTAATACATGGGTATTATATGGGGCTTTACGGCCATAAATGGGTACTAAACACTTCAGAAGTGAGCCGGTATTTATATTTGCCATGTAGAGTTATCGAAAAAAACTCAGGCTGAGAGTAGTGGGGATCCTAGTCGATCTCTTGAGTCAGGTACTTGAACTTATAAGTTAGACGACTTGGTTGTGTTCTGACTGTGTTATTTATGTTCCAGTCTTCATAGCATCTGTGGAATTGGCATCAACATCGTGTTAACCTAGCGACAATTTATTGCTAAGCTGCGCGTTTCGCGCGGTGGCACTGTTTGGGCTGTAATTATGGTGGATGAGAGTTTTGCGAACTCGTCTTTTCTCACAATTTTGACGGGAGAAAAGTATTGCCTATGAGAATCAGTTAGCCAGTCAAACTTGCCCCCTCATACCATGTCATGTTGAAGTTGCCTCCAATAAAGCCAACAGGGTTAGGATGAAGTCCCTCGGCGGCAAGATTCAAGCGCGATGTGAGTTAAGTTGAGAGAAATAATAAGCGTTCCATCCCGCCAGAAGTAGCACCTAGAGCAAGCGGCGTAGTCCTTCTTCCGTCGGGCGGGACGGAAACGATTCGATTGCCATGAGATAGGAATAGCACAATACCCATCCCGCGGGATCCTGGATCTGCCTATGGCAGTACACCCTTTCAATCCCGCGGTCCCGAGCAGGGGCTATCCGGTGGCTTAAATCCATTTTTCCAGTCAGGCCTAGAATATCCACCGGCCAATAGATTCCTAGTAGTGAGAGTATGCCTAAAGAACCTTTGATTTGCTTGGGAGCCAAGGTGACTACCGTGCATCATGCGTTTTTTCAATCTTTTTCATGATAGCTTTCACTGGGGTTTGACTAATGATCTTATGTAGAGACGTTGCTGAGGAGGAAAAGAGACAAGCTCGTCATGCATCTTTAAAGAGACTAAAGGGGGCCTGCAATGCTGCTAGACGGCGCTGTCGCTGCCAACGCCATGATCTCGTCCAGGCGCCGGCTTTCATCTTCTACCTCTCATGCCGAGTCTCGCCCATCCAGTATTCGATGGCTGGACTGGCGGGTATGGCACATGAATAAAAATGGCATTGACGCAATCTAGCCATCTTTGATCTCCCGCGGAAGCGAGAAGCTAGCTGAGCGGGGGTGTGTGTGTTTTCGCTCCTCGCCGCCTGGCCTCATGTATCATGAAGCTATGTTTTCTCAGGAACCTTGTCGCGCTTGACCTTGGTGCCCTCACAAATGTCTCAAGCGTGAGGTCCGGTACTTTCAGCCTCTTAGAGGATCTCATTGGTGTCTATTAAGATGCGAGAGTTAGAAGACGAACAGTAGACAGCTGAATCCACTGGCGGTTTCCCACTCGAGCCGCAGAAAATGCCGAGACGAGTAGTCTTCGCTGGATAATTCTGTAGGGGCATTCTATTCCACAATATCACTTAAATGAACTGCTCTCCGGCCCATCGACGTAGTTAAATGTTGGATCTCAATCTGGTGCAGGCGGCATTGCCATCTTAGGCGACATCCACCAACTAGCTTACAGTCCTGTCCTCATTAAACGCCATATGTACTCTTTTGGACCCCTTCGAGCTATTAGGAGCAAGCTAAGACTTATCCCCCTTCAGGCTCAAAGCGGCGTCAAGAAAGGCCGGCATTTCCAGCAGGGGATCTCCAAGTTCAAGAACGGCGGTGCGTTTATTGCGGCTTCTGGCTTACTAAAAGAGAACGGCGTTGACTCGAGATCCTTCGGCGATCCGGTCCGGGCCAACATGTTCGATTGAGGAGGCTTGTAGCTAAGCTAGTAGGGGGAGTGAGACAGCCATGCCCACAAGTACCGACCTACTGTATTCCTGATATGGCCAAGTGAGCGCTTGTCAGGATTTGCAGCGTCAGAGATCTAGATGTTCCGAGGCTGGAAGGAATTTCGAGTCTTGAGAATTTCATTGTTGACAAGGACGCTGTCCAGGGGAACAGACCTGAGCCAAACGGGGTGAAACGGGCTTCAGTTGGATGTTGGCATATTAAGGAGCCGACGTTCTCCATATAAATATATCAGCAGGACTTGAAGTGACTGATCGAGGTAGAATAGATAACCATGTCATATCGAGAATACATGCAGCAAGTTTAGGTCATCCGGTTAGGAAGGATGATTTGGACAGGTTCGTGTGCGTGCTCAAACCTGGTCACTATGACGTGTACGAGCCCTAATCAGTCCTTCTCCTTGCTAGGGGAGACTCGAACATTTTACAATGTAGACTCTGTGAGGGTCCTCTGCAAGCCTCCCGTTCTGATTCAAAAACACTGGCAGACCCGTTGACGAGTATCCAAACAAATCGATCAAGAGGAGAGAGAAGATTTTCGCTGTCTTTCTTGACATTTAGCATATTCTCTTTGCTCCGATTGGACGTACTCATTGGTTCATGTCTTGAACCTTACGAAAAGCTTTGGGCAGGCCCAGTTGATCTCCTGCTGTTAGGTATAACTAGTGGCAAGAACAGTTTTAAGCTTTACTTTGAAACAGTATCGTAAAAACTAACGAAAAAAAAGTGGTAAGGAAGAGACCGGGAATTTCACTCACATTTGGATCAAGAACACTGGAAAGTTGACTGACAGCGGCGTTGAGAAGCGATAGCAGCTTCTATTCCCATGCCAGTCTTGTTATCCAGCTTGAGCATGCGAAAACGGCCAACAGCATAGTCACAATGCTTAACATCATTTTGACCACAGTCAGTCCTCATTCTAGATCAACCTCGCTAACCTGTGACTTGGAGTTGGTTCCGTTGACATGTAGACGGATGGTGCCTGGCTGTGATTAGCTTATAGGGTAGCAAGGGAGTGATTTAACTGACAACTGACCATTTCATCATCATCACCCTACGCCCGCTTCAGATCTCAATGATAGTATTACGAATGAGAGACGAGCGGCCTTTCGACGTGCCCTACATGTTGTGCCTTGAACAAAATTGCAAGTGTTTCTTTCTTGCCTTGTTAACATGTTCAGAGAGACCCCCAGTCATACCAGTGATACAGGCAATGGAAGGCATACAGATAACCATCACTCACAATCTTTTGGCTCAATTCTCCCATGAAGGGCCGGGCTTTAACTATGACGAAGAACACATTAGCATCTTGACCACCCATCTGACGAGCAGTTGTTATGTCCAGGTTTTCAATCCATTGCAGGTTTCAATTTACTGTATGAGACGTACTAGAAACGACTTTTTCTGATCTCGGCCTAGCTTTAGGTCTCAATCATTCGCTCTATAGTTGTCGGTGCAGTTGTTGGTGCTCCGGTAGGAGAAGATAGTGGGCGTAACAGCCCTCCGCTCTCCATCTCACTGAGTTAAAGTAAGGACAGGCTGCAGAATCATGGCTTAACTTGCAATATCAATTGTAGAGGATATACGTGTAGAAAGTTCACCAACAGCTGTCCAGTTATTGACTGTATTGGCTCAGTTCGAGGTTGTGGCAATTTGACCCACCTACTAATCAAGGGGGCATGACCATCTTGAAAATAGGCTAATATAGTTGGAACCTCGTCTTCGCGCGGGGTGGGTAGCCTTCAAGGTGGAGTCTGGGCTAATGGGGTAATTCGGACGTTTGCTGTCCGTCCTGGAAGGGAAATCAGGAGACCCGTCAAAGTATATAGTATGAACTACTGCTCCTTTAAGCAGGAAGGTGAGGGCCGTTCAAATGGATGCTCCCTCTCAGTGACTCTTAAACTTTTTGATCAGGTCATCAGACATCGGCTTCTAGCTACAACATGAAGGTGACGATACTCGTCTTGTTTGCAACCGTCGTTACGGCCGCCACGCTGCCTCTACACTCCACCAAGGCTCATCGGCCTGTAAGTCTATTCATCGCCCCTGCTCGCTCAGCAACCAACGTCTCTGAACTGTGTACCTAGAGCTATAACTTTGTCGGAAGAGTCAACCCAGAGACCAAGGAGCTTACATGGCCGAGCACCGGCGTGTCTTTCATGTTCGACGGTACAAAGGCCATTATCGGCATTAGCACCATCACAGGGACCTCCAGCGTTGATCTAATAATTGACGGTGGCGACCCAATTCTCATTGGAAACGTGAATGGCACCTCAATCTCGACACCGACTCTGCCAAAGGGAACACACACTGTCGAGTTGCGTAAACGATCCGAGAGTTCCCTGGGTATTTTTCGCATCACCGATATCGACACAGATGGTATTCTAATACCGACCACGGTGCCGAAACGAAAGATTGAGATTATTGGCGACTCCATCTCGGTCGGATACGGCCTCGATGGGGTTCTGCCTTGCACGGACTCGGCCATTCTGCAAAACAACAGAAAGACATACGGCGCTGTGGCAGCTCGTGCTTTGGGTGCAGACTATAGTGTCATCGCTTGGAGCGGCAAGGGGTTGATCCGCAACTATGCTTCGACGCCTCCTGACCCTCTGCCGCCCATGCCGATCCTTTACACACGTTACGGCGCCAACGAGAAAGATAACAGTTTCTCATTTCCCAAGTCGTGGCGACCAGATGCTGTAGTGATCAACCTCGGCACCAACGACTTCAGCTATCTGGGTGTGCGTGATCCGGTTGATCCAGCGGACCTTACAAAAGCGCTAGTTGCGTTTGTGCGGAGCATACAATCTCACTACCCAAAAGCCCATTTCTTCTTTGTGTCTTCCCCAATGCTTAGCGACAACTACCCCTCAGAGGCTGATGCGCAGAAATCCATATCTGTGCAGGTGCTCAAGAACGTGATGCGGCAACTCCGTGGTGTGAAAACTCATTTGGTTGATTGGCCTTCTCAAGGCTCAGAAGTTGGCTGTGATTACCATCCAAACGAAGCCACTCAGCTTCAGGGCGGTGCATTGCTCGAGGCATCAATCAAGCTGGCTCTAGGATGGTAGGGCTGTAGATTGCCTGGTGTTTACATGGCAGCAGCATCAACCCAGGGTTATCTTGTATCTCTTCCTTCATTGCCACCGAAGTTGCATTGAAGGGATCTGAACTAGACATGAACATACCGTTCCGAATCATAAGCCCTCACGTGTTGTCTGAGATACCTATATATAGAGACCAGAGGCGGAACCCGTGACGACACTATGGCCCTGGCCCTGTGGATATCTGCAGGGGCATTGTAAATCAAACCCCAGTGGCAGTTTACAGAAAAATAATTCAACCTCATAGCATACTCAGAGGGCAAACACTTCTAAGTGATTTACTTCATTACTACATGAGTCTGAATCTCGGTAGCCCAGGCAAGGCAGGCCAGAACCTTGAAACTCATCAGTTCCCGTCTGAGACTGTGAAGTGAGGGTGGGAGTTCTGCGTGATATAAACCGTGGTGAATCCTGTTCCTCCCATAAGACGCAATAAAACAGCGCGAGATTAACAACGGTGCCGAGGCCGTCAAGCCTAGTAATACCATTCAATACCGTGACAGGCCCGAGGCGCGTCTTCTCGCCCTAGATAATTGCTGCTTAGCCAAGTAAAGCCTTTAGCCTTTCACCATCAGCTCTAGAATTGTTATGTCGGGGGACTAAAACCGAGGAGTCTGATGGCTTCGGACGTTTATCTGCGGTGGCGGCGATTGGAATCAAGGGATAACCTCATACTTTTTAAGACAAATCCCAGAGTTTGTCAGTCAGGCAGGAATCGGACTCTTAGGGCCTAGGGGTTACTCTTGTGGTGATGGCGTGCTTGGCCTAGCGGTGAGTTGACTATTGAACTTCAGCGGGCCATCGCCACCGTCAAAGGTAGACTGTCACCGGTATACAGCCGCTTCGGTCTTCCTTTTCGGCTATGCGGCTATAAAGACGCGACCCCTGAGAATTTGTCCCTCTTCTTCGGCAACCTCTAATTTCCCATTCTCACCGTCGACCAAACACGATGCTAATATCCCCCTTGACCTTCCTTATACCAAGAGGCCTCCACGTTTTTATCCTTGATGAAATGCTATCATTGTGCTGTGCATTTATGCGCACGTCAAGTCAAAACCATAGCCACTCAGTCTCTCGACTACCGCATGAGACTAGACGCATTTTTTTATCACAACACCAACTGGTTCTGGGAGATGTGCCATGGCAAATTTTATGTAAACCTGACTACCTCCACTAGCATCATGGTTTTGAGCCAGCCTCGTCCCTGGTCTAGTGCCCTCCACTCAAAGGCGTCTGAAAAATGCGGACCCTGACTCATCATCAATAGAGACATGCTTTCGTTAGTTAATGGAGAACTCTCTATGGTCTATTTGAGCGAGTGCTAGTCCGGTGATATTAGTCTCTGTGAACAGTGCTTCCTCCGACAATCTCCTCCTTGACCAGGACAATGCACAGCAAGGCCACACATCACCAGGCAATACCCTCCGCTTCTTCAAGTTTGACAATATCTAATCAGACATGTGGCTGTCCTCCTTCCTAACTAGCTCCTGAATCGCGGTGCAATTGCTTGACCCGCTCAAGATTGGTACGGTCATGGCAATACATAACAAATGTCACCTAAGCAAGCCTATATTTTGTGATGGAAAAAATTATCCAACGGCCCTAGAAGCAATTTTGGCCTCTATTGTGATACAGCACATTACTAGACTCCTGTACGTGGTACTGCTCAAGGAAGCGCCTGGATTATGTAATCAGCCAGCTCCGATGCGGTCGTTCAATCCCACGAGGAGGAGATGGCACTATCTGTTCAGCTGGGCTTACTAGATGCTCAAAGATGTGGTCAAGCTGACATCCAACTTCGGGCTTGCGATGATGTAATAGACGATGAGCTGGCGTTTTGACTGTTGATCTTATTTCATCCTAACTTTTGGAATGACGAGGGAGCATGGCTGGTGTAAGCGTAGGCGGCTCTGAACTCAACGACAATGGGAGATTTCGTCTCGATTGCGACTGGGCTTGCGATGCTCAGGTTACCTTTGCTAGGGATAATCGACCGAGTCTGGGATAGGTGATCGGCCAGAGGCTGATGCTTCGACCCGGTCACTGAGGACGCCTAGCGACACGGTTTCGACGAAAAGCAGAGAGCTAGCAAAGAAATGAGGGTTACTACGATGTTTCCAAAGTTCTCGGTGGTTGGAAGGGGGAATTAGATTGTGCACCTGTTCACTTAACCGGGCCTGTTGTAATCACCAGGAGGCTCTTGGACCTACATAGCCCGATCCGGGCCCGGATCGGAGGTCGGAGGTCGGACCCGAGCCGTGGTCAGCAGCGCCACCGTACCCGGTTGAAGAATGCGGAAGTGTCGCCATCATCAACAGGTTAGGAAAAAGCTAAACTGGAACATTAAACCCAAGCTAACCTCAAAATCCACCATTCCTTAACCAATACCTAGCTTTGTCGTGTTGCTTAATGCTGCCTCTTCATGTGACCCTCCTCGTCCAAGTCACTAGCTTGTTTCAACGTGCCCCCCCATGTTCACGTTTCACCCCCCCATATGCCAAGAGTTAGATCACGTCTTTCTTCAAGGATCTTTGTCATATCAAAGGCCTAAAGCTTATTTGTTCACTCTTCTTATGAATAACTCATTTATAGTCAGCTAATTCCCCAAGGTATCATCTGTCCAACATTCCCACCCCACCTATCAGCGCAGTTATCCCATCAAGGATCAAGGGCCGGGTTTCAATTGCAACAAGGGTCGTAATATCAATACATCATGGCATCATACCCAACGCTGACATTGTGGCCTCATCCATAGCATCGAATTCCACTCCAAGAGCCTCTCACTCCGAAGACCCAAAAGATACACACAACAGCCAAGGCATTCCTCTGGCTCAGAGCTTGTACATCATCTCGCGAGACATGACGTCTACCTGGATCTTCATCTCGCTGATCGCCTGCTCCATCACCAAGATGGCCCGAAATGTAGAGTCCGGGCCGTTGCCAGCCTCTCTCTCAGCATGAGCAAACAGGGTATCCCAGGCATGTCCTATCGCCCACGTTGGGGAGGAGGTTGAGAGTTCCGTCATGGCGGTGGACGTGCTCGAAGTGGTGGAGTTGCTGGACTTTATGGTTGTAGCTCTACTCGACATGGTAGATTCAGATCGCCCACTCCGGCGGGAGACATCGCTGCTGGCTCGGGAGCAGTATTCGGACCTGTTTGGACGCCGCCATGGATTGTGCCTGATTTTGCGATCAAGACGGCTGCGGGATCTCCGGATAGAGGAGTTGGACTGATCCATATTAGAGGGCACGCCGCAGGTGCAAACGGAGGTGTATAACTCACCGGGATAGGATGCTTCTCGACGGTCTCTGGGTTAGTCACCTCCACGTCCATGCCACCCTTGCGATTGACCAGCCACTGGTACGCGTCGGCAGGCGCATTGAACGAGTCACCGTCGAGTCCATGCGTCTTTGCCATCTTCATATAGTGCCGGAGCGTCTTGTTGAGCCGCTTGCTGATGATGCCGAGAAATTCGTTGCCATGGTCAAAGTTGCAGGATTGAATGGCATGTTGTCGATGGGCAGGGTCGTCCTGATCGTAACCCCGCGCACAGGCGTATAGGACCATGGCCTTGGTTTTGAGGCAAAGCCAAAGACCTGCGTTGGGTCCATACTCACCGCCCTTTGCGTACTTGGTGATGTCGACTCCGCAGAGGAGAGACGGCGAGGTTTCGATGCACATAGCTGACGATGAGGCTGATGACCAGGATAAGGTGTAGGCTAGTATGGTATCTAGAGAAGATTGGAGAAAGATGGATAGAGGCCAGGATGGGGGGCAAGAGGCAATGATGTCGGAAGAGAGAGAAACTTTTCAAATAATCCACATGAGAAGGATGTGATCTTTTCTGTTGCCTTTGTCTCTAGCCTTGATCCATCGACAGGCATCGGTCTATGCACCTGATGTCAGCTTTTATGTCTGCCCCGCCATGCTTTATTGTCTCCTGTCGTAGACCTTGTTGGCCAACTTTGTGGCGGCCCATGGCAGATTGTCTGAGTGACCTCTCCAACCTTTGTTTCTGCTCGATCGCTCATGTTGGCTAATTGAGTTATTTGCCAAGAAACATGCCACGATCAATGCGTTCAAACAACTGGCAAGAGCTGCACCGGGGCTTCGTGCATCATCTTTGACTTGGGCCTAAGGGGTCGATCTATGGCCATGCGTGCACTATATGCATGCACTCAACCTGCATGAAGGAGACCCACAGAGCAAAGATACGAGTTTGTGGCCCGCGATACTGATGGGAACCACCAGGCATCCATGGATATACGCCTCGCATATGAATGAAGTGCCGTCTTTGTGACGCTGGCGGAACGGCGCCTGAAGAGACGTTGGACGAGTGACGTAATTGACGTTTCAAGGGCATTTATTGTCTTTATGCGAAGGACGGAATGGCATGGAGCTTATTCAGGCTCATCATATGACCTTGTATTAGAACAAAGCCCTCCACTCCTCCAACGCCCCCATCACGATGATACATCACCAAAAGAGGTCATTCATTCGTCACAGAAAAGAAGCAATGAAACGGTTGGAAAATGGTGCCTGCTGATGAATCTCATCGAATGTATAGTCAGAATACCGCTTAAAGGGAATAAGAAGGACTCTTTGGCAGAATGGCGATATCCTGGCGCACGTGATAAGAGAGAGCTTCGCTTTAAAATGTCTTCTCCCGGTTGAGTCTGACTTTGGTTCTTGCTGCCCCTGGATGCTAAACTGAACGGCTTCAATATCGTGACTTGCCACAGTCACCTGTTCATCCTGAGATACTGTTCATCTCGTCGATTTTGAGGCTTGACCTCTTGGAAACCATCTCATTTCGCCCAGTCTCTTCGCCTTCTCCGAATAGAGTTCATCTTCAAGCATCTCCTCGTTCCACTCGCTCAGCTCTGGCGTCTTCAGTACTGTTGATAACTCAACCACGTCTTCCCGTGGGCAAGTTTTCACTGCCAGAGTCCACCTCACCCATCGCCTACTATTCAACCCGGCTCCGCCGCACTGCTGCCACTGCAAGACCAGATTCCATCTGGCTCCAACTACTGCTGGTGTCTGAGTTGAATTAAGTTCATCTACCCCTCGTTCAGTGCCTTGCGCATCTCGAGCACCCGCCTATTGAGTTTATCTCTCCCAGGCCCAGGGCTGAGGCCATCTCGCCCAGCACTTTCGCCCTCGCGTCGACAGACATTTGTTGATGCCTCAATCAGCATATATGCCAAGTTAATCTCTCCCCCGACTCGTGAGCTCACCTCACTCTGCATTTGCTTTCATCTCGCACAGACGTCGTTGGCAAATCCAGCTTGTCGCCCTTTTGGCCAGATCCGATCTCACGAATGATTCGACTTACTCAATCTTCACCTGACACTTCTTTATCGTGGAGTTTAGCACCATCAATAATCGGTCTTGTACCGTATTTTCTCAGCCTCGTCCATCAGGGCCATTTTGAGATGGATTCTCGCCTCATGATTGCATTTATCCCGCCCCTTGTCACAGAACCGAGTCCAGCTCGATATCCCTGTCCCATCATGTTCATCTCACCGATGATGCGAGGATTCGAGACCCCGCGTCACCTGCTCTCTTCTCTCGAGTTCATCTCGTCAAAGTCCGTGGCTAGGTCGCATAAGGTGTCGCGATAATGCCATGTTGAGAAGTTGAATGTCTTGGTAGTATTCTGTTATTCTGTTGAATGATCGAGGTTTACTTAATGAGTTTTCTGCACCTGGAGGGATGCGTATATGTTGGGCGATGTGTCTTGTCATCCTGAATGATGGGTACCTATCAACTGGTGAGATATCATTCGTGGCTGGGGTCAAGTGGGAGCCTGTGGTCTAGTAGTCCGACGGCGTCTGGGGGTGATTCTTGATCCAGGTGATGCCCCGCATGACCTTCGGCCGGCCTACTGTGGGCTCAAGGACTTCTCACAGCCATGTGGAATAAGAGCATTTCGGTCTCGCGGTATCGAAAGTCCAGGCTCATTCCGCCTCGCAGGATTGAAACACTACTATTCGGGGATGTTCGGTGGGATCGAAATCAAAAGCATGAATCTCATAGGATCAAATCTTCGAAGTTATTCGTCTGGTACGATCGAAATCCTCCCAACATAGTGTGCCTAATTCTAGTTGGTATCGAGATCTTGTCACTACAGCACCAACGGCCCAATCCCTACAGACACCAAAAATGCTCAGCCGCGAAGCTAAAACTTTTGATAAGGTCTCTATATTAAAATTGTATAAAGGCATGGGTCCCCGTGGGATTCTTACCTATCTTCCAAGTAAAGGCGCTTGATCTTTTTGAAATACGTGTCCAGGATGTTGATCAACTCCAGCTCTGCCATCTTCCAATCCCTATCCCTCCTCAATCGGCTGGCTAATTGAACAATTTTTATTCGAATTTCCCCCAGCTCTTTACCATCATGTTCAATAGCCTTCCTGATCTGGTTTGTCCCAATGCCGGCCATATTGCTCCCTGTACACCCATACCTCGCACGAAGTTCAGCATCCCACAGCGCTCGGAGCTAGTTCTCCAGAGCATAAATCTCAGCCTGTAATGCTTCTAAGTCTTCCAACTAGCCACAGCTAAGGTAGCCCCAAAACCACGAGGGGGAGTGGTGGTCCTTGAGCCGCCCTTGCAGGTCCTTCAAGTTGGTCTCTTCAGATGTAGAGTATCGGTTGAGCTGGTCTTCCCATGAGCAGAGCGTCTTATGCAGGTCGTCGATGCTAACGACCCCAGTGGCCAGTTGGTCGCTGATCTTGAGCCGGTTTTTGTGTGCCTTGTCGCATATTCGCTTAACATCGTCAATTCTGCGGAGGACTCGGTTGACATTGGTCTCCTCAATGTAAAAGAACCGAAGTATCTCAGACCACCATCCTGGATCCCTGGATGAGGTGATGAGCAACTGGTTGAGCTGGCAATCTAATTGATAAAGCTGGTCTGAGATCAAAAGTGTTGCGTCATCAAGGGCCGAGTCAAGCTCGTCAAGTTCCTCGTTAGACAAGGATGCGGTGCTTGTGAGGGCGTAGGCGACATCCCTCTGCACCTTGACCGCGATCTGGCCCAGTATTCCTGCATGCACTGACAACTGGGGCAATCTATGATCACCTTCTCCGGGATTGTCGCTTTGGTCCTGAGTAAACTCGGGCAGGGCCACCTTGATGGCACCACAGACCGGTACTAGAATGGGAGGAGAGGTTCTAGAGCAAGTCGTGAGGGCCTGATTGAAGGACACCGGAAAGACCTGGCTCGATGTCAAGATGGCAATGAAGATACCTAAAAGGACAAATACCAGGCGGCCAGTCTGGAGAGCCAGGTCCCAAAACTGGAGTAAGCCGCGGAGGGACAAGCCATTCCAAGTCGTTCGGATCAAGGAGAAGATCGCATCCACTAGGGTTCAGAAAATTTTGGCGAGGCGACACCCTGCGACGGTACCGAGTTGTCCCCAGGTAGGCGAAGGGGGCGGCGAGTCAGGATTACACATAGGCCGGGAGATATGGCGACGAGGGTGACGAGGCAGGCCACGGTTCCTGTCATGATTAGGAAGAGTGTAGCCCGTCTCGTCGTTTCGAGGAGGTGATGGTGGCCGCGGGGTATTTAATGAAAGATCTTGGTCGCATGAAGAATGCTGATTTGTTGAAGAGGGTCGACTCGTGGGTTTCTAGCTTGGTTAGCAAAGCGTTTGATGAGGAATATTAAGGCTCAGCGTACATCTTGATCGTCATTGGGAACTTCCGGCCTTCTTGCGGCGGTGTCGTGGCCTGCCTCTCTCCATGGCCACTTCTGTTCATCAACCTGGTGCTTTGCATCATCTTGCTCCTGCTGAGCATTGGCTGCAGCCTCTTGCTTGACAGCTTCTTTCTCAGCAGCTTGCCTGGCACGGTCTAGATGGCACTTCAGCTTACGCTGCTTGGCCTCAGAAAAGATGGGTTTGTCCTGGTCATCCATGCCTGGTAGTGCATTGATCCGATGAGACCTTGGCAAAGTTTGGAGACGGGAACATAGGCCGCGGCAGGAGCTCTTATGCGGTGAGAGCCGGGTAGGTTTGTTGGCTATTCTTCACTTTGACCCCTTTGATGTTAATAACCATAAGATTCTCCGTTTGACAATGCTGCCTGAGTATGTGAATGATGTCGTCACCGTCTTTATTTCACATCGGTCTTTCAACTGACGTTGCCTGACGTGTTAGTGAACTCCACTCACCTGCTGCTCATTTTCTTTCCAGCGACTGCCTGTGTATGCCGCTGCATTCTGTCACTTTGATTCCTTTCACCCTCGCCACGTTCCGCGCTCTTTGATGTCATTTCGCCTGTGTGCGAGTAGCTCCGCTGGATCCCACCTGATTCTCACCCGCCGCTGCAACCCTGTCGGTTGATAGCTACTAGTATAAATTGTCCCCCGAATAGATGATAAGTCCAACCCATCTGAAAGCAGCCATGAGGAACTTGAACTCTCAACAGCCACTCGGACACATACGCTCTACTTGACCAGCAACAACAAGAAATAAGACATGTTCGCCCTCAAATCTCTTCTCACCATCGCCTTCATGGCCTTCGTAGGCATAATCACACTCTGGCAGTCCTCAACCACCCAAATCGACTCCCCCATCGGGAAAATCAGTATCCACCAGAGTAAGTTCATTGCAGCCAATAGAAAGCTCTGGAGCTAACCATCAGTGCATGTTGATCGCATCTGCCATGTCTATGATGCCATGCGGCGCGTTCGTCCCGGCCTGACCTTACCTACCAACCTCTACGACTATCTGGGCGTCGGCAAAAGGAGTGATACCGACGCTCTAGGCATTTGGAGAGTCTCCGCCTCCCGCGCTTGGAATTACCTTAGCGACAATAGAGAGCCCGACCGTGAGCTTTTCCTCCAAGCCTCTTCGGTGTTGCTGGATCAGTCCACTCGCAGTGTGTATGATGGTACGTTTTGGCCTGCCATTGAGGCTGCACCGCGTCATCTCAAAGTCCAAAAGCTGAGAGAGTTATGTGCTTGGACCCAAGAGTAAGTCTTCGTGAAAGACGTGTTGTAAGAGGGTATGGTCGATGGTTATTTGGAGGACAGGAAATGGGCACCTTTGAATCAGCAGCACTGTAACTAGGAATCATGGCCAAGGGAATTGAATGAGATGGTATAGGACCTTGCGGACATCAAAGCTTCTAGGACTGGTCCAGCAGAGCAACAGAAAGCTCATTGTGTGCCTTTGATGGTTATGTATAGTAGGATTTTCCTGATGATAGTGTTCGTGAGCAAACATCCCAGTCACGGAAAAGGCCAGAAGCCACGGTTCCTTGGTTCATCATCGCGGTATATGCCTAGTGAATCTTAGCTGCGCTGCAGGTTGCAGACAAAGGACTCTGGTGCCTAATGCTAACAGAGTAACGATGCAGTTGATATGCATTCCTGCATCTTTGTGCGTTGTCCACACGTCACATCGGGCACACTCACATGAATGCCATTTGATAGTCTATAATCATCCGCACCTGTACCTCTCCGCTGCCCAAAGATGTCATCTTTCGTGGCTGTGGGCAAACAACTGCAACTGCAGCAAGACAAAGCGCCAGGACAAGTGAAAGCGTGGGATGGTGGCACAATGTACCTTGCATGTCACCTACCGGTAGAGTGCCTAACCTCCAACAAAGGCTCTTGGGCAACCGGCATATTAGGTTGGTGAAAGGCGTCTGCCTACCCTTGCTGCGCCTTTCAGTTGTCATTCCGTTTGTCAATTCTTCTCGCTATCATGTGGTAGACAGGGACAGAACTACTTTATTCATTGCTTTCACGTCCCATGACTAGTCAAGATTCTATATTTAACATAGACAACCTCGACCTTGTCATATTTTCATTTCAGACTCTTCCTCTTACGGCTCTTTTCTTCCTCTTCCCCCCCGACCTTCTTACCCTTAACCCCCTTCCACTATCACATTCTCCTTCATTACTCTCTTCGTGCCTACCACCGAACAACCTCACTGTTGGCGCCATGGTCGTGACTGACCGTATCAAGGAGCGTACCCGCCACATCCAGCGATATTACCCTGCTGACGGGCCCATGCCTTACAAGCATCTCATTACCCCCGAACATCTCGCCAGAGCTCAGTTTCTGCAGCCCAAGTACAAATTCGATGACTTCCCCGGTGATCTTGAAGAGTTTCCCGCCAGCTGGGGTGATGCATCGAGTTCATCAGGGAAGAACTCTCTGTCGGGCGTCCTACATAGCCCTGCATGGACGTCTCTGCCGACTCAATCTCAGCCTGCTTCTAGACAAGTGATTGAGATCGAGTCAGAAGTCCTGCCTAAGGCTGGCGGTGCTAATCAAGATCAATTAGCTCAAGTAAGCTGCCTCTTGATCAAAAGTTTTTCTGTCATTCACTTGACCTCTTAGGATCCTCCCGTCCAGGCTACCGCCCAGCTGTCTCTGAAAGGCCCTGACGAGCAGGCGAAGGATGCACAGGTATTGAGCCTTCTCAAGTGACATGACTTCAGCTGACCATGCCAAGGGCGCAATGTCCTTGCTCAAGGACCTCGTTGATGGAACTCCCGCACAAACCCCACGGACCGACCAGCAATCCGAACGTGCCACTGGTCGCCCCCGCGACCTCTCGGAACAGCTAATCCCCGATGTCGACTGCTGGGGCAGTGTACGTCGCCTTTCCAACCCCTGGAACACAACCGAGAAAGGCACTGGCTGTAGTGGGGATAATGGGATAGAAGTTGTAGCAACTTCTCAGCCTGCCAACGCTTCAACCTACTCGGTCGAAAATGGGGGGCCCTCCATGACCCAGCATCAAGTGAACAAGCCCAACTCGTCAGGTGCTACTTCAATTCTGAAGCGATTCATTGCCGACACATTTCAAGTCGAAACACCTGCTACCCCCAAGAAGCTCGATGGCCACCAGGTCGGCCAGCCATTGTCTCAATGTTTCCTCACCCCCAATTTCCACGTACCCCCCGACAGTCCTTTTGCGATGCGAGTCCAGGCGGGTCCAGCTGAGAATTTGGGTACTTCCAGCAAGGATGGTCCCAAGAAGGAGTTCAAGTACTCCAAGGAACAGGTGGCCAAGTATGTCAAATGGTGCAAGAAGCAGCAGCAGAAGCATGTTGATGGTAAGGATGCTTGCAAGGGGGGTTTACACCACACTGACCCAAAGGGCCATGATGGGAAGGGGAAGCGAAAGGATATTTAGGGATATGAATCGCTGTGTCAGGGGGTTGGTTTGAGATCGATGGCATGTGATTAGATAAGAGAGTCTGATTTGAGTAGGTAGCTGAGATATCTTGGATATGAGGCCACAGATGATTGGCACAGTAGGTTTGGCCGAACAGAAGATGGATATGTGATAAGCTAGATGAGATGAATATCCCTCGTGAATGTCATTTGTGTCTCAATCTATCTACTTAAGAAAACAACTTGATCACACAATCAATGACGGTTAGTCACTGCCCTTACATACCAACATGCAGTCACGTCCACCCCCTCTGGCCAAGATGCTAAATTTGGCGACATGTGGGTAGGTAGGTCGACATGGAGAGACAAGAGCGGTGAATCTTCAAACTGAAACTTCGGTGTTTTCTTTAATGCGTAAATCTTTTATCGCTGTCATCACTGATACCCACAATATGGCTGTCGCCAGTCCGGGCATCGGCAATGTCGGGTTTTCGTGTCAGTTAACCGCTGACATGTCCATCATTCCCAGCCGCGACGAAGGCGATCGGCCGTCACAGAATAAACGATCACTGTCATTTAAAACGGTGCCATCTAGGGGACACCAGACCATCCTGCTCACTTTTTGATTACTACTTCAGTTGGTCTACTATCAAGGCATCCCAACTCCAAAGACTGGCCTTTCTGCTGCTCAAAATATGCAGGTGTGAGGTCTGTTCACTATTCGCAGACTCTAAACCGACAAACGATGCGAACAGTATCCCAACTCCTTTCTACTATCTTCTGGCTCAGTTCATGCATCAAGAGCTGGGCTTCAACTAGGAGAAAAAACACATTGGCAGCTGTTTCTACAATGGGCATTGCCGCCTGCATGTAGGGAACCTCGGGCTCGTCAAAAGAGAGCGAGCCAATTCCCACATATCGAGGCTTTGGATGTATGCTCTATTACATGTTACCGTCGCCAACTATGGCAATGTGTCAACATCCCCAGCCGGAGTTTTCACTTTCTTAAATACAGTGGGGAAGAGGCCGCATATAAGCCAGGTACCATCATGTTCTTCGTGTTTGTCGATGGCACTGGGGGTGATAGATGCCTAGCTATTCTGGGACATGGGCAGCGAACAAGGCTTGAACAAGTCATTCAGGTCGTTCACAGGCAAAATTAAAGTCAGAAACTGATTTGAAAAAGCCGGAGCCAATATTCGCCCCGCGCGCGAGCTGGCGTGACTGCTGAGAGCATCTGAACGTGTTTGTCAAGCCTACTCTCAGTCCCCATGATAGACAGGCAACCGGTTTTCTCCTTAAATCCCTACAAAGAAGCGGCGAATTGAAAGATGGGCAATCAGAGACTCAATAGAAATAATCACATGGCTGATGAGTGTTGAGTTGGCCACACACCAAGTGCCAGTTAGAGTCTTGGACATCGTGCTGTCGTGTTTATTCTATGCCCGCTTCGCTGGGAAGAAACTACACGAGAATGTTTAAAATGAACAGCAACGTCGACTTATGGTAAGGGCTGACGAAATCGCCGCCAATCGCGTGTTGTAAAGGCTCGTTGAATGATTGTTTATTAATCAGGCTGGCCGTGTATCCCCTTCGCACCATACACAGCTGACCCGCGTACTAGTCTCGGACATCACCGCGAAAGGCTACACCAGAAAGTGGCTAGCGACGACAATATGAAGTTCAGATTGGACGAGTCGACTGAGAGATCGGGAGGTCAGGACGTTGGGGCCGGCGGCGAGGAAGGGACTTAGGATCGGCGGCACACGGAAGCGAGGGATTAGAGTAGTCTCACCTTTCATCTAATCGTTTGCTTTATTCTAACGCTGTGACTCCTAATTGAGGATTTCAAATACTTTCATGTGTCCCGTAAGACTCCTATGCATCTCACCTATTATACACCATGTTGGCATGAATGAAAGCAATCGTATGGGCTGATTTAGACACAAATGGATATGTAGGCTAGCAATGAGACTAGTGTATTAAAAAGTCCAAACCAGATATCAATTTATATAAGTGATGAGTTGATGATGGTTAAGAGTTCTACAGCCAGACAAGGCTGATGCTGACGAGTGTGTATGATAGACCAGAGTTATACTCGTGAGAGGCCCGACTGGAGATTGACTCGCCTCTCAATCGGAAACGGCATGTGAGTTTCCCCTTTTTAAAAGGTTGTAAAATTATCCTGTTGGAATTAAACTGGACGTTTAGACTTATTCTATGAGAGTTCAATCAGCCTTGGCTGAGCGAGAACTCCACGAGTCACTGGAGGATATCTAATGCCAGAGTGACTAGCTCATTACTACATCAAGTCCGTTCTCCGGTAGTCTTACTGTCTTTCTGGTATCTAGTTTGTAAGTGAAAGGGGCTGGGAGTGTTGTGATTGTGCCGTTTATTCTGAGAGTCACCAAGTCACCGCCAAGGCCTCGATGTGATAACAAAGCTAGAAGACCATGAGCCTATTAATATTGCCATGTGTTAAGATCTATGTTATTTGGGAAGTAAGTTGACTATATTGACCTATGACAACTCTTTCTCGGTCGTGGAATAGAGCCGCGATGTGAATAGTATGAGTTGAGTGTGGTGGGAATTGGTGGGAGTGCCGAGGTTTTTGCGCCTTGCGATTATTATCGTAGTGTCTTGTGCAATCCGGGCGAGGGATAATGGCAGCAGTCTTGATGCTATGCGCTGCATTTCATTGGGACCAAGAGACTCCCGGTTCCGTCTCTGTAACAGTTCATGTCGGGGGCGTTTCGACATCTCCGGTCGTACTCGCCTTTACGGCTCGCTTGCCAGGTGATATTCATAAGCTGAGTAGGGTGAGTTTATAACTCACTCGCAGAAAGATTGGTGCAGCGAACTGAATATATGGCTGACCTGCTGGAGAGCACGGCGGAGGGAATACACTTACGAGGGCGTGGCTCGAAAAATCCGGGCGAAGTGGTCGTCGGGGTGTTTGACTTGCACATGTGAATTGTGAGAACCTACTCGGGCTGCCCTCCCGACGATGCAGCTCACATCCTGCCAGGCTATCGTTATGTGAATCTTTTTTCGAAAATTTCGAACGGTGTGGACATCCCTCATATAATCGGGCTCTAGCAACATTGGTGCCTTCTACGTCTAGAGATGAAAGAACCAAAACTGGAACGGCGATAGCAGAGGCCACAAGGGGCAGAAAAATTGCGACTCTAGAAATCCATTGCGGAGAGGCAATGAGAGATGCTAGGACACTATATTTAATTGATAGACCCACCTTAAAGCCTTGCGAACGCTCAGTGTGGTCTATAGCAAAGTGACTGAGGTGGTTGTCCGAAGGGCAATACGGTCTTCTGGCTCGATTTTCTGGCTCAGTTCCTATCAGGGGCCTGGCTGTAACGAAGGGCAATACATAACACGTCCAGGGTAGAATTTCTTTCCCTAACATTTAGAAGTTGGCAAATAAAGCTCAGTCCCGTGGCAGAGGTCAGCCATGCGAAGTATATTTCGCAAAACCCAATAACCGCAGATTTAAAACTGCACATACTGGCAATGATCAGCTTATACTCAGTGATAACAGCGTTGATGTGGCCCCCAAGCTCATTTTGACTGGTCCTCATCGCCATCCTGGACGTGCCGGTCGATCCAATTGGCTTTGTCCCATGTCCAGGTGCCAAAGTCTCGACTCTGTCTCCCGGTTGAAAAGCTGTTTGATTTGTCAACCGGTCCAGACATTAATTGTAGAACAAATACAGCGGATAGTTTCTTGCATTGAAGTTAACTAGGCACGATAGCTTGGTTGTGTGGGCAACTGTGTTTGTCTTGCAAGGTTGCCTCGATCTGCCCTCTAGGGTATGCTTTGAGGTATAATACCTTTAGTGACGATAACTGGTGCTCTACCAAGAAGCCCCAGAGCCCGGCCTTGTATTTGTGACTTCAACCTCTTCCCTGATTGAAGTTTCCCCGTGTCTGTATCAGATCAAATCACTCAATTTAAACAGATGGTCTTCAGTAACTTCTACGAAGAAGCATGCTGAAGTAGATGCTTCTTGTCAAGCTGCCCCGACTATTTTATCGAGCGCAGTTCAAGGTGTAGAAGAGAGTTGCCATCATTGTTGAGCACCGCATTAGCTAAAGATCAATTCCGAGGAACACCCGACCACTGTTGATTGGAAGTTCGATTGCGCCGGCGTCTTTTCAATTTATCTATTTTCTATTTTTTTCTTTTTTCCCTCACCACCTGAACGACGGCAGAACAGCCGCACCCTGACCTCGACTGAAGTCGTCCACTTTCCTCAACCTCATGTCCCCTAATTCTTAGAGCCACGCATTCTCAGCGTTTTTGGCGTACACTTATTACTGATCTACTTCATTCTTACCAACTCAACGCTGCGACGACTAAGCCACTCTAGTCTCGACTACTCTCTACTGGTCGTGCTCTCCTCTATGACCCTCGAGTGCTCCCTTAGCGTGTCATCAGATATCCCAGCCTTCAGAGCAAGAGGCTCGTCGAGGTAGTATTTCATCGCGCGGAAAAGGAACATGATGGTTTCCAAAGCTCAGCTTGCGAAACTGCGGTAGGCCCAAGGCGACCTTCGGGCTCAGTTAACCCATCGAGGGACGGGCTGCAACTGTAATAACGAACAGATTTGTAGACCCAAGGCATGACCTGACCTCCCAATCCCAGTTCATACGTTTCCTGCACCCTGAAGCACATGTGAGTTTGCCTTCACGCTCACGATGCGGCTCAACGCTTCCATGAGCGAGTGACGCCAGGGTAGACTCACCCTGACCTCGTCATTGCAGTCAAGCCATCATCCAAGACATCCACGTGTTCAACCTCACCGCCCTCAAACCCTCACAGCTAGCATTGATAACATCCTAGATAAGGTCCACGTCCATCCCCATGCTCAGGAGCTCTTCAATCGCGTGCCAGAGACACCATGGGAGGACTTATGATGAACACTTCCAACCTGCAAAGCTTCTGTCATTGTTAGATAGAGCAACCTAGCGACGAAGTATCTCCACTAGTATCTTCAACTGATGTCGTGATTCTGGAAGCGGCTTTGGCCGAGCCAATACGTTTGGTCCAAGGCGTCTCAAATAGCAAACACGAACATGAAGCGCCAAATTTGACGACATGAGCCTTCGGGCTCTTGATGGGCATGATGGAGACTACCCGTCCTCTGGATGGTGTTTAATACCACTTGTTCCTCTTGATACAATTGCAAGATAATCTCGCATCCTCTAGTTCAGTTTTCTCATCGAGGCCTGGCTTCACCTATAACAAAGAGCACATTACCAACGTATCACAAAGACATATCTCGATGCTAATATAGGGCCACAAGATAATCTCACCTCCTCTACTTTAACCGCAATAAACCTGCTCTCGCTAAGCATGTCCTCACTCTTGGTAGTATTATCCTTTGTACTCTGGTACATTGGTGGGCTTGTTGCCCAAGAGTTCGGAACCGTCTCAAGTGACCTCGAGACTCGCTGCTCACGACGCAATCGGGCCTTGTCTACATAATATGGCTAATCTTTCACCTTTGCAGTCAGCCTGCCGTGGCCTTTTTTTTTATTCTATGCAAGAGATATTGATCATTCCTATTTGGTCTAACTCACTATTACCATGACTGTTCCAGTTTCGGTTCTTTCGTGCCGAGGCAAGCGTTGACCCTTCCATGATAGGCCAGCAAAAAGAACAAGCTCAATGGTGGGCAAGGCGAGAGCAAGACGCTCGTAAACCTAATCTCATCGGCCTCCGCTGTCCAACAGAGCGGGTGTCTCGTGACAGTGCCGCATGAATACTCCTGCGCATAAGGAACCTCCACACTTCAAGGTGAACTTTCAAAGTGTGTTTTTTTTGATGATGTGACAGGCAATCATGTCATTGAAAAAAACCAAAAAAAAAGATGAACTTTCTCACATCTCGAAGTTTCATCCAGGCAACGGAGCTGCAAAGGTTCGTCTGACCAAGGTCCGGACCGTTCCCGACACCAAGTCAGACAAATAAAAGGAGGCTGTACTACTAGAAGTATAGGACAATATAAACTTCAAATCTGCCCTTTTGCAGCCCACTGTTACTTCTAAGGCGCATCCCTCTTCCCGACAGGCAGCAACGTGAGCCCATACTAGGACATCAGTATTCAGGGCCCGAGATATGATTCCATAGTTTAGACCTCCTTTTGTCTGCTTCCAACACAGCTCCCATCTTCAAGGTGCCCCAAACAGTATTGTAATATGATGATAATTCGCGTATAACACTCAAGTGCTAAAAGTTTTGAGTGCAGTTGAGCATGGGATGTCAGGAAGTAAACCATTCTATGCAAGTATAGAAACTATACTTTTTCTTTTCATTCCCAATTATTCCCTAAGAATTCCCTTTCTAAGGCCAGTTTGGTATCTTCATACTTGAAGACAGAATTACTAATCAGCCCATAAATAAACCTCATCGCGACCCAAGTTCAAAAAATGGGCTTTAAGTTTCAACTTGATGCCAGATCTGGCAATGTCAGGATGAAACCAAAATATCTCGGACAGAACCTCATTTTTTAAGCTCGTTCAAGATGCTCTGCGCCACAGAAATCCAAACTCTGCCATTGTTTCCTTCCACAACGTCTCACGGGCCGCCTCCCCTCGGGTGTATAGACAAACAAGGCTTAATCCACATGAAATATGTCATCTCGCTTGTGTCGAGGGGAGTGACACCAAGCACAAGGCATAATCTCTGGGTTTCCACTGAAGCTCTTCGGATGGCTGGCCTGTTGCAGAGTTCCAAGTGAGAATTGGCGGTGTGTTGAGTAGGTAGATGAACACTCGTCTGGGCGCACATAACCGGGAGAGGTCTGAGTCAGGCCGTATTCGTGAGGCAAGTGACAATAAGGAGTCTTTATGATCATATATGGTGTTTGGAGATGACCACCTCTTGTACATTCAGATGCTTCTCCGGTAGCTTGATAGATATTTCAAGGACGGTGGTTGAGTCGGTCGTGCTGAGGTTGCCGAATTACAGTCGCCGCGACATGACCGGGATGAGCCAGAGGTATTCAGAAATATCTCATGAAAATCAGAGAATCTTAATAATTCTTCGACAATTCAATTGAAGCTTTTGTATCCATTTAGCATGCGGCAAAGGTGGTGCGCCTCTCCGGTGCGTGCCCCAAACGAATGACCAAACTCGATCTGCGGTTTAAGATGAAGACCACAAAGGATCTGCACACGACAGAGGACGAGTCGTACCTTGTTTTAGGCCAAGTGGACCGTGTTTGAGGGCTTTAGCTCCGTGGATTGTTGGAGCAGTGTGATGCGACAAGAGTCGGTAAGAGGTCCGGGTTAGGTTCTGCTCGACTATTGATCAGTGTCGACAAGCAATCAACCGGTGGAACACCGAAGTAGAGAACTCGGGTGGATGGTCAAGCCAGCGCACCTTTCAGTAGTCCAGAAAGACCTGACTATCAGCTCCAGGTTGGGAATAACGTTGCACACAAGGATAGCTCGACGTGTTTGCCCTGTCTACGGAACGTTTCCCCTCCTGGGGTAAAGTAACCTTCTTGTTGATGTACCTCAAGCCCTAGAAGCACATGTACAGACATGTGTTCCTCATCATGGTTCTTCGAGGTGCATGAAGTGCTTTCTCTTCCAGGAGGACATTCTGGCAATACAACAAGATGGGGAGATAGGTGAGAGACAGAAAAAGATATATGAGGAGATTCTGGAGGAAGTAAGTTATGACCTTGCGGCCGCAGGTTCGGTTCAAGTAGATGAGGGAAAGAGTGGTGCCTTGGGTTAGCGACTTTCCCATGACATCCAATTGAACTCTCTCCTTGATCATTTGAGATTTACTCCGACGAGATTGCTCTTATTCTTTCTGCTATTCACATAGTCCTCTATCCCACCGGAGTGAATTGATATTTTATGCCCATCCTTAATGCGGGACTAAAATGGTATAGTATCTAGTATTCGAATATCACTATGTCCACCTCGCCTGATTGAACTGATCTGCCACCTCTGTCCTTATCGCGAGAGTTTTTCCTCCAATGAGGTCCAGCTGTTGCTATACCAGTCGAATAACCCTATTTCAATCCCGCTGGATTGAACAAAACCTGCCGCATCTACCGCCAGAGTATTCGATCCTGCGGGATTGAAGTCTCGCTACTTGTGCCAGACGGGGATGATCACTTCCATCCCGCCTGATTGAAACAACCTATTACATCCATCCTTGACCTTAGAGTATTCCCTCCTGCGGGATTGAACTCTTGTTATTCCTACTACTTTGATAATGATCTTCTAGCTCAGTTCCCATCAAGGGCCAGGCTGCAATTATAATAAAGAACAGATTATCAACAGATCATAACATCATGACACGATGTTAACACAGTGGCCTTTTTTAAACCTTCTGCTGCTGCTTTGATAACAATATTTCGATCTGGCCCGATTGAACCGCTCTCACACGTCTCTCCCTAGAGTGTTCGTTCCTACGGGATCGAAGGCTTGCTATCCCTGCCAGGCCAATCGCGTTCTGTCCGTACCACCGGGCAGATGCTGCTCTAAATTGTGATGTAGGGGCGTGAACCGCTTGTAGGTCTGATCCTGCGAGATGGGAATGACTCTATTTGCTACTAGCATCACTGTACTCTGTTGACAGCTGTCACTCTTGTTAATAAGTTCCTTCTGGCGTGATCGAACGAGCATTATCTTTTGTTTTAGCTTGGCGGTCTCGAAGCTTTTTATTAGTTTACTCCTTTTCAAAGCAAAGCCATGTTAAGGTCATGACGGTTTGAGAGCATGATTCTTAGTATCCGTATGTGTAGACCTAGCTTATTTTATGTTTTTCTAGTAAGGGAAATGCTTTCTTATGCCTAGCTTAAGATGGTTTATCTTAAGCGATGGTAATAGTTAGTTTACATAATAACTGCGGATTACTAACGTACTTGATAAGCGAGCGTGACAGACAAGCGAGCGTGACAGAGGTATTTTTACCTTAAAGAGAGAAATTAAAAAAGCCCTTAAAATTTTAAATATAGCTTAAAATAGGTATAAACTTATAACTATACTTACTATATAATAAGCTTTTTTTATAATATTTTTGAAAAAAACTTATAAGGCTTCTTATAAGGTAGTTAAGAAAAAACGCTACTCGCACTGTATACTTAGCCTTTTCTCTATAAATAGATTTTTCTAAAAATATAAAAAATTTATTTTTAAACTCTATATAAGATAAGGATTATAAAAATACTCTTTTTAAGCTTATAGCTAATTTATGGAGAAAGTTAGGAGGTCTAGGGTAGGTTAATTCTAGGAACACAGTATGCTGTCACGCTCGCTTGTCTGTCACGCTCGCTTATCAAGTACGTTATATAAAGATATAAATAATAAGTAAATGATAAGTACATAATAAGTAACTAATAAGTAAATAATAAGCAAATAATAAGTAAATAATAATTACTCGCCTTATTATCTCGCTTTGCTAACTGTGGTTTATCTAAATACTTGTCCCAGTAGTTTTTATCTTTACCTATTTATTAATGATTTATTTTCCCTTGCACTTAAATTAAAAAAACACTGCGACTACATACAGCAAAACTCCCATGTATCCATAACCTGCCTCACCTAACTCAGCCATCCTTTTCCTTGGCCATGCGCTTGGCAGTCTCAATAAGCCCAGGAAACGAGTCGCCAAGCTCTTTGATGTCGTCAATACCAAGACTGATGACCGCACTGATATTTTCCGTAAACTCGCAAGCCGAGCCTATCATCTCTCTTGTTTTCAGGCCCTCATCCAACGCCATCTTTGCCTCCAAATGATTAGCCCTGGCTTCCGAAATCGCGTTCGTCGTCTCTCGCTCGCGCTGAGCCAACTGCTCAAGTAGTTCGGTGTCGCCATGAGCCTTCTTTCTGGCCTCGGCATACGCCTGCTCGGCCTTTTTATAGTTGGCCTGGCCAACGTCAAGAGACCATGGAATTTGGTATGGCGTTTCCGCCAACGCCTCGAGATTTCGAAGGGCTTCTTGGACCATTGCAAAATGTCTTGCTTTCGTCTCGATATCTTGGTTAGACGCCAATTCAACCTCCTTGGCTTCCGAGGTTTGCCGTGCTTGGACTCTCAACTGATCGTTCAGTTTGTGAAGGGTTCCAGCCCATTTTTCCTCCTCCTTCGCTGCCTTTTCGACATCAATCTTGGCCGAAAAGTCCTCGCAGATGGCCTTGTACTGGCCTAGGCCTGCGAGAATCTCATCGTTGAGCTGGTGCAGGCCACTTGTAGCATCAGCGGGATCTGGCATCGGCAATGTGATCTGTATTGGTCAGAAGGCGTGCTCACAAATAGGGGATTAAATGAAGAACAACCTTTCGCTGAATTCCACCGTCTTTGAGAGGATTGGCCCCGTCAACCATGTCGGCACTGGGGGTCTCGAGAGCTTTGGCATTGTTAGCCTTGTTGGTATCGTTGGCCTTATCGGCCATCTCTGAGGACTCGGGCCCCATGATGGTACTGGTAGCCTGATTCGGATCGGTCTCGTCGGCATCCTGAGACTGGTCGGCGGCTTCGAGCTCCTTGGCAGCGTCTGGCTTTTCCACGGACTTGATCCCATCGGCCTTTGTCGGTCCCTTGGGTGTTTTGGAGCTCTTTTTGGGAGAGACTCGGTCTGGGGGCGGGAGGCTTTGGCGCATAACGTCAGCGCTCCTAGTGCGGCGCGATAGAGTCGAATTGGTTCTTGTGTCGGAACTAAAGGTCTTGGACGACGAAGACGTCACTGAATTCTTGCTCCGCTTCGGAACAGAGGGCGTTGCGGTCCCGGGTGCGGCGGAGGCAGCACGCTTGCCCCGAATTGATCCTTTGGGTGTCTTCGGGATCATGATGGGCTCCTCGTCGCTAAGATCCGCCATAACGAGAGTGGCCTTCGGAATAGCGCGGGGCTCTGTCGGATTGTCAGGTGACTTTGACATTTTTGGCAATTCATGGATGGGAAATGCCTTGTGTGAGAAAGATCGAGGGGGAAAAGGGGGAAGTTTAAGTACCCGAGAGTGTGAAAACACCACGCTTTGGCCCCATCTGCAGCGTTTGCAGCTTGGGAATAGCTCCCGTGTGGCTTCCCGTCCAGCCACTCATGATGGCGCTTAGACGAGTGTGAGTGGGTCAGATGGGGCAGTCGACGGGAGGCTGCGACTGAGTAAAAATGAACCAGACTGGCAAGGACACGTATATGTGCTCTGCATGCATTCAATAGCCAGGGAGAGCCTCCATGATTGGTGAGCAGACAGGCCTAATTAAATCGACCAGATGGGCGAGGTTTCAGGGGAGACACATGGCTGGACGGAGAACAAGTTCAAGGACGTGCGGGCGAGAGGCAACAAGTGGTTGGCGCTTTGCAAGTTCAGCGATACCCGGAGTGGCTTATCAGTGTCGCCTGGCCTTCTCTGCTTTTTTTTAATGGGCGACAATCCGTTCGGCATCCATCGCGACGATTACCTGTCTATACAGGATGAAACCCAGCAGAGGGTCTTTGTCGACCTTCTAGAGCTAAACAACTACACAACTGCCCTCTTTGCTGCTGGAAATGCTTACGTCGGGACATTTGATGGCTCTACCAGTGTTAGGTTCCGGTTTGAGCAGGAACGTAGGGAAATCGATTGGCAGAATCAGGACCAAGATGAGATTATTAGCCTTCTGTCGGTGCTTGATGAGGAGGACCAGGAGGTAATGCACGGGGAGGTCATCGGCGAGGAGGAAGATGATGAGGAAGAAGATGACGAGGAAGAAGACGAGGAGGAGGAAGACGATCGGAAGGGGGGCGAGTAGGAGGGGGCCGAGTTGAAGGGCCAGTTGTGGCATGGAAAATGGAAGTGTCGGCAGTGAGATACGGATGACAACTTGACACATCTCCTGTACCATGAATACGGTGGAGTTTTAGCTCATGATAAATGCCAGCAAAATATGGAGCTTATTCTCCATTGGCATGATCAAGCTTTAAATAGATAAAAGTTAAGGATCTGCTCTTTGCATAGTGCCTTAGGTATAGGATCAGTTGTGTTTTGGCTGTGTTAATTCTGTTGGGTTGCTCAGAAGTCTACCCCCCTTCTTCGAGCCTTTGACCAAGCTCTTTGCATGGTGGGATAAGGCCGTGCGTGGAACACAATAGCGGCAAAAGTGAGAAGTACGCTGCAACATTATCCTAGACAATGCGCCTTATATGCTACAGGACGCCACAGAACAAGATATGACATTGCGTTGCCAAGCAACTGAAGATCAGTTGAAAGATTTGGCGACCCCCCCGTGAAAGCCGAATGGTCCGTGCGTCTCCACAACTTATTCCTGCTTATTTCAACGACGAGCGTAGCCAACGACGATGGCATAACATCCTCCTCCAAATACCAGGTTCGTTGAAGACACGGACAGCCAAGGCTACTTCCTAATCATGTAGGAATATGGATAGTTTGTAATCTTACTGGCGCCTACATAGAAGACACTCAATTCGATTAAGCAGTGTATCATCAAATGGTTTGAATCATTGGAAGGCCGCCATGCACACAGTTAGGGGCGGCACCTAGTCGACATACGCAAGTCTGTTGAGCTCGCCCAAGGGCAGGTTCATCTTAAAATAACACGCCTCAAGACACACGTTGACCCAATCACTTAAGAGCCCGATTATCGGCCAACCCTACACTTGGAATAGATGACCAGGCCAGCGGTCGGAGTGTCTTTCATGAAGTCGTTCCAATTATCCCAATGCAAAATTATTGATGCAAGATGACTATTTACCCTACTAAGGGTGCAAGAATAGTTCAGTGAAACTCGCACGAAAACTACAAACCCCGAAAAGCGCCTTGCAATCGACCTTTCCGAAGCCGTGTTGGAGGTAGCAGCCCATCAATTGCCAGGCACGCTAGCTCATTAGATATGAGACCCATATTTGTTGTGGCTGGTGACTACCACTTCAGGAAACAGTGTCGATACAAAAATGCATTAAATGAGTTCAGGAGATGATTCAAGATTCACTGCTCATAGAGCAACTGCAGTGATGAAGGGGCGGGTTGTGTTAATATTTGCCAAGGTTCATCTCATCGCATGCGCAACGAGGCATCCCTGCCGTCTTTTGGGATGGGTTTTTGCCCAATTCCGTAGCTCTGGTCGTTGCGGATGGCCTTGGTTTTACTCATGCCCGGCCCGTTTGGTCCGTAGAGTCCGTTGTATTCTCTAACTATAACGATGATGCGTCTCTCGTGACGGCTTCGGTGATTCGCTGAAGACCAGCTTCCGCCAACTGCCTGTTCAACGTAGGTACAACCGGACCACCATAAGCCGAAGCCTTCAGCGTTCAGTGTTCCCAAGTCAACGGCCCTGGCTGTGCCCACGGCCTTGATGCGCTTATCCGTCTGCGCAGCGAAAAGGACGTGGCCTCCCGAGGCGCAAATGCCCAAGGCGTCAATGTTGTTGGCGTCGACCATTTCCAGCGTGGAGAGGTACGTTACGGCGATCCTGACATCGCTCGCGCGCTGGTATGGATCTTCTAAGTAACGGAGGGGGGGAGCTCCGCTCTCTCCTTGGCAGGTCGGACCGAATGCGAGTGTGATGAATCCGCTCTGCTTGGCAACCTCGAGAGCATACTTCCCAGCAGTCCATTCTTCGACTACTCCTCGCGGTGCCCAACAACGATTGCGGGGCGTTTCGTTGTGTTGGTCGCCGAAGAGTTGGCTCCTGGGACATAGAGATGAACCGCAAGGGATATTCTATTACTCTCAAAATGAGCTCATTCGGGTTCTAGAGTGGCCGCAGTAGCTCCATGAAGGGCTACGGATGTAATGACCAGGACACGTTTTAAAAGAGCTTAGTGAAGCCATACTACTTTATGCAAAAGAGTGAATGGGCGGTTGCAAGTGGGTGGGTGGCGGATTTGAAAGACAATATGTTTTGCTCCAGTGTAAATAGTGTACATGAAATGTGAGCGGGCGATCTAACCGCAATATGACTTAAAAATCCATTCCAAAGTCTACCTCCCGACACCTCGTGTTGATTCGATTGAGGAAGGCTCCTTTTCTGAGAATATCATGACTTCTATTTGGTACCTTCTTGTGTCATGTCCTAGTCGCGGCTAAGTGACACATTCACTTGTCATATTCATTTAAATCTACAAGGGTGGCATCGATAATCGCGCTGGGAATGGGCTATGTTTCAAAAAAAGAGCAATTTAATGATATAGTTTAGGTCCTACGCATCGCAAGGCTGAGTTTTCTAGGGGTTTTGAATGTATTTTCTCAAAGTAAAGACAATTTTATCAAGACCCGGTGCCGCTGCTAGACATACGTGCTAACCCTGACCCGATTTATATAGGAGATAAAAAGCTTGATTAGATCTCATGAGGCTAGACCTTACTCTGGCATATAATCTTCTTCTAGGTAGTAGATAGGCAAGTTATATAATCCGCCATTGCTCCCTTGATTTCTAAATGCAATCTGCTGCTAACTCTTATCGACTCTGATACCTCTGGGTTTCCGTCTATCCCCTGTCTGCCGTCAACATCTAAAGGTTGAGATGAGCGTTGAAAAACTCGGTAATGTTAGCGAGGGCAGGGGCCACGTATTGCTCCCGGTCGTAAAAGTCCATGTGTCGACCACCTGGTACAAGGATCTTTGTGGTGTTGGCGTTGGTGTCCTTGATCTTGTCGTAAATCTTGTCCGTCTGCCACCTGCTGTCGGCGTCCTGCCCAGCAATGAGGAGGGTGGGCTGGGTGAGATATTGGCCTGCAAACTGCCAAGCGTCAAAACGCACAAGAAGTGGAGTGGAAGAACCATCCATGATGTTCTGGGAGGTATGGAAGAAACCCCGAGGGGTGCGGTAGTAGTCCCACGCATCCACGAGATCAGGCGGCGTGTCCGGGCCGGGTGTCTCGAGGAAGGGTACCAAGGTGGCGTTCCCGCCTGTGGCTGTTCCCTGGAGGCGCTGGGCAGCGTCGTCGATGACAGCAAAGGCATCCTCCTGATCAAGCGTGTTGAGCCAGCCTTGTCGGGTCGAGTCGCCGATATTGACGAGGCTGACTGCCGCGACGGCCTTGATACGGTGGTCCGTGGTGGCAGCGGCAATGCCATAGCCGCCGCCTGCGCATATTCCCACTACTGCTATGGCGTCGGGGTCGACATAGTCGAGCCCCTGGAGGTAGTCTACCACCGCAGACACGTCGGAAACCCTGGAGTCCGGATCCTCCAGGAAGCGAGGGAGGCCCTCGGAAGACCCTTGGTAGAGAGCATCAAAGGCGACAGAGATATATCCCTCCTGAGAGAGACGCTCTGCGTATAGGTTTGCGACTTGCTCCTTGACGCCGCCACCAGGATGGACGACCACGAGGCCTGGAGATCTTCCCGGGGCGGAGTCGGGCCTATGGAGGATCGCCGCGAGGTGGAGGCTGCCTTTGAGGATGGTGATGAGTGACATGGCGCTGAATGTGCGGATAATATTGCTCAAAGGGTTGAGTATGTGTAAAGATCCAATTGTATTATGGTACAGATTGGTGATGGGTAGAGGAGAGCGGGAAGACTTGAGAGCACCCTTTCGACTGATATATGTATCAGGCAATCCAACCTTGTTCCTCTCCGTCACGAGCCAAAGCTCTACCTTCTTGTATAAGCAGAGATCCTACGTGACTACATTGTTGCGGACCGAAGATGGTTCCCGTCTCCGCGCAGGCTTAATGACGCGTAATGCAATGCTACAGTTTCCTTGGCTTTCATCATGGTCTTGAAGCGGCAGTGCTATCTAATTACTGAACGTCCATGCGCATGGCAGGCTACGATGAAAATCCAAGTCGTCATAATTACTAATTGTACCTGTAGGAAAGTTGCGACTCCTTAACTCCGTGAGTAGATGAGCTAGATTTGTGGGCTGATGACACCTCATGCGCGATTCTTCATGGCTGTTGCCCTCCCATATGATGCGCTAAGCTACTAAACTTTATTAAGGCATGTATTCTGAGCTTTATCACCTCTGAACTGGAGAAGCCAACTTCGTGCGTCTCAAGCTAGTCGAAATTTCCGTCAAGGTAGGGCATCAAGGAACTCATCTTTGGAAACCTGTCACCATTCTCCCGATAATAATAGAATCTAAAAGTGTAGAACTTTGAACCACCGCATACAATGATTTCCAGAACGAAGTCGTGTTCCACGAGATAGTTTGAAAAGCATAGATGGGAAAATGAATAGGCGGTAGAAGGTGTGTCGTCAGCCAACCCACCGATCGCCACCTGCGACTTCTGGTCCCTTACGTGAGAATGAGGAGACGCAGACACTGGGGCTTGTTGAAAGGGAAGTATCGATCCTCATGGTTGAGATCTCTCTCACTCGGAGAAGACCAAAGGTGAGGCCTCCGAGGTGTATGGCGGAAAATGACTAGAGCTATTTGGGGATGGTCCGTAACGGCTGTGGGGGGTGGCGATGGGCTGGTATCAACGCTGGTGTTGATGTGTGAGTGGAAGAATTGTCACGCGTCACCAGGGATTATCACGACATTTTCCCTGATGGAGATGCCACCTGGATGAAGAGATGCCTTTTGAATAGTATGCGGTACTATAGTCTTGTGAGTGGCGCAAAATCACGAAATATTTCACTCTGAATAAGGCTTCCCAAAAGGGCCATGTCACCCATGCGATAACGTCCGACTATACCCAGGCTCAAATGTAACGTCCGAAAGAGCATGGAACCTCCCGAACATTTTCGGACCACACCCGATACCACATAAAAAATGAAGGTCAGACCAGACAACGTAAGGTCCCATAGAATAAACATAATGAGATATGAGATCTATGTACCCTGTCCCTATTGTACAGCCTTGCACTTGATCCTTTCATCACCATACTCGGTCCGAAGCAGTCTCCGACTCTCCGCTACGGAGCTAGTCCATTTGGGTTCATCAGTGTCCCTTCGTTACAGACATGAAGCTCTAGACTAGGATCTAGTCCAAAGCTGACAAATGTTGTTCTGTGGGAAGTGGCTGTGCGCTCTCATGCGATATCAAGGTAAATGAAGTTCGGGATGCTTGAAAGCTCGGCAAAGGTAATTACATTACGCGTATGCGATCTTTTTCAAGGCATTTAAACCCAGAGGCTGCATGCCACATTGGTCTTAAAGACAAAGAGCTCAATCAGTAACATTTTGCCTATCTTGCAGTCAAAAATGAGCCGTGTTACCCTCGCCCTCCTGCTCGGCCTTCTGTTTGGCATGGTACAGGCAGTTCCAATGATAGACTACGCCCCAGGGCACGGCGTTGACCCAGAATTCGAGTCTTGGTACGAGGAGTAAGACCCCCAATAACATGCGGGATGGCTGCCGATGCTCACCTTTCTTGCGGGGCAGATTGTTGAGAAACAATGAGGATCCGACCACATCATCCGCCTACACAGACTTTTTCGCTCCTAATGGTAGCTTGATCGTCCTGGGAGAGGTTTCTACGGGCCCAGAGGCCATCCTCAGAGCTCGGGGTGCCATGCAGCCCGCCGACAGTTCAATTGAGTGGAATGTATGTTTTCGCGCGCCTATGGATGATATCGTAGCACAAGAGCTAATTATACCGCATCACTTTCCCAACACCACGGTTGTTGCCGCCGAGTCGGCGACTGAAAGGACGTTTCATGTCTTTGGGGTGATGCAGACAGTCACCACGGCCGACGGTGAATGCTCTACGACCTAGTGAGTCCCTAAAACTCCCCACTGATATGTTAGATCTCGCACAACAGCGTCCTAATCTGGAATGCAGCTTTCAGACTCTATTCACTGTAGCAAAGAGAAAGTGCACTGGTACTGCAAACCTCTCCCCGCAGGGTGGTAGCCTTTTGATCTATGATGGGTTCTCTATTAGCCCCTCGGACGATCCATGCATTAAGTAGTTAGACATCTAGAAAGGGTATTGTATTCAGTGGTGTGTCAGTTGTCCTAGACACCTTAGTCACCCTTGCGGCGTCCGAGAAATCGAAGGGCAAGACGGCTCGGAATCTCGCCACGATTAACAACATAGATTAAATGCCTAAATTTCTCGCCTTCAACCTGAAAAATGATACATTGGTTTCTACTACATGCAAAATAGCGCCGCCTAGGTTCCTTGGAAGGCCACTATTGAGAACGGATTTGGCTACGTTTTTGTAAATCACAAAACTAGGGTCATGGCAATACCACTGCGAACTTTTCTTGCCCTCTTGACCAAGCCACCCATTGAATGAAGAATAATCTTGACTTGAGAATGGTAGAAAGACCACTCAGGCCAATGAAACCTCCATTTAGCATTAAACTACGGGCGTTACATGCCACTGTCACCCCCAGCTCCGCATTCCCATGCTCAATGCCACCAAGCAAGGCCTGTTTAATTGACTGTGCCAAGGCTCTTATCTGGTCACTCTCAAGGATCATGGTCACCCAGGGCGTGAAGACTGGCGTACGCCCCAGACAAGTTCATACATTACAACATGATAGAGACAAGCGTGATACCGGCTGATACTGTCACCTAGCCCCGCCAACCGCATGGCTGATTGTATAATCTAGTCGCGACGACAGACAACACGCTTCAAGCCCCGCCCATGGCGCCTCCATGGAGTTATCGGTCCGCTTTGTGGGTTAACTGGACTTAGGGGGGACTAACTCCGGTGTTGGCCACAGGATTATGGGACCGACGCCAGGCTCCGCATCCATTACGAGCCATGTACCATCAACCTCATACGGGCACGAAGTCAAAATTCTCGGCACATGCGATGATGAGACTTATATCATACCCCTCGAAGCACCCACGTTTCAAGTCTTCATACAGAACGCAGTCTACCACCGACGCAAAAAGACGACAACGCAAGCAATAGCCAGAGCAAAATGGTCAAGACACTTCCCTTCGCTGACATTGAGGTTCCCTCGCCTGGCTTTGGCGCCATGGGCATCAGCTTTGTCATGGGGAGCAACCTAAGCCTAGAAGAAGCAGAGCCTGTCCTTCTCAAAGCCATCGAGCTAGGCTGCACTTTCTGGGACACCGCGGTGCGTCAAGAGATTCTTCAACTTCAACCTGTCCAAAGAGATGCAATGAGTAGAGATTAAGACCACCTGGGATGCAGGTTGTCTATCAAGCCGGCGTCAACGAAAAGCTACTCGGGGACTTTATCAGAAAGCACAATGTTCGAGACAAGGTTTTCCGTGAGTCTCTAGGAGTATACCAGGCGTGCTGACATTGAAGAATCGCTGACGGCACCATTACTAGTCGCCTCCAAGTGCGGGTTCGATGTTTTTGGGGCGCAGGGTCGCCTCACCAACTCGGCGGCTCACATCAAGGAGTACATCGACGGCACGATTGAGAGGCTTGGATTCCCCCCAGACCTATATTATCTCCATCGTATCGATCCCGGTACGTTTGACAGACGTGATCTGCTTAAAGATTTCGCGGCCGTGCTAACGCCGTGGTAGAGACGCCCCTTGAAGAGTCCATCACTGCCCTCAACGAGATTCGACAGGCCGGCAAGACAAAGTATATTGGCCTCTCGGAGTGCTCTGCAGAGACACTTCGAAAAGCCAACTCGAGTAGGTCCAAGTGCCCCCATATCAGACTTCAAGTTGTCATAACTAACGTGCTGGGTCTGACAATCACAGTTGCCAAGATCGACGCCGTCCAATCAGAGTACTCGGCTTTCGAAACGATACACGAGACGAGCGGTGTGATCGATACCTGCAAGGAGCTCGGCGTGGCCTTTGTGGCATATAGCCCTCTCGGCCACGGGTGGCTCGTGGACGACTTTGAATACAAGTCCCCTGACGATTTTGCCTCAGACGACTTTCGCCGAACATGTGAGTTGTCCTCCCTCTCAAGCTACGGGACATAGGGAGTCATTCTGACAAATATGCAGCGCCCAAGTTCCAGGGCGAAAACTTCTATAAGAACAAAGCCATCGTTGGAGGGATCAAGAAGATTGCTGCTCGCAAAGGATGCACTTTGGCTCAGCTTGCTCTTGCTTGGGTCGGAAGCCAAGGGCTGATTGCCATCCCTGGCACAACTAAAGCTAAGCGCCTGGAAGAAAACTGGGCATCAAGGGAGATTGACCTGACTGAGGAGGAGAAGGCAGACCTGCGCAACATTATTGAGAAGGCAAAACCTCATGGGAAAAGGTTCGGCCCGGAGCACGAGGCCACGGTTGGGCACTAGAGCGAAGCAATGCTTTCCGCAGGAAGTAGCTGAGCCGTGGTCTATTGTGGTAATAAAAGAAGGCGGTATGATCAGATATCAGATATGTCAGATATGTCAGTGGTGCATCCGGGCTCGGGTTGGCCCCTCGATGCTGCTCTGAGCGCAACATAGCTGGTGGTCATTTTTGTTGGTCCGGATGATCATGTGCTACACGGCTTCAAAATTTCACGGGGGGCTACCCCCCCGTGAAATGCAAAGTCTGTGCATCTTTATTGACAACTGTCGCTTGCTATCAGCAGTAAATTTTAAAGCACCCGATGCCGAATATTAACTATAAACATCCTCCCTGGATCTAAGCCAGCGGTAAATATCTTAATTCCGACCTTCTCATTAGCCCCCTCATCCTCCTAATTTTACAGTTCTTGAAAATGTCGTTTCAATCACGCCGCGACCCTTGACAACCAATCGTACGTCACCAAATCAATTTTTCCCAATAAGGCAACGAGATTCGCCCTTGCCATAGCCCATAGGACAGAAGACCCCTTTCCCTTCTGGACTTTGGTTTACCGTGGAAGTCTATAAGATGGCACGCCAGCTCGATTACATGTTCGTTTCTCGATGTCCACCCCTTCAGGTACCCCTGAAGGATCGTGAATACTCTGGACCAGTGCTTTGTAACAATCGAGCAACTGGAACGTAGACTCATTGGCTTGGGGCAACTTCTAAGTAAATTAGAAACTCTAAGCCGCCGACGGCCATCGACAAGATTTCTCCAGGCTATCTAACCACCCACTTGCCATCTGTAGTTCATGCTACATTGGCATTGGGAGCTGCACGTTTAGCACTACCATATTATGGTACCACGCTAGCTTACGAAATTAGCGCTGGGGCCATTTTCGAAACATAATAGACGACTATGACAATGGCAAAAGCGAGAGATACCTTTTTGCTAATGTAGATGCAATTTCATGTCATCTATGCTGCTCAACAATTTCATTGATCACTGTGGCGTTTGCTGCTGTAACCGATGACTTCTCTTGGAGGTGCCATTAAGGACAAGAAGAAGACGATCACACAACAATCACTTGCTTCTACGAGGACCCTTACGGGCACAATGGAACAATAGCTAGAGCCAGAGGATACATGCTCAGATATGACATCAATGAAGTCAAGGTGATAATTAGGTGACCCTTGTACTAGGAAGGCCTGGCCCTATGTCCTTCGTTAAGGTACCCCATGCCCACTACCTGCTATCACGTTGTCTTACCATCAACTTATACTGCATGATATCGCCTGACCTGCTTGACATTCGAGGTCTTGGATAACTTCCTTCGGATCTCCCTTGATTCAAAGAGTACATCACACTCAAGGCATATAATTGCCCCATTTCAGTACCGCCCGATCGAAAGAGCAGTCATTAAAGATCCTATCTCGTAATGGATAGCTTCATCTCAGTAGCGCCTGATCCAAATAAGAGCCCCCAAACACCGTATCGAGGACTGAGGATTCTTCATTCAGTTCGTCCGATTCAAAGGGTAGGTACACGTAGATTCTCGCCAGCGGAAATATTCGCGTCATTAGAATCTCGCTCTATCCAGGGACGAGCAATATCTGGATCATACCCAAGGCAACCACCTCATTTTGATACCGCCCGATTCAAAACTCAGCTGCACCTCAGTCATCTCCAAGGCAAAGGATTGCCTCATTTCAATCTCGCCCGACCTAAGGACTAGCAATATATGGATCTACCAAAGACGGGAATTGCTTCCGTTCAATTTCGCCCTCTTGAAGCCTTCACCCTTAGGTACTGCTATCTATGTCAAAGAATAACAACATTTCGATCCTGCCTGATCGAAAACCCGAGTGGGGACAAGGCCTTTCAGCCTGTGTAACAGTTGGGACACTGTCCATTGGCAAGTCCATTTAGGTCTGAAGCCCTCATGTTGTGTAACTCTTCTTGCACAACTCGCACGATAAAGTCAAGGCACGCCCACTCTTTTTTTCCCCCCTCAACTTTTCCCTTTCATCATCATTCCTGTCGGCCTCGTAGGAAGGAAACTGCACCCGGACTCGCTCTCAGCAGGGATTTTCACCATCGCCCTATCGTCATTGCCATCTCCATCACCATCGCCGTCATCGCCAACGCCATTTTTGCCAAGGTTGCCCTCTGGGACCAGTCTTTGTGTAGTTTCCTTCCTGCGCGGCCTTAACCTTCTGCCAAGTTAACACTCGTTTTAGTGGTCTTTTGATCCCTTGCCTTCTTCCTCCCTTTTCTTTGTCCTTCTCCAAAGAAACCAGCCTCTTTGCGCCGATCTTGCTCTCAAATGCCGTGCTGGTAAGTAGCTCTTTGATGTGGTGTTTGACTCCCTGATGGCCCCTTTGATGAACACTGTCGACTCTTTGCCCAACCCGTCCGAGCGATCGTTCCCCGTACCCCCACCAATTGATGTCATAAACGCGTACGTCGATTATGCCACCGTCCGAGAGCTCGTGGATGAGGTAGCTAGAGCGACCCCACGACCTGTGCTTATTCCGATCCTCGTTCAAAACATCCGGTCAGACGACCACGCCAACAAAGACCACATTGTGCAGACCGCTTTCAACCTCGTGCACGCCGTACAGCTCCTTCTCTTCGCTACCACGCAATTCCAGCCGGATCGCACCTACCACAGGGAGCATCCGAATCGGCGGTACACCTTCAACACTGGCGACAAGACGGTCACCGGGCTGTTCTCCCTCGAAGATCTGAATAGATCTGTTTTGATGATGTACAGTTTGTACAATCGTCGATGTCACAAGGCCGATGCGATGCAGGAGCGCAAGCCTCCGCAGTGCAAGAGCAGTTGGATTGGATATGCCGACCCTAGATACAACCCGGCCCTGGATACCCCCGAAGGTACTGACCTTCTGGCGGACATGTACATGTCCGCCCAGCTCGAGATGGATGAGGTAATCCTGACGTCGGCTTCTTCATCATCAAACACCCAAGACATATCAAGAGATGGCGCAGACGCCTTTGACGTCTATGCCGAGATTCTTGAGTGGTCGTGGTCATCCAGCGGCCCCGATCAAGTGAACCAGCGGCTGCGAGAGAACAGCGGCATTGAGAACATGTCGCCAACTTCTCTTGAGAACCTTGAGAAAACCCGTCGAAACCTTCTTCGGTTGCATGATATAGATCTCGACCGGGATGTCCACAAGTCGCAAGGCGAATTCACTCAACTCGACGATGGACTGGAGGGGCAGTGGGACCAATACACCGCCACGATCGGTGATTTGGATCACATCAACGAGTTCTCCAACAAGTACCCTGGTGGCAAGGAGGCATTGGTGGCAGAGCTGAGGCACCAGATGGCCGTTGAGCTCACCATGGCGTCACTACAGCCCCGGCAGATGGGCTACCTTGCGGAACTTTGCCAAAGGTACGGCCTTGGAGATTGGAAAAGGCCATCTCTCTACCCAAGTGACCCTAAAGTAGACCCCTACAAGCCCCATCAGGTATTTGATAGGTATTCCCCTCCTCTGCTCTGTTCTCATTCCTGACTTTTTCAGATGCGTCAAGCCTCCACCTACGTGCCGCCAGAGGACCGCACGTTCACACGCTCCTCTCCAACGAGATGGGAACAGGCAAGACTAGAACATACTTACTCGCTGTGGCCCTATCAGTACGTGAGTTGCAGAAGTAGAAGGAGGACGGCAAGGAGGTCCAGTTCCTTCCCTCTCTTGTCGTTGTGCCACCCAACACCGTCTGCTAGGCCTTCCTGGAAGCCCGAACCCAGTTCCCAGACTTTCAGCTGGTCGTCTTCTTTGGGGACGAGCCCAAGGACTACCCTGGGTGCACCTTTCTCCGGTCAGCAGAAGCCCTGGTCGACTTCGTCAAGGGATTGGACAAGAATGATGCAAAGGTTCGTGCCCTCCTCACCCTTCACAACTCCTGAGTCAACTAACGTGTTATCAGTCGGGCAGGACACTGGTAATCACATCCTGGCACACTTTGTCCAAGCGTCTTGCCAAGAAGAGTTCCACATTCTTTCAGTACAACAAGAAAGACGACGTGCCAAAGAGCCTTAAGCGGCGTTTGGCCGCCGGGTCGACGAGTCAGCGCCAGCGTAGACCCAGAGTCAAGGTTTACTTCGAAGACCAGGTCGACAATGACAAGATTGACTCTTGCGAAGCCGCTGAGGCTCACGGACAGCTCATCAAGTATAACCCCAGGGTCGTCCGGCCTCAAAGACATCACGTTCCGGTTCCTGGTTGCCGACGAGGCCCAGGCAGCGAAGAGTCGCTGGGGCTCTTTCAACCATACCTTGGGCTTGATACAGTGGCAACGTCTGATGTGGGTAACAGGCACGCCCTTATCTTCGTCCCTCAAAGACCTCCACTCCCCTCTCCATCTCATGTGGAATGCTCTTGGTGGCCTCAAGTGGGAACCGACTGAGGCAGACCTGGGCTGGCTCCCAGGATTGTATCGCCGGGACTATAATCCAACCGAAACCAACGACTTTGGAGAAGGCCGAGTTACTCGCGGTATCTTGACCGACGAGTTTCGCGAAAAGCACCCTTGGCAAGTCTCTGTGCTCGAGAGGATGATTGGCTCTGGCAATTATCGCATGTGGCTCCTGAGCCCCAGCCTGTTCCTTTTGGCCGGGCGCCAGCTGAAATGGGGCTCAGACTTTGCCTCGAAGGTCGTTAGACCAATCTTCGAGGTCCTGCAGCTCCGTCACACAATGCGAACTGGTGTCATGCTCCCTGATGGAGCAATGGCTTATCCTAGAAGCGAAAACTTACCCATGACCATCTACTTTGGCGAGCTAGAGCTGCGGAAGGCAAAGACTCGGCGCACTGCCTTAGAGAAGGGAAACTCATACGACAGTCAAATGTTTACAAACAGAGATGCCGAGGAAGATAACACGGTCTCATCGCCACAAGACGCTATCTCGTCCAAGGTTAAAACGTCAGTGAATCTCTCGGTTCACCGCGAGGCCCTCCTCGGCACCTTCGACGAAAGACTCTAGGATATCTTTCACCCTACGTCGGACTCACAGCCTTTGATCCAAGGGACTAGGGATGATGTGCTTGAGGCAGTTCGTCATCGCCGGGAGGGACTCGAAACCCGGTCCGGGGGTCCTGTGGTGGGACTACAGCACGTAGAGAAGATAATCTCCAACGGCATCACACACGGTGCGGGATTTCACTACTACCTTTGTCGAGAAGATGTCCACGTTCTCGCCCCCACCGACCGTATTGTCATGTTGCGATGGATGGCTGGCCGGTCCCCTATTGGGACAATGGCCTTGTACCTTGCTTTGGAGTACGTTCGTGGAGAAGGCAAGAGAATCATGTTCTACGTTGATACAGCGTGGATTCAACAGTAAGTTCCAAGCTACGCTACCACTTACTCCCCATCACGTCTTTGTTCTGGAGCTAACATCAGAAAAATGGATCATCACGTTCTTTGCCGTGGCCGGCTTCAAAGTTACCACAATCCGATCCAGGGACAAGGCCTCCCATCGGAACCGGGTCATACGAGACTGGAGCGACCCTTCGACCGACTGCGAAATCTTTATTGCGAACATCAACATCACTGCCACGGGTGTCAATATGCACGGCGCATGTTCCACTGGAGCCTTCCTCTGCTGGCATCTGAACTTCCAGGTGATGCAACAGGCCATGGCGCGACTCAACCGGATCGGCCAGAGAGAGCCTGTTGATTGGTGGCTACTCAAGCTCAAGAGATCGTATCATGATCACATTGAGCGTTACGACTGGGCCAAGTGGGCGATCCAGCTGTCGGCCGAAGTTGGAATTCCATCGTGGAAAGAGGGCGCAGTCCGAGAGGTTTGCATCTACGAAATCATCAAGGCCTACATCCATACGCCCTTCAATCGGTACTCTTGGATGATCTTGAGGGATATGTTCGGCAGTGGGGGGTTCGACCACCAAGCACCAGAGACCGTTCGCCTTGGCCACCTATTGTCCATCTTCACCAGACTTTTGCCCAGCAGCCGCGAAGAGGACACGACCGAGCAAGGCTTATGGATCAGCAACTCTGACCTAGTAGGCCTTGCCTGCTATCACTTGGTGCATACACACCAAGACCTCAATGACGAGTGGGAGACCTTGGTTCAGTCCAGCACTGATACCATGCGTGAACGTGTTCGACCTTTGATCGAAGAGGCATTCAACGACGTCAAATGCCTTGTCGAAAAGAAGGACGAGCAGTACGTGACTTGGCACAGACGTATCAACAAGAACATCGACGACCGCAAGGCGCTCCGGTCGAATGAGTTCGTTGACGACGATGATGACGAAGAAGAAGGAGAATATGCCGATGGGCCGAACGAAGACCTCTCCGAGTCAGAGGACGAGGGTGGCAAAGGCGATGGCGAAGACGACGATAACGACAACGACGATCACGATCACGATCACGATAATAACACTCGCCTCTCCGTTTCCAAATCAGCTGGACGGAAGCGAAAGACGTTCACACCCGGAAGTCCGGCGAAGAACAAGACGGCGAAACGAATGAAATAGACTGGATTATGGTATTGATAGAAGGTATTCGTCGGTGATTGCTTATGGACATTTACGTGTTGGAAACCTGGACTGCATATTTACAAAGCATCTTGTACAGACTTGGACATACTCTTGGTGGAGTTGCTGAACCTCAGTGAGGAGACAAGGAGCATTGCACCAGATCTGCGTTGGCCTGTATGGGCATATTTCATTGGACTGGAGTTTGGGAAGGTATTTTGCATCAGGCTGGAGATTAAGACCTTGTCTTGCATTGGACCGGAGTTGAAAGATTGCATAGAGACGAGACAATACGTTCCAGGTTTAGTATTAGAATGAATACAAAGGGGCAGGTTAGGCCTATTTGGAGATAGGATGGGCGATGGCGGCTACATTGTGAAGAGGTGGAAGTTAACAGTGGCGAACATTAACCATTCCAGCTGAACCTCGGCCCTGGTAAGTTGGCTATCTGCTAATCCGGTATCTCGAGATGTACAGACGCTTCAATAAGGGAAGACAATGGAACTAACAACAGAGCGAACCCAGTGAGACTAGGCTTATTTAACCTTGGGGATTGGAAATCACGTCTGGACTGGCACGGTAAGATTAACCAAGTTAATCCATAGAATGATGCCTTGCCAAGTTTAACGGATAATGCGGTGAGGTACTGACATTATTTCTACTTTCCTGCATCACACACTCTCATTCATCGTCACCTGCTACTTCATTCCCTAGAAGGCATTTTTCATGAACCCCAACAGCCAAGCCCATCGCTGACATCTCATTTAGAGACGAGTGCTCAGCCCATGAGACAAGCAGAAGTATTAAACTTCATCCCGTCCATCGCTGAGGCGTCACAAGAAGACCAACATATTATTAAGAGGCCAGCAAGACCCGTTTCTCACGGAAAAGATAGAATAAGTCCTTGTTTGAGGCACACGAAGTAACCGTGAAGGGTCTGGCTCCCAATATACCCAAACGCCCCCTCCCCTAACTTGGCTCTGCGACCTTTGACTTGTAGCCTCGATAAACTCGCTTTGGTCCACACAAAATCTTCTCTTCCCTATTATACACAATTCAGAGCCTCTATGTCAGGTTTGGCTTCTAATCGATGCCCATGGTTGGCCCCCGGGAATACACGACAATCATCGACCCACCCCGATTGAAACATAGAGCTGGTTCAATTATAATCGAGCCCTTGGAATGAAGATATAACCTAATAGCATTGCGTACTATCAATCAAAATCATGAGGACTTGTCCTCTCAGAGACATTGTGCAAGAGCCTAGTTATTTCGGCGACAAATCAACCCCCCTTCAATCTTCACCATGAATAACGAGAATTCCATCCGGCGAGATCGAACATTGTTACGGCCTAGCCCTATTGAGTACTACGTGACGAGTTTAAATCAACCTTTCAATCCCGTCACAGGGAAATCACGGTATATCGTTTAAATCCCAGATAGCTCAATTTCCATCCCGCGGGATTGAAGCAAGACATGGAGACTCATGTGAAGACTCACGTGAATGCAAGCGCCGGCTGTGTAGGTCGGATGTGGCTAATTTTTTGGCAGGGGGTCTCCCCCCGTCAAACTTGACTACGCCAGTTGAGCGGGAGATGATGATACTTCTCTTAATGCATTAATGCTTTTCATCATGAAATCTCAATCAGAGGTCATCATCTACAATACCAAAAAACACGAATTCCACTGAGCATGTCTGGGGGGAGCTGCAATACTCCTACTTTACAGGTGAACAAGGATGAATACAAGTTCCAAAAGTTAATCAGTCTCGGGTAGGTTGTACCGGGACAAATGGCAACTGAAGAAAGTCTACTAGGTTGGGTTAATAGATCTACATACGGCCAGCCGGAAATTACTTAGTATAATATAGTTATGCTAGAGATACAAGGACCAGAGAGGGACTAAATATCTTACCATTAGACCTAACTCAGTATTCGAGCCTCTAGCTCAGTCAACTCATCAAGGGCCGGGCCTCAACTTGCACATCCGGCCCCGTCGCTCACGATGCGTGACAGCATCGAAACTCAATACCGTAAGGCGCCACGACCTGCGGCAACGTTGGCTTTCAAAAGAATCCAAACTCGTCCTTGCCTTCAAACCCGTTTTAGAGGGTGCCCTCTAGCGAGCGCGCACTTCATGCGGGCTGAACACAGCTTTTACAGTGAGGCCTTCCTCAGGTGGAAACTTAGGGAAGCTCGACAACGTTAGTTTATTCCTTATTGTTGAGGATAAATGACACTTGATAGAACTTGTTGTGGCGTCTAGTCCTATTTTACGATATATGTTGCCTTCTAACGGCCCCGTCTTAACCAGTTCACCATTCTCGCCCCCCAACCTGCACATCACCCTTCCGAAACCTTGGATCACTTGTCACTAAGCTTGGTACCGGATTCCGTACCAGATTCCTCTTTACCGGTTACTTTTCTAGCGAAGAGCCTGTTGCTGCCGGCTCTTGGGGCCGGTTCGATTTCAGGCTGGTGGTTAGAAATCAGCTCAGTTTTGACAGAACATAACCGCTCATAGCCAAGGATCTTGCGTTGTCCATCCTCGCTCATTAGCTCAGAAACTTCCACCGCTTCTTCAGAAGGCTGCAGCCGTTGAGACCTGTTAGAGCATAGTCTGGCTCGACAAGCGTTGGAATGGCCCGAGCTGACTGCTTCCTCCTAACTTGCGCGATTCTCTCAAGTATTGCCTCCTCCACGAATGAAGTACCTACAGAAGGCTACTCAGTAGTTACTTTAATATCGCCATTACCTCCATGGCCTTTAGAAGACCAAGACCCTCTATGCTAAGCTGACATAGCCGACCATGCTGCGGGAGCCGCAACGCTGTTATGCGTAGACACGAGGCAGAGCCGCCTTGCTGCAACGCCATCACATTTATTCATTGTTGTTTTACTCCTTCTTGGCCATCTCTAGAGGCCTCTCTCTCAATCATAGCGCCACTTTGAATCAGCCCAGCTTTCGCGTTTGGTGATTTAGACACAAGCTGCACTGAGATATTTAACCACAATCTCTAGGCTTCAATAACCGTGATCATTTAGCCAACGCGCCTTACGACCCGTTAAACTGATTCAAACACTTAATTATGCGGCTCTACCCAACGACTTGAAGCCCCTCGTTAGACTACCCTGATATGCTTGCCAGATGTATGAATCATTCATCCAAGCCCAAGTATCATTGAGGTGGGACACTCGAGGATGAGAATGAGGTGCCCATTAGTTCCCGCAGCTCCCGGAATTGCAACACTATCATTGATAATGACCGCGCTCAGTCTAGCTCAGATCACTAGCTGATATGGAGGCTCACGTCGAGCGAAACTGGGAAGTGATGCAGCAGATGATGCAAGGGAGAGGGATGAATATGGGAGCATGCAGCACATCTTCTCGATCGAGTATGGTTATCAGAAGTGGCGGCTCATAGATGGGGAAGCCAGACATCAGGACACAGATAAGCCACAAAGGGTGATAGAGAAAGCCACTGCAGAGGAGAATCAGCTGTCAAACTAAACCTCGGAGCATGACGCCCAGACACTCAAGTATACCAAGACCCTCAAGAAAGCAAACATCTGGTAGGAGGGGCATCCAGAGCCTTCTGGACGTCTGCTGGGGATTATGTAGCTGGGCATGGACGATGGTCGTGAACTCGCAGTCTCAGAAGCGACTTGATAGGATAGCTTCTTGTACCATACTTGAAACGAGTGGAGCTTGATTGAACTCGACACATGCTTCCTGTCAAACAGATTTGTTCAGTGCTGCACGGGGTGTTCTAGACATGGTCGGGGGAAGAACCGCTCGGTGTAAAGATGCTAAACGAAACGAGGGTTAATTAGTCTAGCTAGTCGCTAATCAAAAACAGTATTTAGCTAGTTAAGCTTTTAGGCGTGGTTGTTGTTATTGAATTCATTACGCCTTCTAGAGGCCCCGAAGGGCCACGCGATGCCACTAGGCTTCGGCGTGTGAGCACTGGAGCACAGTAAAAAGTGCGCGCTTGGATACTATGGTGAGTGCCTCCCCCCCGGGCCTTAGCCCCCCTGACGTACAGTGTGAGCAACTTTAGGCATGGTCATTTCGCTGAAGTCATAATGCCCCGCAGCGAAAGACATAAATGCCCTAGCGAAACGCTTTAGTGAAATGCCTGAGCAAAATGCCTGAGCAAAATGCTTATGGGTTATGCTTAAGAGAAATGGCCTCGAGTTTCACCACCAACTAGCCCTTCAGTTCAACCATCGTTGCAGAGCTTGCAATTGATATTACATTGGCGCCTCCAAAATCATGTGAGCGTAATCACCGATCCTTCCGGGCCGCATCGACGGTGACTGCTGAGGCGATGGCTTGTGCATCCACTCGATGAAAGATTTCTTTCTCTTATTAAAAACAGTCAAGTTGAGGATGGAACAGCTTGTTGAATTGCTTCTCAAGATCAGCCAAGACGGTCTCCTTCTCCCTTCGAGATCGTCCCTCCAGGGATTAGGAACGACCTCTTAAGTACCCCGTGTCCCGACCGGTGACAATTACTGCTCTTCAGTGCCTTGGCTGTTGTCCGATGGACTGTGATTCGAGACTGAACTCAGAACTTCGATTGACATTCACCACTACGCTAGATATAGCCTGTATGGCCCCCAGGGTGTTCAATAAACCAGGGGTGGGTGGGATTTCACTTGTGGTCCTCTGCTTAGCTTCTTCACTTTGATAGGCACCTTCACCTTGAGATCTCTGAGACTTACCCACTAAGAGCCAATAACGGATAGGTCAATTTGCCCCTAGACATTTTGGAGAATCATCTTATCCATAAGACGCACATGTCTATAAAATTATTCCATGGTGGCAGATGTTAAGTCAAAATAACTAAGTTATGATATTTTATTTTATCGCATTTTAATGCGACTGTATATTGACAACTGTTTCTTTTGCTATTATGCTAACGACCTCTTGTCTTCATTGCAGGTAACAACGGGTAGTGGAACCAGAACAGGAAGCAATCGTCAACGCCGGCCAGCGCGATAATCCTGCCATAAGGAACTGAAACATCACCATCTCAGCCAAGCTTGCGTGATAAGCCACTATTGGTCAACAGCTGGAGGTACTCCTGCGTACCTTGGTCGCAGGCTCTCGAGTCAAACCCCACAGATCGTTAGACCAGGGGCCTTGACGCGTCGCGTTAGCTCTCCAGCCGAGTGCGTTAGGTAGTCTACCTATTGCCTCAGCCACCAATAACTCTCGAGAGTAATGTGGATGGATGGCTTGTGCAGTCTGGGGCATGCATTATTTGTTGCGCTCACATTGGCGGCTCTCTTTAAGCACACTTATCAACGCCCATACTATACACAACTAGGGTGCATAAATATTCAATGCAACTTATAAGAATCGTGCATTATATTCTTAGGTTAATACACAGTCCACAAGCTAGACTCCCACCAACCACGCCAATCTATGAACAAGTCTCCTCCAGCTGGAAGCTAACGGTGCCCTGTTTGAATATCGTGATGGAATCCCGTGTTAGTTTTAATGACTCGCTTATATCTAATGGAAGTAGACTCTCATCAAGGTCATCATTAGTGAGGCCGCAGTGGGTATCTCAAACTCGTATTTCATCGGTCTATGACTCAAAACAGACACTTGTCCATACTCCTATCTACTACTTTTAATCACAAATAGATCAAATTTGGCACAAAAGTCATGAGTTTTTGTTCTCAGATTCTTATTCTTTACTTAATTCTTAATCGACACACGTTCTATTTGCTTGCTACTCTTTTAGAAAGCTAAGGGCACTTAACATACTAAAGTTCTTATGCCTCTAGGGTAGCTTCCCTCAACTCGGCGGCTTATTTACCTCGCTTCTAAAATATTATAATATCATACACGGAAACATTCCGACTATCAGTCATAACAAACGAGGATTCAACACATCAAGGAATACGCTTAAGTTTCGCTGATCAACACTAACAGCGAGATTTTAGATAGATGCTAGAAAGGAGTAGAAAATGACAGGTTTAACTATGCAAGAAATAACTAAGAAAGAATGAAAATGAGTTCCCAAACTTTCTACGAGACACTGTAACCTTTGTCGGGATGGAGCATCTGCACAGATCACTCATCATTTGATATAAAATGATGACCTAAAGAAGCTGAGGGCTACCATCTCGCCTTTAGATACTAGTCTAGGTACATGGAGGTAACGAGAGGGTAGAGATATCATGATTAATCCAAGCACAGCGACGTCGCCTGACTCTTGAAGGGGCAGATAGTTCCAGTGGCACCCATAATGACCATGGACCTAGCAGATTGAGATTGCCAGGGCAAAACTTGATAGACATGGTAGCGTTGAAACCAATGCACTAAGGACAAAGCAATGCTGTAGATATGAAAACGTCGCCTGAACATGCTTGAACGATCAAACTGGGACAGATTGATGAGGGCTTAGACACTGACGGGAGCCCTTTGACAATTCTGGCATTGGACGAGAGGGTTCTCGGCATGTACTGGTATATTCCAGCTGTGCTAAGAACAACAAGAGTTCCCGCCCTGCACCAAAAGCTTTGTTGAACCTCGGCCGCATCGTTTGATCTAATGAGGCCCGTTCTCTTTGGAGCTAATCAGGGGCCGAAGTGATACTTTTGCTTGAGGTCACGACCTTCTGACAAGTTCGCTCAAAGTCGACTGTAGCTTAGGTACTTGAGAATTTGTCGGAAGGCACTGGTGTTGAGCTCGTTCTCTGCCTTTTGATCTGATGCGGCCGCTTTGGCTTGGACACAACATTGAATTCGGATTTCGACCAAACCAGACACAAAGCTCAACAAGGGGGTTTGAACCGTATTACACTTGTCCCCCAGCGTTTCACTTCCCGTCCGCCGCTGTTCCCCTTACACGTAGATACTCCTAACACGACGACAGGTGAAAGAATGGAAATAAAGGAAATAAAGGAAATCCAGAGACCTCCACTCCCGTTCACTCCAGGGCTACTGGCGATAGGGACTCAACCTCTGAGCGCTTCCCTAGGTCCGACGAGCTAGCAAGAGATAGTCATCCTAGTTCCATCTTTAACTAAATACTCCGGCATCGCCATCTTCCATAGACCAAGTCCTCATGTTCAACATTGTTCACAGCTACAAGATCCCGAAGCCCAACACTTCATCTTGTAGTCCTGATATGCAACCAACAGTCAGTCCTTTCAAGGCATGGTTGCTGAAACTCAGGTCATCGCCACTTGTCCTGTGACTAATGTCATATCATCAAGGGAAAACGTAAACGAATGAAGATCACAATTAGCGCGCCTTCCGTGCGTCCTTCCTGACACTGCTGCTAAGCCCGCAGAAACAGGCTCAGGGATATCAGGCACTCGAGGGGAGGAGGGTCCTCGGAACGCGTGGGGTGCGTCTAGGTGAAGTTACGGGTACAGAGAATAAGGAGTAGAGAATATAAAAGCTAGCTCTTCTAATTAGTTCGTTTCTCCCACAAAGTTCTTTCTCATCCCAGCCTGTTTCTTGCCTTTTCCTTGCACTCTGTCTAATAGCAACCTGTCCAAATCATTCACTGGAAATGTCGTTGCCATTGCTGGTGCTGCAACAGACATTGGCCTCATTACTGTCCTCTATCTCACCGAAAGAGGAGCTCGTTGTCTGTATCAGATATCAGTGAAGAGAGTCTGAATTAGCTATCACAGGAGATCAAGTCGAGGTTCCCCGACACTGGCCTTCTTGCCCCGTTTATAGACGTCTCAGATTCATTCCAGGCAGGTCAGTGGATTAAGAACACTATTGACAACTCGGGCTCGCTTCACGGGGCTGTCAACCTTGCAGGCGTTCTACACAACTCGACTCCAAATTTTGTCGATATCCAAGATCAGGACTGGAACAGGGTCATTTCGTTCAACTTGAGCGGAATCGTGTACCCAATGAGAGCTGAAATTACTGTCATGGAGAAGGGAGGCAGTATTTTCAAAGTTTCAAGCGTTGCTGGTCTTATGGCAAGGCCTGGAGTCGTTGCGTATGCGGCGTCCAAGGCGGCTGTCATCTCCTTGGCAAGATCAGCGACAAAGGAGATTGGAGCTGGAGAAATTCAAGTGAATGCAATCTGCCCGTGAGAAACTCTTCATTTCACTGCATGTGTAGGAACAGTATTAGCAAGTACAATCAGGAGTGGAATCGACACCCCAATATCTCGACAGCTTCTCGATCAAGGATGCACGGATGAGATGGTACTTGAACCACATGCCATCAAGCCCTTCAGAAAGGTTGAGGAGGCCAGAGCGTTGATTGGTTTTCTTCTCAGAGATGACTCCAAGTATATTACGGGCGAGACTATTAGGATTGACGGTGGCATGTGTGCCTGAGTTCGAGAACATGTTATGCTAAAATAATCTGCAAGAACAATTTTCTGCGGTATTGGGTTTCATGGCATGTATTGATAACAATGTCTTTCACTAATGCGGCAGATGCCTCTTTCAGAGGCAACGCCAACATACAAAACCACTGACTATGGGCCAAAGTTGAAAGCCTGTGGCACGTTGAGAGTGTGCGTAGACTTGACGTCTAGGGGGCTAGAGCTGGTCGAGACATAGACGCCATGATCACCCCCCTCGACCTTCCATAGCTTGTCTTTCTCGGACCAAAACGCGGCTCCATCTCGTTTGAATGAGAGTTGCAACTCTTTCTTCTCTCCTGGGGCCAGGTGAACCTTGTCGAAAGCAACAAGCGCCTTTGGCGGTCTTCCCTTGTCCTCATCTCCCTTGGGGGGTGCCAGGTAGACCTGAACGACTTCAGAACCTGCTCTATCGCCCGTGTTGTGAACTAAAGCTGTGATGATCACTTCGGCATTGGCATCGCCTTCGCTCAAGGTTCCGGACAAGGCACTACCAGAAATCTCGAATGTGGAATAGCTTAGGCCAAAACCAAAGGGGAAAAGAACTTCCTTCTCAGTGCCATATTGAGAGTCAAAGTGCCTGTAACCAACATTCACACCCTCGACGTATTCCACCTCTCGAGATTCCCAGCTGTCAAGGCCAAAGTGTCCGTAGCAAGCTGTGTGCTCAATCTTCTTGGGCCAGGAAGCGGGCAGTTTTCCGCTTGGGTTCACCTCGCCAAGAAGAACATCGAGTACGGCATTGCCAGTCTCCTGGCCGCCATACCAGGTTTGAACGACGGCAGCGACCTCGTCAAGCCAGGGCAGCTCAACCGGTACACCGGTCCCAATGACAACGATGGTATTGGAGTTAACCTTGGCAACTTCGGCGATGAGCTTGTCCTGTGACCCGTTGGCAGGAAGTGACATGGTAGCCATGTCTTGGCCTTCGGTCTCCCACTGTGGCGTGTTTCCGACAAAGACGAGTGCCACATCGGCCTGCTTCGCCAGCTCCACGGCTTCTGATAGGAGATCAGCCTCCATCTCTGCCTGCTCGATGAATCCGAGATGAACTGCCAGTTTATCCTCTGCAAGGAACAGCTCGGCGTTTGGCACCGGTGAGATGGTTGACTCGACCAGAATATCATACTTTTGGCCTGCGATGAAGTCGTACTGGACATGCTTCTCCTCTTGCGCACCCAGGAAGAACATCATTGCCTCTTCTGTTTCTTTGATTTCACCAAGAAAGACTCGATTGATGAACAGCTTGGTAGGCCCCATGCCAGAAAAGCTCAAGTAATGCTTTCCACTGACACTTGGAGTATACGCGGTGGTCATGCGCACAGCCTTGGCATCGTCGATCTCTGCGTTCATGATAGACATGAAGCTACCCCTCGGATATTCACTCGTATGGACGGCCTCGTCGGACATGTCGAGAGTTTTGAAGAAGTCGCAAATGAATCCAGGGTTGCCGTTGCGGTTGACGGCACCGAGGGTAAAATCAGGGTACGTGCGAAAGACATGTGCGCCTATGCAGGGGTGATCAGCGGCCATATCAATAACAGCAGTCATCATGCGTACCTTTAGAGTATGAAACTTTGCTATCGCCAAGCCTTGATGTGATGGCATCAAAGGGGCTGACCTTGTAGTGGCAGTTGAGGGATGCGCTCCCACCCCCATGGGCAGCCGTCTGCTTTGCCAATGGACCAAGCACCGCAATGTTTTTGAGGGAAGGCGGCTTAAGGGGTAGTGCTTTACCAGCATTCTTAAGAACGACCATGCCCTCTGCGCCGGCTTCGCGGATGAGTCTCTCATGCTCAGGTCGGCTGACAGAGTACTCAGGAACCGGCTCCCGCCTGTCAGTGAATTTTCCAGTCTGGCGGAGAAGCTTGAGGATATTCAGAACGTGCTCGTCAATATCCTTGAGATGAACCTTTCCATCATCGACCAGCTTCTGCACTACATCTCCCTTTCTGCGGTGAGGAGGACCAGGCATTTCGAGATCAAGCCTATGGTAGATTGTTAGTGATGAAGAAATCCAGAAGTACTAGGTCTAGCGTTCACCCGTTGCGAATACCGGCGTCCACAGCAGCCGAGGCAGCACCCCAATCAGTCATGGTCAGCCCCTTGTAGCCCCATTCATCTCGAAGTATGTCTTTTAGAAGCGTGGTTTGATCATCGACGTAGTGGCCATTGACTTTGGGGTAGCTTGTCATTATGCACCAGGGGTCAGACTTTTTGATGATGATCTCAAACGGGCGCAAGTAAATTTCTCTGTATTGTGTGGTCAGTCCACCTTGTGATAGCACCTGAATAGTTAACGTACCTCATGGCCCGGTCTGAGACCGTCTCGTTAACAGTGAAACGACGGGTGTCTTGTTCATTGATGGCATAATGCTTCACTGTCGCCCCCACCCTCTCGCTCTGTAGGCCCAGAACGTATTCAGAAGCGAGCTCGCCAGCGAGGAGAGGGTCTTCGGAAAGGGACTCGAAATTGCGTCCGCCAAGCGGCGAGCGGTGTGGGCACACAGTGGGACCCAGAAGGACATAGGCCCCCTTGGTCTGGGTCTCCTGGGCCAGGGCAACGCCAATTTGCCGCGCAAGCTTGCGGTTAAAGGTAGCCGCCAGGGACACGCAGGCTGGGAAACATGCCGCAGTCCTTCCATCAAGAAAATCGGCGCCTCTGGCTCCGTTGGGGCCATCACTGACCTGAAGAGAGCGTCAGCTAACCTAGGTGGGGAAGGGCAGGGTTAGACCACACGTACCTTGAGAGAGGGGATATTAAGACGGTCAATATTTTGAGTCTCCCAAGAGTTCTTTCCTGCAAGTAACGATATCTTCTCGCTCGTTGTCAGCTGTGACAAGAGCTCAAGAAGCTCAGCATCCGTAGGTTGTTGTGCCATGATGTCTGCAGGAGGATGAATAATGATAACAGGTGCAAGCTCGCCCAGCGGAAAAAGTAGAAAGGGAATTGCTAACCAGCGTTAGATTTAATCCTTAGAACAAGAAGAGTTGATGCGAGAATTACTTTGTCTTCTATATCTTGCCATGTTCCAACAAGCTCGTCCATGATGGGAGTATCCTCGGAGTTACCCTGGCCTCTACTTCAGGACCCGACCCCGAAGCTAACCCCCGGACTCCATCTTCAGCTCCTCCCCACCAGCCACGTGAGCATTGGGATTCTCCTGAGGTTTCTCCGTTAGCGCCAAGTGTTGGCCTCTCATCCATGAGAGCATCCTTGTCACTTGCATTGTGCCATTATCAAGGTTTGCAGGGATGCCAGGAGATGCTGAGTGACCCCGTGGGGAAGAAAACCATGTGGCGGACGGCAATCCGGAGTTGGTTCTGAAGGCCGGTGTTTAAAATATATAAATCTGGTCGTCTTGAACTGCTTCAGACTCGATGACTATCAACAGTCGATCTTTTCCATTTAGACCAACTGGCATCCAACAATTCAGCTATTAATATCCAACCTGCATCCTCCAACATGTCGGACGACAAGGAAGCATACCCTGCGCATGCCCAAAATGCGACAGAAGACGACCTTCCCGCCGTCCTCGAGACATCATCACCGGCCGCTCGTTTTGAGCTCCGCCAGCACAACTTGACAAAGATCCAGGCCATCAAAGAGAACAAATGGCCGTTGATTTGGTGTAAGTCGGCGTACCGTCGTTGTGGCCTAGAGATGTCGCGAGTGTCTAATATTGACTTGAACAGGCATGTACATGTTCTTCCTTTGCATCACTTGGGGCTATGACGGCTTGGCCGGTGCCATTGTCATCTCAATTTCTCAGTTCCGGAGGGATTACGGAACGCCATACAACGGAGATTGGGTCATTGATGCCAACTGGCAGCTTGGATTCCAAGCAGCTACATCATTCGGTAAGCTCTATACTCTTCTGCTTGGTCTACTACCACCTCTGGTCTTCAGAGGCTGATCTTTCCAACTCCAGGCTTGATTTTTGGCGCCTTCGCCTCCGGCCTCGCCATCAATCGCTATGGCCGTCAACCTGTGATCCTGGTAGCATTCCTCTTGTCCATCGCCGGCGCATTTCTGCAGTACTTTGCCAAGGACCTTGCCATGTTCTTTGGAGGAAAAATCCTGACTGGTATCGTACGTGCTGCACTCAATTTCCCTTGTTCCAGATGTGTTCTCACTAACTGGTGGAATCCTCCAGCCTATGGGTGCCTTCACAACCGCTGCGCCTCCTTATGCCTCCGAAATGGCTCCTCTCGTCATCCGTGGCTCGGTCTCGGCCGGAATGAACTTCTCCATCGTCCTCGGACAGTTGCTCGGCTATGCCGTCATGCGCGAATCGACCAGCACCTACACCGACGACCGAACTTACAAGGTCATGTTTGCGACGCAATGGGGCTTCGCAGCCGTCGCCCTCATTTTCCTGCCCTTCTTTCCCGAGTCCCCATACTGGCTGGTTGCCCATGGACGCGAAGACAAGGCACGACAAAACCTGGCCAAGCTACACGACTCTTCGTACGACTTGGATGGGCACTTGGCTGAGATCCACGACTCCCTCGGACGACAGAACCAGGACAACGAGGCTCAGGGGTCTTTCGCCGAATGTTTCAACAGTGACAACTGGAAGCGTACTCTGGTGGCTGCTGGCATGTTCTTCATCCAGAATGCCTCAGGCCCTGCGTGGGTTGTTGGGTACATGAGCTGTGAGTCGATCCCTCTGTACAGAACGAAGAAAGTATGCTGATCCATTATCCCAAAGATTACTTCCAGTTGGCAGGTATGGCTCCAGACGTGTCTTTCGATACCACGGTTGGCCTCGCTGGCGTGATGGTTGTCGGCAATATTGTTGGCTGGTTCTTTGTCGACTATTTCGGACGTCGAGGAACAGCTCTCTACGGCTCCATCAGCTTGTCTATAACGCTGTTCCTTATCGCGATCTTGTCACTGATCGAAGCTTCGGGCGCAATCTGGGCCCAGGTAGTATTCATGGCCGTGTGGTCGTTCTGTAAGTGGGTTCCGAGAGACGATAGCTTGAAGATGCTGACTGAACCGTGTGCTGCAGGCTACCAGGCAACTCTCGGCGCCGTTGCTTGGCCCATCACGGCCGAGGCGGCCACAACTAGGCTCCGTGCTCCCACGCAAGCCATCGCCACCATGGTGAACGGCTTGAGTGGTTGCATCTGGTCCTTCAGTCTACCTTACGCCATCAACCCGGATGAAGGCAATCTCGGAGGTAAGATTGCCTTCATCTTTGGCGGTACTCTTGCAGCGTGCTGTATCTTCATCTTCTTCTTGGTTCCCGAGACCAAGAACCGAACCTACATTGAGATCGATGAGCTCTGGAGCCGGAAAATCCCTGCAAGGAAGTTCAAGACGACCAGCCTAATTACGGTGACCAATGACAAGGCGGAAGAGGCCGGGAATACCGAGGTTGAGCACGTTCACTAATCAAACGCGGGGACAATACCTAAGTTCTCCACGCCAAGCAGCAGGATGCAAGTTTGACGCATAATTGGGGCGCTGATTCGATACTGTCTCAATGATAGATGCCTTAGATATTCATCTTACTCTCTGCTTTGTATAGTGTCATGCCAACCGTGAGAATACAAACTCTGGCCTCCCTGAATACCCAAGTTTAATTACCAAACCTCAACTATTTTGCAGTCGTCTCACCACCGAGCCGAAGACGGAGCGGGGCCACCAAATGGCGCTTTTTTAGTCCTCGGCTACAGGGCTTGGCAGCTTGAGGAACTGATGACCCTGCTAACTGGGTTCACTCCGCTCTTCGTCTCCTCCTCCTCTCTCACGCCATCCTCTACCACTAACCAATTCCCTACAGAGAGTATAGATCAGTCTATCATGCCCAGAAAGGAGGTGCTAGAACGTCGAGCAGCGGGCAAGACCCGCAAGATTGCAAGACGGGCCTGTGATGTGTGCCGCAGTCGGCGAATACAGGTAAGCACGCCACGCACTGACTTGGTTCCCTTTCAGGGGAGACCTTGGGCATGGTCCTTCCTTGTCTTCCATGCTGACCTTCATCCTTAATCTCTTACAGTGCTTGTTCCCCGTCGATTCTTCAGCTGCTTGTCTTAGATGCCTTCGACACGACGTGCCCTGTACCTTTCTGACAAGTCGTAAACCTCGAGGACCTCCGAGTCGGTATGTTTATCCAATCGCCTGGTCTAAACTGAATTGATTGACTCATAAGACCCTACCTAGGCATATTGCAGAAGCGAAACAGCGCGCCGCTCTCTCTTCACCACCATTGTCGCACCCTGACCAACAACCGTTGCCACTGCCACTACCACTACCGATTGGACCGATTGGCGTAGCTCATTTTCTCCCCGAGCCCGTATTTCTTACTGTCATTGATGACTTTCTTTTCCGAGTTTATCCTCTCGTCCCTTTCATCCACCTACCACGGTTCAAGGCTCAGCTCGCAAGTCGCGACTTCGAAACTGACGCGGCCTTTTTTCGCCTCTGTGTGGCTCTTTGTGCCGTCACCGTTGCCTCGCTGCCTCGAAAGCTCTCCAGTTATGGCATTGTGGGCTACGACGATGCGGCGCAGGTCGTCGAACGGGCCTCTCATCTCATCACCTGTAGTTACATGGCAACGTTGCCGTCGTGGCAAGATCAGCCTTCCTTTGAAAGGCTCAGGGTCACAATCGTGATAGCTGTCGCCTTTCTCTACGCCGGAAGAAACCACGCAGGTTATATATGGTTCAATGAAGCGGTCCCGTGCTGCCGTGACCTGGAGTTATACAAGCGTGATGCATACAAAGGGTTGGACATTGTCGGCACTGAACTGCGCAAGCGTGTCTTCTGGCTGCTATTTATTGCTCAAGTGTAAGTTTGCTCCATGAAGCCATGTCTGCCGCAGTCTTACTGAAAGGAACTAGGCATAGCCGAGTGAACGACCTGATTCCCCCTTGTGGCCTTCATTTTTGTCCACGACAGACAGATTGGGAGTTTCTGTTACCTAGAGAGGTTAGCGATGAGGAGCTCTGCGGCGAGAGTGCCCAATCTGCTGGGGGTACACCTCTGATCTCTGGGTATGTCGCACTTGTGAAGCTCTATCTTTCTGTCTTGGATCACTTGGATGAGTTCTTCCCAAGTACCTCAGCACCTCATATTCTCTCACATGGCGAGATTGCCGCTCGCGTTTTACCCAGTGCTGAAGCGTATTCGAATCGAGGAGAGATCCTGTCAGCGTTTCCAATGATTGACTCGCTTCTTCAAGTCATTCAGAGGCTCAACACTGTCGTAGACCAACTCCCTAGGCCCCTCAGCCTACCACTAGGTGGTGGAGAAGTACGACATTCAGATGATGATCACCCAGCAACGGCCTTCCAACAAAACCATCCATTCCACTCCATGTCGGCAAATCTCTACATGACGGCAATCTATCTGCAGTCCGTGATGTTAGAAGTCTGCTTGGATAGATGGCAGAATCGATCTCGGGAACTTACAAGGGAGGATGAGGGTTATTATGTACCAATTGATGAAGCAGTCAGCGCACATCTATGGTCCATCAAGGCATCATTAGGAGAAATGTTGGTTGGTGTCCTGACATGCCTCTCCGGTCCTGATTTGGAGTCAAATGGACAATCTATGGTAAGAGTCTCTCACACACTTGGTCCATTTAGAGTGTAGGCTGATATGACGATAGATTGTCAAGTTACGACAGGTGGCATCGACCTTCCTGTATCCCGATGGCAACTCTAAAGACCCCAACTTTAACTTTATCAACAGCTTTGTCAGTCGCCAATGTCTCGACAAATCGCTTGGTGTCTTGATTGAGATAGATTATTTAGTGGTCAAGAGCTGATTCATGCTTTTATTAACCATTCATAATGAAACGGATGTTTCTTGCAGCTTGGTGGCCATACATACACTCACTATGTCCGGTTTCCATCCCCAAGACTAGTAACCCAGTATCCAAGAGGAACTCGACCTAACAAATTAAAGCGGCCACGCTTTTTTTAAGCTGCTGAGGGTCATCAACACTCAAAATGACGTTGGATTTGTCTGTTATTTGCGAGAAAAGCTGCCCAAACGGTCTACCGAGGCACAGTCGTAATTCACGACCCAACCTTGTCGTACAATCAGACCGGACCTGGATGCTTTTCTAAATTCCTCCTATGTTACAGTCTATTTCACCGCAATTGAGTTGTTCCTACCTTATCTGCTAAGTAGACCGAGTCTTGAATCTTATTTAAAGATGAGAACCTTCCCTTTCCTTGACCAACCTCTCGTAGCTTTCAGCCGTCCTCTCGCGAATCTTCTTCCCCCACATGAGCAATGGGATGTGAAGAAAGCCCGTTACCGTAGCCAAAACACCCATTACAATACACATGTTCTGTAGGCCTTGAGAATCCAACCATGGGACCGTGGCGAAGGAGATGGCGATGCTGAAGCAGTTTCGAATGAAAGCTACTCCAATGAAAGCCTCGCCAGTTACCTAAAGCGAATCAGCTCTGACACATGGCATCAGGAGATAAAAGACACTCACAGCCTGGTAGCTATCGATCAAGACGCAAAGAGCGACGTCACCGAGACCGCCAATCCCGAAGCCAAATATGGCACTTCCGATACTGGGAAAGATCCAATGCATGCCCTGATTCATTAGCACCTGTGCAAGAAAGGAACTAATGACGCACCTTGGTCGCTGTCACACCAAACATGATGAATCCACCACCCAGGCAGAGAGCAGGGAGGTGGTTGAGTTGAAGGCGCATCTCAGGCTCGTAATAGCCATAGTTTCTTCGCGCAAACCAAACCACAGTCCTATCAGAAAGCGCAGCATATATCGACCCCAGGATACAACCGGCAAAGATGCCTAGGTTCATGTTGCCAACACCAACTGTACCAAAGTTGTATGGTGGTTGCGTAAACACAATCGAGATGAGTGAAGCTTGGGCCGTGATCCAACCAACGGTGAAAGCGTACGTCAGAGCCGTGTACATGACTGCTGGGAACCGGCACATGATAACAACCGATTGCCACGCGATACTCAACAGGCTCTGATCCGTTTTCGTGACGAGGCGCATTCGCTGTCGCCAAGTGAGCAGGGGAATGCTGGGGTCAATACGATGAGTCCCGGCTTCTGAGACTTGAGGCATGATAGGTGAGCCTTGCTCTGCCTCTTGGTTCTCGGATGCTGAACCTGCGTCTTTCTTGCTGCTTGAAGCTTGTCTGACTTTTGCCGTCTCGAGGCGTCTGGCTTCGATACAAGGGATGTACTTGGTTTCCTCGAAAAACAAGCAGAAGTAGATTAACAGCGCAGCCTCAAATGCAAAGAGAACCCAGTAGCATAGTCTCCAGTTACCGTCGGCCGACATGTATCCGGCGATAATTTGGCTTAGAAAACTCTAAGTCCACTTCATTAGCTCAGGCCCTATTGCTGAATGAACAGCGATTACGAACTCCTATCATCACCATGACCATGTAAAGGCCATTGGCGGTTGCACGCTGGTGCACAAAGTACAAGTCGGCGACCTGAATATCGTTAGTCGAGGATACAAACCAGGTGTGCCTTTATTACCGTCATTTCGACAATCGTCTCATTGGTAGCATTTGCGAGGCCGAACAATAGCTGTGAGATAAATAACTCGGGAAGGCTGCTTAAGCAGGCCGACCAGACTGCCATGGCGAGAATGATGGTGGTAGAGAGGATGTACATGGACCGTCGGCCGTACTTTACCGCTGGCGGGATAAACAGGATGCAGCCTACAGCCGTTCCAACGTAGTTGACGGCAGAGGCAGCGTTGAGTTGGCCATAGGTCCAGCCGAACTCGGGGATCCAAAGAACCCAGAACAGGATGGGGAGGGATGTCCTTGAGGAAGCTCAGTCAGCATCGCTCAAGGATGAATCGAGCTACTCACTGGGTAAAGATGATTGCTGTGATGGCGAGGGCGGGGACAAAGTTGGCCAATTTACGACCACGACTCCAGTTCTAATGGTAGAGGTCAACGCATGTCATCATGTGTGGTAAATGAGAGCAGTACCAACGGGTCGTTAGGGTCGGAGGACGGGGTCGGCTGCAGCACCAGCTCTGAGGTCTCAAAGCGGCCATCTTCTATTACGAGCTATCAGTTGAAGTATCAATACTGGGTGGCTAATGTAACTAACCTTGAACCATACGAACGGTGCCCGGAGGCGTCGTAAACTCTGGAGGTGGAGGTTGAATAGGCCGAGTCATCTTGAAGAGACAGCAAGGTCGAAGGGTTTAGGTGATGATAGTTCTCGCAAAAGCGGTGTGAGTTCGAGAATGTTCATTGCAATAGGAGTGACTAGAGCTCTCGGACTCTTATGTACGTGGCTATCACAATGCTTGAGTCTTGATATCGCTGGAAAGGATGCCCGATAAGTGGCTGGCAAAGGGTTCATCAGGACGGCACCGCCTACTTGATGAGGTTAGCGTTATCGCAACAAGCTTGAGCCCCCCCGGTCATTTGAAGTGCTAAAACGCGGGGAAAGAGGGGAGAGGGTGGGCGATTCGGCAATCAGTGGAAACGGAACGGAGCCGAGGATGAGGTTGTACGTGTTCAAAAGAGGTGCGCGGGACATGAATCTAGATCACTTGACACCTAGATTGCGTCCTGAAGGCATCTAATTGAGGTCTAGCAAGCTTATTAGAGGCAAAAATGAATCTAGCCGCCCACGCAGGTATCATCATTCACTGCGCTTGACGAGGGTTGGATGACGGCAGCACCTTCAAAGTCCTATTGACCACAAGACTGTCGATCCAATTTTGTGGCCTGCTTGGCCTTACCTGAGGTCTCTCGTGTCATATGGGTCAAGCATCCAACCTTGTTGGATCTATATATCACATCTTTAAATCTCTAGACTCAAACTTCACGGTTGATCAATTTCTGAAATGACCCCTACCCTGCACGAATACGTGACGCTTATCTCGTAGTCTAGTCTTAACAAATACAGCATATTGTCCATCTTGTAGTGTATCTTCTCAGACTAGTCAATGGTATTGGTGTTCGTGACGGTGAAGCCTTCTACTCCAGGTGCTCAAACACTACCAGAAAGGCGTGTCATCGATGCTCCTGTCCATGCCGGTCTGCCCATGAGATACTCTCGAAAATGGCATCCGGTCGGTCGTGCGTTGCATTGGCCACTAGATGATAAGCAATCTCCAAACATGGCTCCCTACTTACAGGCACATCTACGCAGGTCTCGTTTCCCGGGACAGGGTGCGTCGGGGACTGACAACACCCACACGAGGCAAGCATCCCTGCCCGTTGACGATAGCGTCCCCTTGGCATTCACCTTTCCTCATCCGGCAGTTGGTGCCGCGCTGATCAGGGGGATGCGGCCCCATTTTTCTTTGCATCATGAGTGCCGTGAATGGGTCCGTCGTAACCAGTTCATCCTGATACCATGACTCGGAATTCACGGGTTCCGCATCGATAAGCCATATTTAATCCAGCAGATCAAAAGTGTGCTCTGTGATAGGTACTTCCTTCATAGTTCATCCTGGGCCATCGGTCATAGTCTCCGCCTTCAGCATGGCAAAAACAGTTCGACCCACGGTTCACATGAGGCCGTTGAGCCTTGGTATGTTACTTCACATGGCAGTCTTTCCGAGCCCAAGTTGTCATTGCTAACGCGGCCTGCAAAGATTCAATATCCGTTTCAGCTGCGGCGCAAACACTCAGCCTCTCTTTTGCTTCTGACCCTCTGATCAGTTGGCTCTATCGTTGTCCAACAGGCCCTGGCTGGGGGACTCTTGAGCCAGCTCTACAACGATGGCAGGAAGCCCGAGTTCGAGATCATACTGTCCGTGGGATTGGAATGGAAGCAGTCGCCGAGGGAAAAATACCCTCAAGTGTCGGGGTTTGCTTCTTATTCCCCCCTCAACCACAACGCCGGTGGTTAAATCCGTTGTGGTGGCCGGCCTATTTGAGGGTCCTCTGGGATCAGTATTGGGCCAAACCGAAAGAACCATTTACAGACGAAGAGGTGAGATGCTCAACCCAAGGCACTTGGCAGAGACTGACATTCTTGTCTTTTTCTCTCAGCGAATCGGCATCATGATGGATGGCCACTATGCATCCGCAAAGAAGATTAAGAGTAGATATCCTCCAAACTCGCTCTATTACCTGGAGATCGCTGCGGTCAAACCAGACACTCAAGGAATGGGTGTCGGTGGTGCAATTATGAGTTGGGTTGTGGATCGGCTGGGAAAGTCTCCCTGTTTCTTGGAATGCACCAACGAGAGAAACATTGCCTTTTATGAGAAGTATGGATTTAAACTGTTGGAGGAGAAGACATTGTTTCATGGCGCAAATCAGTCCTCCGCCACCTTGTTTTACATGGTGAGAGACAAGGCGAGTCTTGGGTTATAAATAAGTCGACATTATCTTCTCATTGAATCATATATATGTCAACTTGAACCGTCTCAGAACCTATCAGCTATCGTGACGGATCAAAGACTGGCACCTGGATCAGTCCAACAAACTTATTACTGGCAACTCGTGCCGAGGGTCATCCCCGATAAGAGGGGGTGCCCCGTTAGTTACTTAGTTATAAATCGAGCTTCCGCATCAGGGATGGGCATCGACGGATCCCCGCCTTGTCTCAACCAGCATCATCACTAACCAAAGGAGTCATTCCGTTGTGTGCATGAGCGGGTGAGGCAGCCTCCTTGTTCAACGAGGCATCAATGATTCGAAGATCGCGACATGGGTAAGTGTACCATCTCAAGCCTTTTGAAACACCTCACTCATCATTCATTCGTCTCCCATAGCTGCTGGACTTGTAAGAGAAGGCATAAGAAATGCGACGAGGCGCGTCCCGTTTGCAATAGGTGCGCCCAAGCTGGGATGGCCTGCGAAGGGTACCAGACGAGATTGACATGGGGCGCTTCGAATCCTGACCCTGCGCCACCAATGGCTGGGGTTGTGTTGAATCCTGCCCGTAAACCACGCCTTCAGAAGAAGGCCAGACAGCGAGAAGGAGCAGAGACCATTGCCGAGGCATCGCCTGACTCTGGCTTTGAGATAGCCGATCCCGGCAGTGTTTCATCCCCTGATCAGTTGGATCTCCTGTTCCTCCAGTACCAACTCGATGACCCTTGCAGCAACGGGGCCCTGCCAGATGATGAAGTGTCTCAAAGACTGATGGATGACTGTGAGTTCCTCTACCATTCCCCCTTGATCTTGCTAACCCTGCTTGCTAGTCACTTCGAAAGGCTGGCAAACCCTCAGCGGGCGAGGCGGGCAGCACAGCTTCGTTCACTCTGACATCATACCTCTTTGCGATAGCAACATTTCTCTTCGCCATGTGTGTCTGGCTTATCAAGCGAGCCTAGATCCAGAGATGATACACGCGACCCCGATTTATATGCAGTCGGCTCTTTCCAATTATTTCAACGACCTCAATACACCCGAGAAGCTGGATCTGGATGAAACATTGGCTACAGGAGTCCTGCTTTGCAGTGTTAGCGTGGGTTTTGGAGTAGCTCATAGACGAAAAAAGTGGCTAATAGAAGTAGATAAACTCTCTGTACATCTGGACACCTCTGCTGGAAGGGCTGCACAGTGTTCTTCAACACAGAGACCTCTTGCACAAAGCTCAACGACCTCCCCTCACCAACCATCTCATCGAGGTGATTGGACTCCTTGACATTCCATGTTTCACATTAAACAGAATCACTGTGTCCCTCAACTTGTGGAAGTTACATGTCGGTCCCAGCAAGCAATCCGGCGTTGAACAGACTTCTGGCCTGCCATACACACTTATGACCCTATTTGCTGATCTAGGGTCCCCTGAGGCAGAAGACAGACTGTTGGCGTGGCCAGGTGAGTTGGGCGATGAACTTATCCAGATACACCTATGGGAAGCTTTCCGGAACGCCGGGATACTTCACAACCGAGCGTTGATCGGGGAAGCCCAGGACCCAAGTTCATCACCAACAAGCAAGCCCAGAACTGAAGTGTTGCGGATGAGGGTGTTTGCTTCGATACAGGCTATATTTGACTCAGGAGCGTTTACTTGCCGGCGGCCTCTTGCCAGAGCCGCCCTGTATCCCCTGTTCATTGCTGGTCTCTTGGCGGACAATGCCTGGGAGCGGAGGCTTTCCCGAACAGCATTCCAACACCTGTGTGAGAATGGACAGGAGAGACCAGTGACAGAAACACTGGGTATTGTGACACGAGTTTGGGAAAAGAGCAGTGGGGGGGATGGGCAGTCAAAATTGAAGCTGGCCACAGAGATTGCAGCGGAGATGAATGCTGAAATACACCTGTACTAGTTGCCAACGAGACCCGAAGGCACCTAGTCTAAGCGAGAATGGCCTCCTGTCTTCCAATCTCACCACTCAATGTAGCCAAAGCCTCCATCTCTCTTGGCTTGCACTCAGTTCCATCTTGATTCCGTGGAAACGTACCCATCTTTTCCCTCTCTCCCGCAATCCAATCAACCGCCAGAGTAAATTCTTGATAGACACCCATGTCTATGATCTTCTGCATGCGTGAGTATTTGCGTACCTTGTCATCTTCGATCTCAGTGACCAAACTGCAAGTCTCATCCGGCCCATACCGCATCCAACGTGCACCTTCACTCATGCGAGGCCAGGAGTCTTTGCCATAGGCAAAGTCAATGAAATGATCGGCCATGTTTCTCGCGAGTTTCCGTTGGCCTTCGGTCAGATTCTCGTCAAAGTTCAGGAACAAGTACAACAGATCCAGGGCATGGTATGCCTGTCCTTTGAATGTGCCCTCGTGTGTGCACACTTGGTCAAAATGATAACCAAATGTCTGCGGAATTTTCGAACGATGAGCTGCGACCCAGTTGTGTGACTTGAATACCGCATCAGCAGACATTTCCTCCATGCGCTTCACGAGCTCGTCTTGCCCAAGCTCGGGTGTGATACCGTATAGCTCAAGGATAGTGTCGGTTGCTTCTGTGCTAAGCCAACCCACCATTTGACTTCTGATGGAACCAAAGTCTTCCTCACAGAAGGCCTCGGTGAAGAGCATTCCTTCATCAGCAGTATCTCCAACCATGTATGATTTGAGCCATGCAGGTGGTGAAGTGATGGTGTTGAAGGACGGCTTGGCAGCGTGGAAAACACCGTCGTCACATGGGTTTCCGGTAGCATTTAAGTGTCCCTCTACTGGTATCGTTGCCTTGGCTACTACATGCTCAGGAACGCTTCGAAGTTGTTCGAGCGAGGAAGGAGAGTCTGGATCAATTCCCAAGTACCTGAGCAGCGCCCGGTAATGTTTCTCGTGATGACTCAGTGGCCAAGTGGGGATCGTATTCAGATGGCCAGACATGGCAATGGCTCGGTGGAATGGAGCTGTATCTCTGGCGACAATGTGATGAGAAACACTTATGCCTCCAGCAGACTCGCCATAAATAGTCACGTTGTCTGGATCGCCACCGAACGAGGTGATATAGCGGTTCACCCAGTGAAGCAAAACTTGTTGATCGTAGAGGCCGAAATTGCCGAAACCTTGGTATCCATCACGTTCTAGATCAGCTTTGATAGCGGATGAAGCAAGGAACCCTCCAAGACCAACGCGGTAGTTGAAGTTAACGGAGACGACGGGAGTGTTGCGAGCCACGGCGTGGGTGACATAGTTGACGCTGTCGAAAACGCCCTTGTTGGCGCCCCCAAAGAGCAGGGAGCCGCCATGGATGTATACCATGACAGGGAGCTTTGTTCCAGGGTCTCTGGACGGTGTGGTGATGTTCATAACAAGACAATTGAGTTCGTCCTCGGGCGGCTCCTCAAAATGAGGTGCGATATCAACTGGTACAAGAGGGTCGTCTCCGTTGTACTCTGGAGGATTGGGTGCGCTACACCTGTGCAATAGTCAGTGTTTGTTTCCTTTCTTATGAGACGATGGGATAGAAATACCCGAGCTTTGTTCCGTCATGGAACTCATTTGGCCACGAGTCCTTGAGTTGGGAGCGTGTCCAACGTTTGGGGAGGGAAGCGTAAGGAATGCCACAGAATTGATGCACACCCTGAGTGAAACTGAGCCCTTCGACCACTCCAAGACAATCGACATGCAATCGAGTCTTGCCAGTAGGTGTTCTGCTGGCCGGCATATCTGAGATGGAGACTTGAAGAAGGTAGAGCTAGGGATGTATCGGTGAAGTGAATGAGTTGAGCTGAAGACTTGAAGGGCTTACATGTGTGTATTTATCCATCTCACAAAGTACCTGGCCATCTTGATCCCGGATAGGTCGCCACATCCCACCTGGACCAAGATGCTGACTAGTCCAGAACTGGCATGCAGAAGAGCGCGCAATCACCCAACTCAACCCCGCATGCTGGATAACCACATCAAGTGGGGAATCGATAACGCCCCTGGTGATCTCTCCTGGCATCTGAGAGGTATCGGGGCCGTAGATGACCGAGAATCCGAGAGTCAATGGACTACAAAGAACGGGACAGGTCGATATAGTGCTTACATGCCGAGCCGAACCACCAGATGAGGCCCCTCTCGGCGGCCGAGGATACCGGAGTGGCGTGCGAGAGTCATCTGGATTAATCGAGTCATCATCTTGAATATGGAGCAACATGGTGTCGTTTGTCACCAAAAAGGGGTAAGGTTCCATTCATTCTTCTGCTATGGCTCGTCTTGGTCATGCCTTCTAGGAAATTGTTGGTCAAGCCCCAAACGACCCGGGAGATAGCCATCAGAGCATCCCAGACTTAAATAACTCAAGTCAATAAGCTTTGCAACCTCGCCGTGGCTGACGGCTGTAAGAACAGCACAATAGCAGGTCGGGAATTATGACACAGCAGAGACTTTACGGACTTCGAGTCCTCTGGTGGCCTGGATTCAAACAACGCAAGGCCTTCAATTACACACGTGTACATTTTACAGAGCCTACTAGAGATGACTCGAGGGAGGGGCACCACCCAACATGATGTGATCCATCAACGTCTCGGCAGCCTTCTCAGGGGTCCAAGACGCAATCCTTCGCTCACTTAGTAGATACGCCCTGGGGAATCCAGGCGCCGTTTCTCCAAGAACCATTTTAGCGATTGCTTCTCCGCTAAGCCAGCACTTGTCCATGCCATGACCGTTGAAACCTGCCGCCAGCCACTCCCCATTTCCCATCCGACCTGACAGACTTGGCGGCAGTTTACCGACAAGGGGCATGCCGTCTGTGGTAAACCCCATGATTCCAGACCAGACCTCTAATGGCTGGGGAGAGGCGTCTTTCCAGATGCGCGGTGCGACGGAACAAAGGGTTTCGTGTGCATCGTCGGCAACCGTCGAGTCGTCGCTTGAAATCAAGGTGGCTAGTTTCTGTGACTCTCCACCGAGAAACATGACGCCTGATTTTGCGTTTTGCTGGGCATAGTACAAACCAAGATGAATACGCCCCGTATCTGCGTTGTAGGAGCCCTTTGAGACATGTGCCCATGATACCTTTTCCCCACGGTTAGGAAATGAAGGTCCCATACTCTGAGTAGACATCGTGCCCCTCAGAGGATATAGCTTCCCCACGAGGTTGGGAATCAGGTTGGCGGAGTATCCGTTTGTACAGTGAACGATTTGCTTAGCCACAATGGATCCCCGTGGGGTGTGAAGAGTGTAGGGGTGTCTCTGGGACGTATGATATTGGTGACTGATCGACTGAACTGGAGTATATGTCTCGAGATTGAAGCGACCAGGGAAATCTCTCTTCAAGGATGCAAGAATTGTAGTCAGCAGCTTGTAAGGCCACAAAGCCGCGACTCCATGTTGCTCAATGACGCCAGCAACTTTCCCATAGCCAAAAGTCTAATGACGAAAGAGTCAGCAACAAACGAGCCCACGACATGTGCCTCGTCGCGTACCTTGGTGGCGTTTTCCTGGTTAGATACCTTGTACCCAATGTCACCATCGGGACAAGCCTTGACAAGCTGACGAACAGCATCAACAGCCTCGTCAAACGATTCTCGGTCTTCAAAAGCGGTGCTTGTCGTCACGTTGCGAAATTCGGTAGCTTGACGATCCTCTGGGTCAAGTTGGTCCACGAGCTCCCTCAGACGCTGAATGTTTGCCTCACTGAAGCGTACAGTCTCCACGGCGAGTTCAAAGCCGACCGCCTTGACAAGAGCGGGAAACAGAGAATCACTATCCGAGACGAGGTGGCCACCGTTTCGGCCTGTCGCGCCGCTAACGGACCCGCGTGCTTCCAACATGGTGACCTGAAGACCCGAAGCTTTTGGGTGGTTCAAGAGACAATGTGCCACGGCAATTCCGGTGATTCCCGAGCCAAGGTCTCGGATTGTGCGTCGGAGATTGTTGGATGCGAAGGTTCTTGCCATGTTGGGACGGTCGGATTTGCACTTGGCAGGCCTGGGCGACAAGTGATGAGCTTGACGGCGTCGTGTATGAAGCCTTTGTTGTTAGCTTGGGGATTGGCTCAAGAGAAGGATGAGCCCTCATTTACCTGTATGTGACATGATGAGCGTCATCGATGATATGATCTTGGTGAGGGGTTGTAGAAGAAGCGACGACGATAAATCATCCTCGGTATTTAACTCTTCAGAACGAGATAAGAATCAACACTTAGGCAAAGCAAACAAGTTGCCTCAAAGGCGCGGCTGTAGATGCCTAAATAGGCATAGATTTAGTCGACCGGTCCGGATTGTGAGTGGGGCCGGGGCCGGCCTGCACGATACGGAACACGTTGAGGGTGTTGGCGAATAATGGCTTGGACTTGGATCCGAGTTCGAACTGCCGCAAAGTTCGTCGACACTAACCGGTGCTTGAGGATGGCACATTGGCCTCATTCAGGCAGTGTCAAATCGCTGGCTTATAGGGCTCCTTCCGGTACAGCTTTGACCTCAAGCATTGATCGATGTGTTCCGGCAAATCCAGTTGCCATATCGATAGTATGCGAAGGATCGCGAGTAGAGTCTTGCATGCAAGTCCATATTGGTGTGGATGGATTTCCATGTCTCTGTTGCTTGGGCGGCGAGTCAGTGGGGGTATCCTAACTTGAACTGAGACAGAATGGGCTGAGGTTGAAGCAAGCCTGCGCATGGCGTACTGGATATGAGTTAGCCTATTTCTCTGCTCGAGTCATTAAATAACTTACTGTCATCTATGCCATCCGTCGACCTATTGTTGACTAGCCAACAACAGTGCCATCCCACCAGCCATCCAGCTTCAGACGCACCAAGCTTGCCAGATGAGTCGAACCATCAGCTTCTACAACCCCATCGTCCATGTCTCGGAGTATCCTATCAATATAACTCCCAGCCGCACTGAGTTGCAGGATGTGACAAATTGCGCGATGAACGGCAAGAAGCCGAGGGTGTGGGGGGTCAATCGTCCGTTCTGGGGTCAGGTGAAGCTGGCGGGTCATAGGGAACATTGTCTTTCTTAACCCCCGACGTTGGGTCGAGTCAATACGGTAGGTGTGAGGCTGGTGTGTGGGCTCGGGCATAGCTTCGAAAAAGATCTTGAAATTTCCGAACTGTCGATGAAGGTCGATCCGTAGAGTGAGGGCATTTAGGGGGCGATCGATATCGGAGTCACCAATGAGATGGACAATGCCGTTGTCAAACATGTCGAGTATGTCCAGAGCTATGGCTTTAGACTTGTTCTGGTTCGTATTAGCTTGAGCTCTCGCGTTGCAAGTCGACTTACGAGCTCTGGGTTTGCTGTCAAAGTATTTAATGAGTGCGGGAGTATATGCGCGACCTCAAGCTCAGCAAATGAGTCAGGGTCTTGGTCTATTAGGAGTTGTCGCTCGTCATCCAAGGCAAAATCGTCTCCGTCATTCTCGAAACGTCTGTCGGCTTCATTGAGATCAAAGTTGCGAGAAATCACACACCGATGTCGATCGCGGATGAGACAATCCCGCCTCAACGAGGCCACCCGTTCCCTAGACTCCAACGCAGAATGTCTACTTGGGGCTTGGGAGGATCCCGCTGGAGAGGGCTGTGGCGTCGTGGTGGCAGAAGCCTTGACTGGAATAAAATGAGCATAATCTCTTGGGGGGCTCCAGGGATCACCAACGCGGAAGAAAGAAGTTGTCCACCAGAAAGTTTGCAAATGAGTTTAGTCCCGAGCGGATCTCGTCCACCCTCGTTTCATCGTCGAAATTGATGCAGTCATCTATAGTGGCATTGACGAATCTGAAGAATTCCTGCAAGAAAGGACAACGAGGGTCATCCGATAGTGAATGCTCGTATGTCAGACGAACCAGTTTGATGCGGTCATATGGCTTATCCTTCGTTGAGTTTGAAGGGCCTTCGAAATGGTTGATGATGTCGTAAAACACGGTCTGGGCCTTGTCACGTTCATCAGCGCTCAATACACGCCATGTACTTTCAGAGAAGTCAATAACTCCTTCAAGAGATGATCGATGGCGATGAAGGGGTTCCATTCTCAATTTTGAGTCTAGAGTTGAAAGGATGAAGTTATCATCAAGTGGGTCACGCGGGATTCATCGCGACTTGATGGCTTGGCATCTCACCTAATCAATCACGTGATAGACATTGGTTACCCTGTACCCGCGTAAGCAATTATAAAATCTGTGTTTCTCCCTCTGATCGCATAACGAACGGCCTAGAAAAGGAAAGAAATATCGTATCGCATAAGGCCCAAAAAAGGAGTCCTTTAGGCATTTCTCGGTCCAAATGTGCACCTCCTCTTGGTGAGGCTCGAGGTTAACTTCAGCGTCAGACATTTTGTAACAACTATTGGGATCAAACAAAACATCAGATGTATGTTAGCAAGGTTATAGCTCTATGGTCCAAAATGCTCATCTTTGCAACTTTAGGAATGACAAGTGGGGTTTCAATTATCTTTAGATAAAAATCTGCTTTACTTGGAAAATGAGACCCACGGATCCATGTGAGGCACACACGATCGTGATATAAAGATTACTTCAGGGAGCTCGGAGACGTGTCTAGAAGACATTAGTTGTTGCGATGTGATGCAACTGAGAAATTGTCCTAAGAATAAAGTTTTATCTGAAGATAGTGTGTTTATTCACCTATACAAGCTTTGATTCTTCTTGCGGATTAATTTCTATCGGCTTAGCTATCGCATCAAGACCTGGGCTTCAATCACAATCAAGAACACAAGATCAACAGCCGGCGCGCTCATAACTTTTGCAATTGCCAATGGGAACCAAATAACGGGCGGTGTATCGTACGTATTTTAATCTCTACTCTATACCGTCGACCTAGCTAACCGTCCTTGAAAAGAAATGCAGTATATGCAACTTTCATCGTCATAGCAGCCCTTCCAACACTCACAGATCTCTTGTTTATCAAGGATCCAAAAGATTTGCGGCGCTCGGACAGGTCTGGTATTGCCTTCTTTGAGTCGGGAACCGTTTGGGAGGAGCTAAAGGCATCGCAGAGTTGTTCAAAGACTTAAAGGTAAGGACTCGTCAAGATGGCGAACATTGGTAGTCTGTACGGCGAGCTAACAGGCACCGTAGATCATACTGATGTTCCCTGCTATGCTTGCAGTTCAGGTTCCGCTGGCTTCTCAACCATCTATCAACGCGCACTACTCCAACGTCCGCACGCGTGCTCTCAACAACATCCTATTTTGGAGCGTCCACTTGACCACAGTAGCCGTTATGCAACCCATTCTGGATAGTAGGCGTTTGAGCCGTCGGGCTAGAGGCATTTACGTGTGTATCTTCCTTACCTGCCTCGTGGTTGGCGTCTGGGTTGGAGAGCTCGTATGGCTTCGGGCCCATCAGGCGCCTCGTGACTGGACAGATGCCGAGTTCGCGTCCTTCATTGCCATTTATCTCTTTCAAGGCATGCTGTATCAGCTATACTGGATCTTCATTCAGCGGGTAGTTGGCGCGTTGTCGAACTCACCTCACCTGTTGGCCAGATGTAAGCAAACACTTGAACATTTGCCAGGTTTCCAAGCGCTGACCATGTTGAAGTGTCTAGACTCTGGCTTCTTGAAGGCCTGTATCGCGAGCGACACCTGTATTGCCTTTGGGATTAAATCGGTTCTGCCACCTTTTGAGTATGAAGCTGCCTGAAATTTCGGCCTTCAAGGTTGTGCTATGTGTATTCTGGTTTGCATCTGCGGCTTTCAGATCACTGCTATGAACTACGGAAAGGAAGGTCATGTCATTATTCCTTCTTCCGAGGACGCAATTACTGTCGCTGCGTCGGAAGACGACACTGTTAACCCTTCTTTGAAGGGGACTGTCACTTCGAAGCAATAAAGACCTAGAAATATACCTGAAGGCAGATTTGAGACTTATGCTTTAAAGCCTTTCGCCGTTCAGGTCAGGGCCGCTCGTTTCCAAGATCGAGAACGCTCATATATTCTCCCCCTCACTCCCCCCTGTATCTGTTCCTGCTCGAGTCATGAGGACGAGAATACCCAACCAAAGTGAAACATCAATCGTTCAATATACACTGAGCCTAGCACTTGAATCTTGGCGACATTGCCGGTCATGTTTACGACAACAAGCGAAGAGTGGTCGACTCCAATTAAGCTTCCATTACTAGCACACCGCGGTACCTCATCTTGCCCTGACGAAGCTTCGCCATAGCCTCATTGATGCCATCTTCACTAAATTTGAAAGTCTCGATGATTGGCTTTATCTTGTGGAGCGCCGAAAATCTGAGCATCTCGCGTTGGACGTTTGGTGCGGCAGGTAGGCTTCCTTGAATCCGGATAGCACCCATCAGGATCTCCCCATATGGACATCGCAGCTCGGATGAATCTACAGTCATGGCCGTGATGACACCACCTCGCCGAACCAGCGGCAGAACTGTAGACCAGTCTGGTTGTTGAGCACCGGCAAGGAGCAGACAGTCAACGGCGCGACCAGGGAGAGAATCACTACCCATGACTTGGAAGTCTGACGCTCCTAGATTTCTTGCTGCTTCTTCTTTACCGGGTGAGTGAGAATACACAGTAACGTGACATCCCATCTTGGCGGCATACTGAACAGCGAGGTGACCCAGTCCCCCGAGGACGAGAACCCCGACTCGATGATGCCACTGGACTCCTGCACTGCGCAGAGCTGAGTAGACGGCTGCACCTGCGCACATCAAGGGGGCTGCTTCGGCGGAAAGAATGCTTTCCGGGATGCGGGAGAGGAAATGCTCATTCCAAGTCGCATGAGTCGAGAATGAGCCCTGGTCAAATTCGTCAAAGCCATATAGCTGTCGTTGTTCGCAGTAAAGCTCTTGGCCTTGATGACAAGACTCGCAGTTGAGGCAGCTACCATGACAGTAACCCCAACCAACCCGATCTCCACTGGATTAAGATAGGAGACGTTAGTGTGGAACCAAGACTACAGTTAGATTGCTCTCGTGTTACTTACACCTTGAAGGTTCTGACAGAGTCGCCAATTGCCTCGACGATGCCAACTCCCTCGTGGCCAAGAACCATGTCTTGTGACTTGTAGTGCTCGTCGGTACCGCACAGGCCGGAATGAGTGATGCGGACAGTCACTTGATGGGCTTTTGGAGGACCAGGCCAGGCAATCGTGCCCTGCTGAACCTTTCCACCCGAGGTACCACGATAAACGGTTATTGAAGCCATGAATGCTAGAGGTGACGAGTGAAAGGCGAGATATGTTGAAGATTGGCGTAACTATTGGCTTAAGTCAGCCAGCTTGTACTTCATAGCTATTTATAGGAAGCAGTGCATGATTCAACAACACTGCCAGTTGTTTTAACTGTGACCAATTGGGGCAAGGGACTGTATGCAATCCTTCTTATTGACGTATGTAGTGACTTGTCTTGACTGAGGCATTGCTTTCAAAATAACCAATTGCAACGCAGGTTACGCCACTTCTTGGCAAATTTCTAGATGTTGCTTTTGAAGTGGCCAATGATAGGAGTGTACTTGTCCATCACGACAGGCATTTGCCCTACCTACAGTACATAGGGACCCCAAGTGCTACTGAAGTTAAATTTTGCTTTAGAAGTGTCCAATCATGAAAGCCGGAGACATTGAGTTGGTCATGAACACCTTGGCCAGCAATGTTTGTTGCCGATTGGACAATTCTTTAGCAACCTATACCATCAACAGGTTGAGTCAAGATGACGTGTCTATCTCTGAGCTGGGCTCGTTGCTACTTTATTCCTCGCCAAAAATGGTATAAGAACCATCGTATGCCTCTCGATACCAAACAATCTCTTCCAACGAAACTCGTAACAACGCATCATCGTCCCACAGAAAAGCTTTTACCTACAACCATCTTCAACAACCAACAAGATGCCTACTCAAGAAGAGACAAAGAATCTCGAGGTCATTGGGGAGTACTTTGCCGAGTTTTGGGGCAAAGGCAACCCCAATATCGTCGACAAGCTTTGCGCTGATAACTTCGTCATCAACTACCCGATGCACGGTCCTCGATATGGAAAGGAGAATGCTAAGAAGATGCTCGCAGAGTTCAAGGAGGTAAGAATGTATATGCGGGATTGGCGACCTAACCGCTGACATGGCCTCGGCAGGCATTTCCCGACATCTCATTCCATGCTTATCAGCATCCCTTGATCGCAAGCGGGCCATATGTGGTCGGGCGTTGGATCGGAGGTGGCACTCACACTGGAGCTGCTTTTGACGACCTTGCGGTGGGTGCGCTAAAGCGCCCAAATACGGGAAAGAAGATCCATTTCTCTGGCATAACCATCTTCACCCTCAAGGATGGCCTCATTGTGGATGAGACTGGCGAGGAGGGAGCTCTGACGGCTCTCCAACAGCTAGGCTTGGCTCAGCAGCCAAATCCTGGAAAGGAGGTGAACTATCTCCATGAGTAAAGGGAGCTAGATAGTAGAAGGAGAGTTCTGGCTGCCAGGCTAGCTAAAGAACGTCACTATGTCTGAGTGTTGCAAAGTTGTATTAGGTACTCCACTGCAAAGGTTTTGTGCAACTGTTTAATGCATTCTTGTGACGAGTCGCGTTCATCTTGTCAATTTGTTATTACAACGTACCCTGGAGACCTGGTTTATCTACTTTAAAGGAAACTTAGGATGCGTTGAGGAGATATCAACTATAAAATACTCATCAAGTACACGAGCTTGGCGTTTCCATTGCTAGGTGCAGCTTTTAGTTAACGAGCCTCAGTTCGATCTAGCGGCCCAGTTGACTCGTCAAGGGCCAGGCTTCTACTATACCCAAGAACACATTATCAATGCATTGTAGCATCGTGACCCAATGCAAACATAGTGGCTTTTTTTTTCTTTTTTCTACCTTCTGCTGCCTGTAGTAGCAGGGTCATACCAAGCTACATCATCAGAGGATCGGGTCATGCCAAGGCCGCCTAATATTATGTCGGGGCATGATGTTAACTACTTGCCATGGCAATTGAGCTCTCAAATACGGCCAGTCTTGTGGAGCCCGAAGCAAGAAGGTGGACCTCCAGGGCTATTGATGCGGTTGGCATGGTGTAGCTTCACCGACAGACACAATTACCAAGCAGTCCTGGAATGAGAAGATTCGGCCGCTTGGCGAGTAAAGCCGCACTGCATAAACATGGCATCCATCTTATAAGCACCACGTGGGTATCCCGAAGTGATAAATGGGTTTCCTATTTCCGATTATTTATTCGAAAGGGAACAGTGTCAAAAGAACTGGTTACATATCTCGAAATGGTTACCTAGGCGTCGTACTCGGGCTGGTCTAGAGAAAGTTCTGCCTTGAAAGCGTCAATGGAGAGCTAGGAGGGCAAGCGTTGGGCCACCTATAATGCAGAACCCTGCGTTGAGGGCCTATGTTATAGAGAGCAAGTAAAACGAGTTTGCCAACAGCCAAGTTCTGGAACAGCGATGGTGTCTCTGTCAGCACGATACAAGGCTCATGTACAGGAAAACATGGTCGCTCTTTAAGATGCACATGATACTAATATTGCTGGTATTGATTATTGACTAGGATGAAAGGTCTCAATGCAGAGGGTATCGACCTGCCACCATTTATGGCCGGACTCGGAGATGAGCTATCCCTTTGTATGTTTGTCCGCTCGCGCCAAGATGTGCAGTGCAAGCACGCCTCTAATGCAAGTTAGCCTGATAGCGGGACTTTTGTCAACGTGGCCCTTGAATACGAGCCACGACCACCAAAGTTGGGCTCCTCTTGGACAACACGTGTAGTGTCAAAAAAGACTCATTCGACCAGCATTATAAGACAGTCTCGCGTGACGGGCCGGATTAATCGCGGCGTCTTATTAGCCCCTGGACCTCGGTGACGACGGACACGTTTACCGCATTGGGTAGGTAATGCACAAGCTAGTTGGATGTTTTGCGCCCAGTCACATGCTCTATTCTAGCTCCGTGCCTAAAGTCAAGATAGATTGAATCGAATAGAGCCAATTTTAAGCTTTCTGTCTTGCCTGATTCTATCAATATGACACGGAATGCATGGTGCTTGGAGTAGAAACTCGTCTTAGCATCCTTGTCGTCTCCTATACTCGAACGGCGTATTGCCTCGAACCGGAAAGATCCCTGTTGATCCCAATGCGACACCGCCGACCAGAGCGAGCTACTTTATGCTCTCTTTGTCCATGCTGTTCTAGTTTCACTTGTCCATTGCAGGCACCCATCGTCTTCATCAATTCATCATGTCTCTCCGGGCTCTTCCCTCGCAGCTCCTGACTGTCGCTCTGTGCCTGAGCGGCTTGTCTTCCGGTCAAGCGACCGGCAAATTCGACCTCTTGACATACAACGTGGCCGGACTACCTCCCATCTTGAACAACAACGAGGTCCCAGGGGATAAGGGCACCAACGCCAACACTATCGGTTCGATTCTTGCCAAGCAGGCATACGATGTAGTTCATATGCAGGAAGACTTCAACTACCATGCCTACATCTACAAGACCGATAATCATCCCCACCGTACTCCGACATCTGGGGGTGTTCCGTTTGGCGATGGCTTGAACACTGTCGCCAACTACAATTGGGCCAACTTTGCCCGGAAGAAGTGGAACAAATGCAACTTGAACTCTGGTGACTGCTTGACCCCCAAAGGATTCACCTATATGCGAATGACAATCGATGGTATCGAAGTTGACCTATACAACCTCCACGCTGATGCCGGGTACGTCTACGGGAAATATTTGGTGCTGTCCCTGTACTAACCTTTGGGTCGTTTAGCTCTGATAAGGGCGATATCGATGCTCGCTCTGCTGGCATTGACCAAATTCTTGCCTGGGTCAACTCCAACTCCAAGGGGAAGCCAGTCATCATTGCTGGTGATACCAACGATAGGTGGGCCAACTCGGGTCGCAGCATTAACAAGCTGACCGACGCTGGTTTCACTGACAGCTGGGTCCAGCTCATCCGGAGCGGCTCGTACCCCCAGGCTGGTGCTACCGCAGATCCTTGCAAGGTGCCGGCAGCAGACAACAAGTGCGAGATTGTCGACAAAGTGTTGTAAGTTGCGTCTTTTGGAACATGGCAAGTATATGTGCTAATAACGACGCTCAGCTACCGTTCTGGTGACTCAGTCAAGCTCACAGCCACGTCATTTAACTACGCATCCAAGGTTTTTGTTCAGGCTGATGGAAACATCTTGTCTGATCATAACCCTATTCACGTGGAGTTCTCATGGTCGTCGAGTGCTTAGAATAAAGGTGTTGGCTTCTTGTGTTTGGTTTAGTCCTTTATACGACTTTCATCGCACGCCTCTTTGTGGCGGGAAGAAGAAAGAGAAATGTACATTGTACTAGAGCTATATGAATAACCAAACTTTTCTGTCAGAAGGGCCACGGATTGACGATTAAAGCAATTTTTACAACGTAGAAGTTGATCATCAAGAACATCATCTTTACTGCGGACGGCAATTTCAGGTATCAGACCCCGTGGCATGACCGCTATCCCTATTGTTGAGGCGCAGAGTCAGTACATCAACAGCCGTGTCAATTGAACATGTCGATAAACTTGTAGTCATGTTGACCAAAAATGAGAAAGGGGCTCGTGATTTAGGGCTGTCGAAGCACTATGCAGACTATATCAATTAGAAAGGATCTATTAACACCTCGATCATGTAATCGCAAGGGTGATGTGATATTCACCGTCGAGCATCTCAGGTCTTATTATCAAAGGATTCGATGCAGGATCTTGTGGATGGTATTTCCTTGTTCAAAGAGATAAGAAAAGCTACTATACTAAATCTCCAGGCTTCCTTTTACATTTCATACTGTTTCGGATAGCTAGCGGCCACTAAAGAAGAAAACAACAAACATTCATACTCCAGTACGTTGGGCATTATGGAGACTCCCTATACTCTCATTGCTTTCACGTAAATGCATTTGGTTGGTATCTATTGAACGAGGGTGAAACGAGCTGGCCATTACACTGTTCGCTGTAAGGATAGGCACTCTGAAGCAGCCAGGCATCACCGGATGGTCCTCTCTCAACACGCACAGGCCCTCCTGGGTCTCCTTGTGGATTATTGTAACGATGCAGAAACCAGTCTTCTAGGTCAGTTAACCTATCGAGGGCTGGGCTTCAACTATAATAAAAAACACACTGTCAACACATTAGAGTATCATATTATGCAGGAACTGATCCTTGACAGAGGGTGTGTGCTTATTGGGTCTCACACGCGCTATTCTCTCAAATTTTGCACAACACACGATGTCTCTGAAAGAGTCCAGTGGATGTATCAAACAGCCAGAGAGGCAATCATTCACGGCGCTACTCCCAGGCTAGTCAATCTAACCATCTTAGCCACCTACATTAGAACCAAAATAATGTTAAAGCAAATGCTGATGGAAACAATGGCAGAGAAAAAGGACCCCAGGGTGGATATTGGTCCACTGTCTTGGAGTGGCTGAGTAAGTGCTGCGCCCTCATCTCATCTGCGGCTTTTAAATCTGACCGTCTGACTTAACAACTCGCTCACCGTCTTGTTACACCTTTCCCTTCAAGTCAGAAAAGATGCACTCAGAATCCGCCATCGGAGGTGATAGTGATGCCCGGGATGAGCCCAACTTGGGCTTCAGCAACAACGACGTTTCCTACTTGATCTATGAGCCTCTCAACCCTACCATTGATGAGATCCGGCTGCTCACTCTTCATCCGGCTTCACAGGCAGATTCACCACTTTTTTGCACACTTTCCCATGCGTCCCTTGCTGCAGAAATTCCAGCATATGAAGCCCTGTCTTACGTATGGGGAAAACCCAATCTCTCAGCATCCATATTGCTGAATGATGTCAACTTCCACGTCACGCCAAGCCTGGCATCTATTTTATCTGCTCTGCGACTCGACGACCAAATCAGGGTCCTCTGGATTGATGCCCTTTGCATCAACCAGTCAGATGTCCAGGAGCGCAGTCAGCAAGTTGCCCTGATGCGCAAGATCTACTCTTGCTGCCGACAAGACATTGCATGGCTAGGCGAGCTGCCAGATAATGACCCAGATCTTGAACCTTCTTGCAATAACCCGTATAGGTTCCGTTCGCAGAGATCGACCGTCAGGGAAGGGATGGAATTTATGTGTCAGTTAACACAAAAGAACCCCGAAACCCTCAAGTCACTTCGAGATAAGTTCGACAACCTATTCTCGGAAGAAGACCATTCCCCACCACGGCAAGATGGTTTCGAGCATGTCCCAGATCTCCTCCTTGGTCGCAATGACCAAGAGAAGCTCTCGGCTCTCTTCCGCCGCCCATCTTTCTGGGATCGACTATGGATTGTCCAGGAATTATCAATGGCACCACACGTGGTTCTGATGTGCGAGGGAGCTGAACTAAACTGGGACGCCTTGTCAGCTTTGTTCGCGGATGAACCGTATTTCGACGCCTTCCATACCACGGACCATCACGGCGGCTATAGATTTTTCAGCAGCATATTCTTAACGGTTAAGCTAGTCGAAGACCAGCGCCAATTGTCCAGCAGTGTCCTTCCAACGCGAGATGAGTCAAACCTGTTCGATGTCCTAAGTCGATTCCGAAACTTGCGATCGACAGACCCAAGAGACAAGATATATGGATTGCTTGGCCTGGTGACTCAAGACCACGGCATCATCGTCGATTACTCGAAGCCTTTGCATGATCTGTATAAGGAGGCGACTTTATCGATTATCAACCTCTCCAAGAACTTGGATATCATCTGCCAGAACCCATTCGAACGCGAGGGTGGACCATTGGTACTTGGACGAAGTGAAGATGCAGCTCAGGCGCCAGAAATCTTTCCTTCCTGGACCGCCGAGTTTCATCTGGGGCGGCCCGATTGTGTTTCGATCCTTTTCGCGCAACGCGGCATCTTCGAGGCTAGCTCAAGGAAACTGGAGACGCCATGTCGGTTGCTAGGGCCGAAGAAGGATGTGTTGATCTTGAAAGGGAGCGTGCTGGGCCATATCGGGCCTGTCCTCCAGGGAGACTCTCCCAACTTGAACGTACGGACCGAAGCGAAGAAGATCATGAGAATGTATTTTGGACAAGATACTCTCGATGACCCTAACCGACATGATTACGCGCCAATCATCGGTGGCAAACAAGTTTGTCCTAAGGAGACACTCATCCGGGCCTATTGGCGCACGCTGGTCAAAGATTGTACAGCGCCCCCAAGAATGCGACGGCTACTAGAGTCAGAGATTGAATCTCTGAACCCCATCAACCGAGGCCATCTCCAGGCTGGACAAGTACTTCAAACGTTCCAAATCTCCGTGGACGAAAGCAAGTCCAGGTCAGCGTTCTCCTATCACCCTGGAAAAGATTCCGACTTTATAGAAATCGAGGAATCCAAAAGTTTGGAGTTGACATTCTTGCCATGGATATCCTACTCCAATCGGGACTGGATGTTCACTGTGGCTGACAACGGTCTTTTCCTCCTCGCCCGTCCAGGGGTGAGACAAGGCGATGTCATAGCAGTTTTGGAGGGAGCTAAAATTCCCATGGTACTTCGCAGGGCTGAGGCAAATCACGAGCATCAAGGCCTGGGAGAGGTCTACCAGGTTGTTTGTTCAACATACGTCCATGGGTTTATGGATGGTGAAGCCGAGAGAGGAGTTTCTGAAGGCTGGTTAGAGGAGAAGGATTTCCTGATTGCTTGATTTAAATTGGCTGGAATCATGATACTTGTTTTCTAGGCACTGAAAAGCGGTGCAAACAGCCGGTATCCGATGTGTCCATACCCAGTAAACTTGGTGGCAGAACTTTGCCATGCATGTCGCTGTATGTTGGACTTGCATTATAGACACGCTTGAGGCTGCTCATCGCTCTTGATGATCCTACCTATAAAAAGAACTTGATGAGCGAGCAAGCCTGTTCGTGACGATTTTGATGTTTTGTAAGAATTCTTGCGTGCGGCCACCGACTGTACGTGATGAAGAAGCACAGAGACTCACTAAAGGTGCATGGTCGGCTGCCACTTCGAATTATTGCTTGCATTTTTCTCAGACAAGCATCAGCAATGCCCACTACAGTACTCCGTACAGAAAGTTCTTAACGAGTAGGAGATCATCACTGTCTCCTTACCGCATCAGGGATGGATCTAACAAGGTGCAGGGTTTGTAATTAGCGAGAACCCTTCCAGCAGTCCCTGACCCATCAGCCCCAAGCCTGGCAATGGGTTTCCGTGCACTGAAGACGGGCCCTCGGCTAAAGGAGTCTAAGTCAAAGTTTCCTGTAAGTCAAGAACAAAGTCATGGCCGAGATAGGAGGATGTTGTCTGTCGACTACCACCACCCACATGTCACGACTTAGGTCTCCTTCACTGCCTACTATGAACTATATTGTTTGTGACCAATTCAGCCAATGATGAGTCTATGAAGTTACACACGTATGCGGAACCAATAGCAAGCAGGAAGGATGATTGATGATCCGAAGGTGGCATCATGTGAAACACATTCTTCCCCGCACCTAAGACCATACTCACAGAACCTCATTTCTCCCCATAGTGGCTACTCCGGCGAAACGGAGACCAGCTTCTTATTGTCCGCAGCATGAAAGTATCTGGGGTATTTCACGTGCTGTTTACCGCTGAAGCTTTCGGGGTAACTGCCACAGGTATATGTTGCCAGTTATCCTTGCCTGATCTTGATGCTGACTGAATGAAGCTGCAGGGCCTCTTCACGATGCCGACGAGCATTTCGACAATGGCGACATCCTGACCATTCAGAAAAACTTCAACGGCTGGGTGAACCCTGAAGATCTGGTCCCCATGCCACAATGCGTCGCTCAGCAGGATCAGTCAGCTTGGCTCAAGGCCATGACAGCGTGTACTCACCTACGTTGCACCTCGCACTTCGGAATCATCTGCACACACCGTCAATGGTTGACAGAGTTGAGCTGCCTCAGCACCGAGTTCTCTCCCAGCGCCATCAAAGATTACCTTCCGTACTGTAGCAGATCTGTACTCGCCAAGGCCCAGCTGTATCACTGGATACGTAACGTCACCGGTCGAACGTGGCTTGTGGATGTTGGCGACGCGAACAGGCTGCAAAACCTCTGGCCATCTAGCCTGGTTAGAGGATTCGCAAGCTTTGATGTGACATACAAGGCACCAGAATGTCTAGCAAAGTCGGTTTCTGTTTCAGCGGTCTAGCCATATCAGCATGTATTGGCATCTTGTGCCTTCACGGACGCTACACAGCACACGGGCAACGCCAATCGTCCATGGGAATATAGCAAACCCTTGCAATCCATGACCACTCTGAGCTTCGACACCGTCGGCTACGATCTCACCGGGGGACATATCAGACCCGGCCAGTACTTTGACAGAGATTGCTTCTGCAGCGCCTTCACCATCGACCCGGAACGAGAACCATGTTCATTATCCGATCCCCTCGACGTGACCAAGGAGCGGCTATGGTTAAACGCCACTTGCGGATCGGCATCCCTACCTGACAATTGGACGGCGCAACTCAAGATGGCTGGGATCGCATATATTCCCGTCCCAGACTGGCATTGGCCAACATGCGTCTCCGATATGCCGAGGCAGGTAACGGACCTCACCAATCAGTGTGCAACCGATGCCTGCCAGCTCGATGCTGACGGCTACTGCCAAACCGCACGTACCCTAGACAGAGCCTGCTTCTGCCGCAACATTGAATACGACTCTTGCCAAGGCTCCTGTCAAGTTTCCAGGACTCGGATAGACTATGTCGAGTGGCTCCACGATCTTTGTGGCGATGTTGAGGGCTGGCACGGTCTGCCAGCAAACTGGCGCGAACTGACCGTCCTTCTGCCCCGCGAGATGATCCCATGGCCATGGACCGTCAAGCCAACAAATAGCTCAAAGGTCGGTCCTATCGTGGGACCCGTATCCGGAGAAGCAGAAGGAAAATGCCCGCCGAACGAGTGGAAACTGGGAAGCATTGTCCTCATCAACGCGGCCACTCTCCTTGCAGCGTTCTTGGGTCAAGGGCGAGGGGATCGTCTCAACACGGTCGACTCGGTATCACACTCGCAGCGACTACATTGGCTGCTTAAGGGAATCCTCCTCGCTGGTTTACCACTCCTGGCGAACTGGCTTAATGCACGTATTGTGCAAAGCACCCCCGGCTATGGAGCTGTCCCTGTTTTCGAGCTAGTACTCCTGTGGTGCTCACTTCCTCAGCCTAATCTGTCCGCCATATTACCATCTAGGATCCGCTGGCATGGAACGAAACTCTGTTCTTCGACAGCGTCCTCTTTAGTTGCAGGAATGATCCTTCAGGTTCTGGCATCATATCACATGTTTCTGACTGTTGACTTTGCCAGACGACAGGTATTTGACCTCGGTAGTATAGCAAACGCGAAAAAGGGACATCTGGCTTTGCTCATGTACATTGGAGCGCTCATATGGTTGCTCACCATTGCTACATGTTTTATCGAAGTAATTCGGCACATGTACAAAATCGGTTCACTTTCAAGCTCCGATGGAGCGGGCTGGCATAAACACAAGTACGCAACCGCTAACAACCAAGATATGGCTGTCTTGGAAAGCCTGTTGGGACAGTCACAACCGAGAATGCCGCAGAGTCGGAAAGAGGAACAGTACACAGAATATGGCACTTTCTCAAGTGGAGAAATCGGGACCAAGCTTCCCCAGAAACTGCCTGCGGCACTGTTCACTGCTGCGGCCAGAAGTACGCCCTTTGTTTGGATTGCACAATGGCTCTTTTGGTCCGGGTTTATCGGTCTTAGTTCTGAAGAGTTCGTATACATTCATGACGCGATTTTGAGCTGCGCGGCTAACCAGACGCAGGTTCTGTCTGCCCAAACTAGAAGTTCTCACTACTATCTGGGTAGCTGCTGCAATAGGGGGGGCTACTATCACATCGTACCTATAGCCACGGCACAGGAATTCAGATATCCAGATCAGTGGTGTCTTTTGGGTCAGTGTCGGCACCTGTTGACTAACTTGAAAGATTTTAGAGCTCTCGGGGTTGAGTTGTTGTAGTATCAATGGGCTGCTATTAGCTGGACAAAGTTGCTTATGGAAGACATCAATGAAGCTGAGAATGGAGAAATCTGGGAGGGGTGGTATTAGTGGTTTTAGGGCCTATGTTCACGCACGTATTTCATGGTTATGAAGATGCATCTCTTTGTGAGTCGAGAGCATAGACTTGGTCTTTGATTCAAAGGCACAGACCGCAGCAAATGTTAACAAACTCTACGGTAAGAATGCCATAATAGAGCCCCTTGATTATAATTTATAGCTTAGCGGACTTGGTGGATTATTCTCCTGCACTCTTCACTAAACAGTTCATTGAGTCGGTGAGATATAGATGAGACAGGAGGAAGTTATTTCTTCCAAAAACAGAAAAGGAAAATTCCGTATTAGAACTCAGTCTACGAACGGATTAGAATCCTTTTTACGATGGATAGATGACGAGAGGAAGAGGAACCGCAGATGTTTACCCTCTGAGCCCCCTGCCCGCACATGTCCTTCCGTTCTGCTTCACGAGCTTGAATTCAACCCTGAAGCAACTCTTTGTATGAACTTAGCGACGCCTTCGGAGCACAGTCATCAAGCACAGAAACAAAGAACACAGTTGTGGGCAGATGTCGATATCAAAGTGAAGCAACCTTTGATCAAAACACAAAGGTCTCCATAAGACAAGGGTGCCAAGACAAAACAAGCCTTGAACATAAAGTGCGCGCGGGTACCATTAGAGGGCTGTTTCCGAACACAGAGACAGCCATTCAGCAGTAACAATCATGGGCAGTTGTTCAATTAACAAACGAACGAAGGCCAAGCCAGACTTTCAGCTACTATGAGTGTCCACTCACTCACCGTTTGCCCGCTGATCGCCTCACTAACAGTCGCTGCCGGTCACTCCCCTGGCCTGAAACTCCAAGAGGGTCGGTGAATTTTAGATACACATATGCACTGCACGTGATGCTCGATGCATTCATACAGAGTCAAAAACACCAAAACTCTGGCGAGCCTGCATCGCGATATCACACTTGGGCATACACTTACACAACCGCTAGACTTCAAGGGCTAGAGCTTACTTCTTAGTTATTGTAATGTTTTTAATCCTTAATTGTAATTTCCTACTTATGCACTGCTATGAAGTCGACAAGGCGGTGGGGAGGGAAGGAAGATGGTGTCAAGTCACTGGTGTACACTATTCGATTTCTACCGCGGGGAAAGGATAGAGTCATGGGCATGTTTTCCTTTCAGACAGCCAAGGTCCGCTTCTACTAAGGAGCTTTGTTTGTAATGCCAAGATCAAAATTCAAGACATCAGAGCAACTCGTTCTAGTCCATATGGACATCTGACTGCAGGGAGGGACCTTGAGGGTCGATGGCCTCAGACAACGGGACAGCTACACCAATCCCTGCCGCAATTATCGTTAAACAAGGATTGAAGCCTCAGTGAGAACCATTATGGACCTTGGCAGGTTGCATGATTACGCGAGAGAATACATTCAGTCTGAGCAGAGGAGACTTGGGGGATGCTTAATCAAACGTGCAAGAGGAGCCCCAGCCACTATCGAGGTTAGGGGCAATTAAATACCGAACCGATGAGGTTGCCAGACAAACCGAATAGACAATGTGAATATTAACATAAAGTAGCAGCATAGGCTCGAGAGACCTTGGCCCATTTGGCTGAATAATCACACATCTTGTTGTCATGCCTCCTTGCTGTCATGATCTAGACAATTGACGTGGTCATTACCAACACCGCGTTTATTCAGTGATGAACCCATCATCTATTCGGCAGCAGGGCTCGTGTGAGTGTTCAAGGATAACGCTGGGTTTTTTTTTAATGAAGAAGACGATGATGAAATGGGTGACTGGTTCTTGGAGAATCACACGAGCAGCGGAATAAATCGAGCATGAATGAAACCATGCCCCAATAACCAACGGGGACCCGGTGACTTGAACGAAACCTTACTTTCCACAGCACTAAGCGTGAACATAAGCATGACAAGCTAGGAGTTGACCAACAAATGCGCCAGCTCAATAGGCACAATGTTGTTTCGGTGTTGATGGCATCTCTCGCTGGAGTGATTCGTCAAGGACAGGATGAAAGAACAGAGTGCGAAAGAACAAAAATGACCCATATGCACAAAGACAGCTGGCCGAATAGAGATTCTGGCATCGCTCGTTGAAAATAAACTATTATATATAAAAGCCATTATACCAAGTAGCTTATCGCCACCTCTTCTTCAATCTCACACCTTATTTTATCCCTCTTCGTCTTCATACCACAGAAAGGATGGCTACCCTCATTCAAGGAATCCTGCAGTCCCTGAGGATTGTCGGTGAGGAGGCCCTGAACCCGACCCTTCTGGTCTTAGCTTTCGCATTCCTTGCCTATGGCCTGCCGCACCTCATTGTCAAAATCACCGGTTCTGAGTTCATCGCACGCTGGCTTGAGGTCTTTGGTCTCAAGGCAGCTCTAAAGGTCTCCCTCGCTCTTGGGATCGGTCACGTAGCGAACCGAATCCAAAATCTTCGTGCAAGTAACAACTGGAGCATTCTCGGCCGAGGAGAATGGGCCTGGTCGGAAGAAATCGCCGTCGTCACTGGTGGGTGTAACGGCATAGGAAAGGCCATCGTTCTTGCCCTTGTACGAAAGGGTGTACGAGTTGCCGTCCTCGACGTTGCAGGCTTTCCGCCAGACCTTGCACAGATTGATAGCGTCTTTTACTGGAAATGCAACATCGCTTCAGCCTCTTCTGTAGCAGATGTTGCTGATAGCATCCGGGACACCATGGGCCACCCCTCCATTCTGATCAACAATGCTGGTATGGCGAACCGAAGCTCCATCCTTGACGTGACCCCGGAAGAGGCTTCAAAACTCTTTGGGGTAAATCTCATGGCCCTTTGGTACACGGCCAAAGCATTTTTGCCAAATATGATCCTGGACAACAAGGGACATGTTGTCACGGTCGCGAGCATGTCCTCCTTCATCTCGCTGCCAACCGCCGTTGACTATGCAGCATCAAAAGCAGGCGCACTGGCTTTTCACGAGGGACTTGCCAGCGAAATCAAGCATCTCTATAAAGCGCCTGGCGTGTTGACGACGGTGGCTCACCCTATGTGGGTTGATACCAACATGACCAAGGATCGTCAGGAAGCCATTGAGCGAAGCAGTGGGAACAAAATGATGAAGCCCGAGGAAGTAGCCCAAGTCGTGACGGACCAAATCTTTTCTCGCCACGGCGCCCAGCTCATTATCCCGCCCAACGTCACATGGTTGTCTGCAGTAAAAGGGTTTCCCAACTGGCTTCAGGAGTTGATCAGGGACTCGATCGCCATGACACCGTGAGCTACTGCGCGGCGAGTTTGTAGTGGTGATGGGTTCCCTCTAAGCTGAGCTACTTCCTTTTCAATACATTCTAACACATATTTCTGTGTTCTTGGACACTAATTCGAGCCGAATACGAGTCCATGTCATGTCGAAATCTACGTGGCGTCTGTTGTCTCTCTAGGCTTGTGGGGAGTATGATTCTAAGTAATCTAAGCGCTGAATAGGATAGATCAGAGCAGCTACATATATCTCTATGAATCCAACGGCTCTTCTTAACTCATTTGTATTTTTTCATCATAGGAAAACAAGTCGACGCTCTAGTAGCGTTAGGCTGCCCATGTTTTTAACTCTCCGTCTTGAGACAGAGTTTATTGCTGAGACTTTAGCGTTTGTAGCCTATCCCCGTAAGAGGACCGTCACCATTTTATAGGTTTAACTTCCTCCATCATGGTAACAAATTCCACCTTTGTTGTCAGGAGCTCGGATGCGACACCGAGCTATCGACCTCAGGTCGGGCCTCCGTCATGCGCCCGGACTGAGAGTGGACCCCGTGTCGGTCTCCGCCCCGGATCGGACTCGGAAACGAAGGCCTCTATTGATCCCTTTGGTAAAGGAGAAAATTATCTAGGCCCGTCGCCAGTTTATCTTTGCAGTGCCCTCAATGCATAATATTGCGCGATTCCTATGGACCCCTGAGCAACCCGGTCGTTGTGATATCAACCGACGGGTCTGGTATACTAGTACTATGTAGCACATACGGGTTGACGGGCTCAATGATATGCTCCGAGTTGTCGTTTCTACCCAAGGGCAACGGATGAAACTAGTTGTTGAGGTCCTGGGTCATCTTGTGCGAGGTGTCAGTAGAATTTCTTTCCCAACAGCACTGGTAAAATTGCGTGTTGGCCATTATCATGTCGACGTCATATCGACATCAAGCCGAGCTCACCCATCCTGAACTGGCCTATTTTAGAGCTCGTTTTTCGACTGACAAAATGGCAGTGTACATTATCAGGGCGCAGTGAAGTACTGCCGAGACAGCAGATGCCGTCAGCTATATCCAACAGGGGACAAGAGGTATCTGGGGGTATTAGAGAGTATTTAGGCAGATTGCTTGGTTTGGGTGGGCTGTCAGCATTTGTTATGATCCTGCGGAAACGGTATATAGCCTACCTTAGAAGTATAATACCTTGGATTAAGAATAACAACCATCTCCATTATAATCAGCTCCTTATAGTACGGTCTTAAGATATATCTAGGGGGTTTCCCAAACAGAAAAGAAGCTAGATAAGGTGTCATAAAAAGCCCGTCTCGGTACTCTTTGCTGCTTTCTCAGTAGTTCTTGGTGTTATTATATGCTCTCCAGGCGCTAGAATCTTGAGTGCGTGACTAAAAAATGGGTAGAGAAGCTGTAAGACAAAATGCGTTGAGAAGAGACACTTGGGCATAGTGCCATACGATATCAAGCAGATAATTAGAAGAAGACACGACCAGCGGCGAAGGGCTCATCCTCTACAAGACTGTTGATGAGAGGGTGAGATTGAGATCACAAGTCCCTTTCATACGGCATCCACCAGGCAACTGAGTCCCGAGATCTTGTCTCCCAGTCTCCTTTCTGCTCTAGTTGATATTTAATCGCACAAAGCCACAAAATCTAGTCTGCATACTCATCTCGTTTTAGTTTCCAGCCTTGTATCCACCTGGTGTGGTAAACCCGGCTGAGAGGTCGCCACCATCTAAACGCAAGAGACGTAGATATTAGATCTTTTGTTGTGAACACCTTTGGATTCCCAGAGACAGACAGAGCCACTCTAGTGATAAATTTCCACATGACAAGGGGTAACAAGAGGGTGGTGCACTGCAAGCCCATATCATCTGACTTTGGAAGTTGTGTTAAGTGCCACGTCTGAGGTCTATGAGATACATTAAGTAGTTATGGGATTAAATCATAAACTTTGTTAAAATATAACTATTTTTGTTAAAATAAAAGTTCCGTGCTTAAGAGACTTATTTAGTTTAATATAACTTTATCTTAAATATGTAATTTATCTTAAGATAACGTACTTGATAAGCGAGTGAAACATGTAAGCGAGTGAAACAGCATACTGTGTACCTAAAAATAGCTAATCTCAAATTTCTAAAATCTGCTATGGGGTAGCTATAAAGTTAAAAAGAGTATTTTTATAAACCTAACTTTTTATAAAAGCTTAATTTAATTTTTTTATATTTTTAAAAAATTTCCTTTATAGAGAAATAGCTATTTATACAGTGCGAATATACTTTTTTCTAAACTACCTTATAAAGGATTTTTTTAAAATTCTAAGAAAATTATATATTATTAGATTATATATAAATGAACTATTTTTAAGTTATTAGCTATTTTAAGTATAGGCTTATTTTCTTAGAATTTTTTAAAGTAATTCTCTTTAAGGTATAAATTACACTATAGGGTATTTTGTTTCACTCGCTTGTTTGTTTCACTCGCTTATCAAGTACGTTAGCTATCTTCCTTTAATATAGTTATTTTTCTTAAGATGGTTGTCTATCTTAAGATAGTTGTCTATCTTAAGATAACTGTCTAATAACAATTTATCTTACGATAGCTCTTTATCTTAAGATAGCTATCTATCCTAAAAAACATAGCGAGACAACGCTCTACATTCAGCTCTGGCGTCAATCTCTTTAATCATCGCCAAGACAAAACCACGATCACCGCCACATCAAAGTTCAGCGACCTCCATGAGCAAGACCTAAGTCATAAGCGGAAAGGGGCCAATCAAGGTCATCTTACCCGTAACAGCGAGACCCGGTTAGTGACAAGAGCTCCGCCATCATCCTCATCCTCATAGCTACAACGATGCTGCCAGGGTATGCTGAATATCTGTGACCGTTGTTGTTGGCGTGTGCAGCCAATACATCATCCTACCGCCTTTGTATGAGCCCGATATCACATAGTCCTGATCCATCAAGTCAACCGAGATGATCGTCGCATCGGCACAGTCCTCGCTGAGGTGTTTATTTTCCGCTCCGTACCGGAGTATATATGGGCGGCGTCGGCTGCCAGAATTTAAGGGAGCAAAGAAGTCACATGTGAACGAGCCCTACCCAGGTGGCTTCCCAGATGAGAAGCCTGATCTCCACGGTGGGTTTTTCGAATGGGCAAGCTTGAGAGGAGAGCGGTGTCTGGTCAATTCGGGGCGTCAGTCTTGATGCTGCCCTTGCTTGAGGAGCCAGCCGCTTCCCACTAGCATCGAATCTGATGAAACCAAAATGGGAGCCAGTCTCGAGTAGGTAAAGACTTAAGATGGAATCAGGACAAGGTTGGCCGAGATTTGTTTGATGGGGATGCAATCGAGGGCGCTCCGGTCCAATCATTAGATCCAGTGGCTACCAATGGCTACCCTACACCCAAAGATGGAAAACATTGGAGAGGGATTGAGGGAACCATGGGCAGATGAATAATTAATAATCATAACGATCAAGTTGTGTTTTTCGTCGGAACCTACCGTGGACGGACTGAAGATAGAAATAACCAACGGGGACTTGAAGCAAAAAGATCAAAGTCATATCATAACGTAGCAGTCTTGTTAACCATGATCAAATATGAAGTGCCCCTTTAGCAACAAACACGCATGCACTTGTTTTTCAATACTAGGCTAACTCACTTCAAATTACGGGGCCGGCTACATCATCAGAGCAAGAACTGGTGATAACATGCGCAAGAAGCGATCGGCGTTGTTGATTATTTCTGCTTCAGTTGAGTAGTGAACTAGTGACACTCACCACCATTCATTAGAGGTAGGCCTCCACGCACCACCTGTCTGCTTATCTTATCAGATTCAGGATTATCTTATCTCTTTATCATATCGAGCACACCAGGAATTGCTGGGGCTGGCGTGGCTGGGATTGGGACGCCGCCACAACCTGCGCATAGGGAAATGCAAGCGCGGATGCATAAAATCACAGCATTGTTCAGCTAGGAATAATACCCATATTAACTAACTATCTTGGCAGCATCATCCTTGTCTATTTCTCTCCAAGGACTACTCATTTTAACCCTGTGCTTCTCTGCGGCTCTCTGTTCGGTGCTACATCTCAGATGCACCAGGTCAAGTTAAGACTGGGCAGGTGTTTCAGCATATTTCACTTGATTCAACTACTGCCGGGTATTCCATGCCAATAGAAACTCCTCCAAAGGCTCGGCAACATTCGTACATACCGCCCGTATAAAGGTTGAGTCACTGAGGTCTGGCTGCGGCTCGAATGCGCACAGCACGCACCGCCTGATGGCATCCGCGATCTTGTCCCCAAACTCGGCCTCAACCTGCCTCTGCCGCTGGATAGACGTGCAGAGGTCTGCTGTGTAGTCCGCCATACCTACCCTCCCAAGGTACTGTTCGCGTAACGGGAGGCTTTCTAAACTCTTGCGGAAGAGGAGCTCGACCAGGAGAACGCCAATGGTGAAAAGGCTGGCGCGGCCTTGGGCAGAGCGCTCAACGCGCTGCTTGCCCATGAAGGTGTTCCGTACCGACTTGTGGGAGATCCGCCACCACCACTTCAGGTCTTTGTAGCGACTCTTGGCTGTCTTGGCGGCTTCGTAAAGGATCGGAAAGCCGCCAAGAACGATACCGGCGATCTCGAAGCCGGACATGCCAATGGTAAAGAGATGGTGAGTCGTGTGTTGAGGGGTTTCGCATGTCAGGAAGTCAAGTCAGGCTGGGAAGATGAACTGGGGAGCGGGGATGGGTTGGTGAGCTGCTGCGGCTGAAAACCGCCTTTCGACTCTTTCTCTGCATTGATAAGCAGAAAAAATCACGTTTTAATTCAATATAACGCAAAGCTGACGAGCCTGCTGGGGGTAGCTTCACACAACATGGCATCAACAGCCGAAAGTATGCACCCTCCAACTGAGAGTCGGACCATCTCAGGCCTCGGCAATATATGCGCAAGAAGCCTAGAAAGGCTACTCGAATGTTCACACTCATTAGGAGACGTACAACATGTCCAATCCCTTGAGGATGACAGTGGCAGGTTCAGGGTCTAGGCTGCGAACATCGGCGCCTTGCAACTTGAACGGTTCGCATCGTCGTTAGATTCTCGACTTAGGGACGCACCAAAGCAGCGAACAAGCGTCATTCTAGCTTTGGAAAGACTACAAAATATTATAATTCGATGTGAGCTTGAACTTCCCCATACTTGGTGTATCAAGCTGGGGAGGTGAGCAATATTAAACGACTGGAGGTATAACATAATGCGCTAATAGGCCTGGGACTAGGTTTTTGATGTTATAGCTGAAAAAGGCGAACTATGGCTAGCAAGGAACCAGGATGATCCCAATGACCAGTTAGGCTGGATCTGGTCAAAACATTTTGCGAAGCTGGCTGATTCTTAATAGCCTTTGTAAGATGAGAAGATAATACCAGAGTATATTACCAAAACAACTTATTCGGTCCAGCACTGCGAAAGTATTGGGATGCCATGTAAGACCCTGCTCTGCGCTATTGATGAGGCCTACCCGCTGGGGACTTGATGAAGGTGATATACAAGTTGAATACGCTCATCGCTGCAATATGAGAGCCCAGGAGTTGGGAGATGCGCATCGCTGAGGAACTCGGATTGACGACTGCAACTGGCATGTATCGTGATCGATAAGCAAATCAGCGAAGAGAAGTTAGGAACATAACTACTTGAACCAGCCCTTTTATCAAATATGAAATAAGCAGAGTTCTGGCTTAAAGCTAGATAAATTCACTACTCTTTGTGACTTCCAATATCGCTCTGGATGAGATGGATGCCTATCAATGTCAAGATCCGGCTCAAGACACTCTATTGGAAACAGCCAGAAACCAAAAGCTGTTTGGCTCTCCTGCTGTAGATCTCTAGAGACGTTACCCTTACGCGCCAATAGAATCTTATCCGCTTCCTCAACCCACTCCATGGCTGTATCCCGATTATTAATAACTGGCAGGCGTGTTGCATCACGGGGACCATGCATCGATAATCAACCTTGTGGCTGGGGTCTATTACTTGCAGTCTCGCAAGCATTCTTAGCCAGCCCTGAACCTGCTTTCGAGGGCTATGTGTACCCAAATAGAGTGCCCTGAGATCCAGAGGTCTCGGGTCATATGGTAGCTGGTTAAATGCACTTGTGTAAACTATGATAGGGTGTACCCGTGGGTATGCGCTCTTTGCCGCGACGAGCTCAGTTACCCTGCGGCACCAAGTGGGCCATATAGGTGCACGCGAGATAAAATAGACACATCTGAGTCTCTGCATGGCCTCTCGAAGCAGGGGCACTGTAGACTTCTGGGCGAGGTGTGCCTCCCAGTTAATCTTGCTGGGTATAGACTTTCAAGCGCAAGGTTGACGAGACCAACGCGCCGCGGGTCCTTAAGCCAGAGCTGATGCGCGAATTCGGCAAGATATTTCGAGGCGACATTGAGGTGTCGGGACTGGTCGCTTATATTTGCCTCTGGGTCGAGCTTCACGATATCCAGCTCAGGGTTAAAGTAGAGAGTCCCGTTTTCTTCGACTCTCCTCCAACGATATAGACAAGGTAGTTGGACTCGGTAGAAGCGAAAGGCGACGGACCGGGACTCTTGACTGATATGGAAGAGCTTGCTTATGGGGTGGCATCCCAGTAAGACGACGGTATATTTCGCCTTCTTCTTTGGCATAGTCTCTCCTGTGGGAGAAAAGGCCTGATATAACTTGATGTGTAGAAGACGCTCATGGCTGAGTGCTTGTTCCCATATGCTCCATCACAGCTCAGAGGGAAGCTCAGCGAAATTCGGGAAGTCTTGATCTGTCTTGTTTGGCACAGGGTTATAGATGCCCCGGTGAGAAGCCTGATAGGCATCACTCGAGACTGGTGTCATATTGAAAGTGGCTTGCTTGAGTGATACCAAGTGAGTGATCCAAGGCCATGAGACAAACGAAGAGGGACTGTAGACTTTCTTTATATAGAAGACAGGACACAACGGTTGTACGTGAGCGACTCACCTGATGACTGCGCCACTCGGCATACGCCTTGCAGGTGGACATGCTCCATGTATGCAGCCATACAGGCGTGAAACATTAACTCAATAAAGTGATTGCAGCCTAAAAGGTTTATCTTCAAAACTCGCATGATTATCTACAGTGACGCTTCGAAAGGTGGTACGTGATAGTTAAGTACTTGAAATGGCTTATAAGGCTACCTCATCAAGGCCTCGCCGCCATGACCTATAGAACACTTCTTTACGCTTCCCAATGCATTTCTGCAGACCTCGCCTTGATCCCCTCCCTCCTCCACATGCCATTCATCCACGAAGATGCTTCATCACAAATCGTTACTTAAGCTTCGAACCCAGAACTCAACACACTCTCACTTGACAATATGGTTCACAGCAGCAGCCTAATGAGCACCGTGATGGCCTCAACAAATATTATTCCAGTCGGTTCCCCAGCCCAATTAGGGTTAGTTACTCTGCCCTGGCAATGTCTTCAGTCTACTCAGCAATGCTTTTACCGATCAGGTGCCGATACCCTCGCTGTTAGGATGGCTGTTGCAAAATGGTTGACACTTGCCAAGTTGCCGCAGCTATTGGACCCTTCAGCCCAGTTCGTAACATGTCAGAGACTTGGGACGGCTGTGGCACATGGGTGGTGGCATCATGGTCAGGGTCAGAAGAAGTACCTATGAGAACTACTGCGTCGCCCGCTCATTACTTTCAGACAATGGCCGTCCGTGTTGGGACAACCTTGGTAGCCGATTAGCGCAGAGCGCCGAGCCATTCCACAGGCAAGATGTATGGAACTTTGCGTATACACACGCTTGGATACTCGCATGGAAAGCAAAAAGGGTACTTGGGAAAGAGCAGCCACAGTTCGTAAGATGCTGATGGCCTGTATCTTGATAAAGTGTGTCGGATAAGAACCACAGGGCTTGCACTGAACGACTCACCGTTGGAAGTCGACGGCTCTGCTAACGGGAGTTTGCAGATGCCACCAAAAACCGGGCCATGTTGCCATATTAGCTCACGCCTGCCACCCCCTTGCGTTTCATCGGCCTGTCCGTGTCCCCCACGGCCGTCGCTATTTCCGACCACCCCGTGTTAACTGTCTCTCTGCTGATTGGCGGTATAATTGGTAACGACAAGGGTCTCGCTGGTGTTGAAACTCGGTGTTCCCAGTGGGTATAGCAGACGGGAGATCTCCCCATTTAGTACTCAGCGTCAATCTATACTTGATCTCTTATGCTGCACCCTGGTTAGAGTAGCAGTCAATGTGTACCAAGAAGCGTGGCTGATGCTTGTTCTTGCCAAACTCATACCTACTTGACTGATCGAGTCAGTATTCGAGATATTTGCCACTGTACTAACTTGGAAGGTCCTTACCTTCTCTCGGCCATTCGGTAATTCGCCATAAACCCGGACCTGGGCACTGTTTCTGAAATGTAGAGCTTATGTTTATTCGCGTTCGTTCATTGTCAGCTGTTGCTTGTCTCGGTTTTCTCTTGTGCACTCAATCTCCCATACATTCTATCATTCTTTTGCTCCCTCATCTGAGATCAGTCCTTTGGGTACTGTCGAACTTGCTACCCCATCCTCGACTACACGCACAGAATGAGCGGAATAGCAGGAGATCGCCGGATATACGACCTCAACATTGCCCTCGTCGTACTCACGACGGTCATTGTGGCGATGCGTCTCTATTCACGTGGCATATTAGTTCGAGCACTCGGCCTCGACGATCTACTAGCTTGCTTTGCATACGTGAGATATCCTCTGATCCTTACATGAACCGACGTTAAGACAAAGGTGATCTTAGGTGCTAGCTATCGCTCTATCGGGCCTGGAGATTCGTTCCGCCTTCGCTGGCGCCGGAACGGACATGACGCTCCTGACAACCAAGCAACGCGTCAAATTGTTTTCGGTAATTACCTTTGGCTACCGGGATTATCTGAGTATTTCTGACTGCTGTATATCTATAGCTTCGGCCTGCCATTCTTCTCATCTTCTTTGCCGGCACCTGCTTCATGAGGTTATCCATCTTGGCCTTCCTGCCACGGCTGAATAAATCACGTAAGGTCATTTCTAGCTGATAAAACGGTGTTTGCGTCATGTAATTTCTACTAATTTAAGTACAGGATCATACATACGTTGCATATGGGTAACGGGATTTGTCATTGTCGCCATCTCCATCATTGCAATTATATGGCTTCTTACTCAATGTACCCCTGTGCAGTGCGCAACGACCTTCGTGCTCGAACGTCTAGTCGGAAAGACTGCTAACACAATCATAGGGATGTATTTGACGCCGGAAAGCCCGACAGAAAGTGCAGGCCCATGAGCCAGGAGGGTGACATGGTCTGGGCTCACAGCATCGTCGGGGTGTTCACTGACATCGCCCTGTTCATTCTGCCCATTTGGATTATTCGCAGGAACCTTATTAGGGTGACTGCCCATACTGCAAAGGTCTTTCTCGTCTTCGCGGTTGGTCTATTTGCTATTATCACTGGCATCCTTCGATTCGCTATCACCGTCACCGCCAACTTCGAGGTGAATACGTGAGTCTCCCTGCCAACGGTCCCGGAGTGGTCCATAGATTCTAACCTGTTGTTTGTTGATAGTTCCCTTAAGATGGCCCGCGTCAGCTCCTGGACCGCCT